CACACAAGCGTGCACACACGCACACACATACTCACGCACACACACACACACGCACACACACACACAGACACATACTACGCCTTGAATGGACAGACATACATCGACAAGATCTACACACCGTGGCATACGAATACAGAATGGACTGACACATAGTATTGCATATTGAACCACACTACGTATTTATTTATCTCTGTGAATTTTGCTGTTACACCTCTTCAGAAAAAAACCCAATGTCAACTGTGTACACGCAGGTATAGTCTTTGGTGTCTTGATAGGGGTATGTGGTTATGAATGAAAACAGCCTCTGTGGCCATTTGTGAATAGAACACATAAACAACAAACAAATAACGATTAAACTTTGAACAATATTTCTGTTCATTATAAAGCATAATGAATACGTACATACTATGCTTTTTTTTACCTCAAAGAAACAGGCATAGTATCCATAGATGGATATTGGCTGGCGGCTCATTAACATACAGATACAAAAAACATAAACAGTATCACTATGATCCATGGAGTAACAATACTGCTTTGTAAGTTTGTGAAGAAATCGGAAACATAACGGCATTGCATCGTTTCAAATTAGGGCATTATTTACTTCTATTTAATCTCAGTCTTATAATAGTAATAATAATAATAATAATAATAATAATAATAATAATAATAAAAAATAATACTAATACAAATAATAATGCTAATACTAATAGGTTCCTTTTATCTCGCATTTCAAGACAGGGTAAATTCACACTGCGCTTTACATGAAACAAACTTCTTTAAACATTTCAAACTTATGTCTTCATGCATCAATCAACATACTTTAAATGAATACAAAACAAAGTGCATCTTAAATAAAACAAAAATAAATAAATAGTTAACAATACAGAAAAGATGTAGCTGCTGCAAGCTTAACAACAAACTAATGTATACCAGTCAGTCCTGATATCAGTATTAGTGTAACAATAGTCATATAGTGGGAGCATGAAGTTGAACAATTCATTATTATACATAATTATATATGTTTGTTTGAATAATACTTGTTATAAAGATAGTAGTATGGTACTCTCTGTCACGAATTATTATGTATACTGTTGTATCACATTCATTTTCTATTCTGTTTTAGAATTGGCTTTCACCGTGTGAATGCGGCTAACAATAAACACAATTACAATAATGATGAGGATTATTATTATCATCATCATAATTATTATTATTATTAATATTATAATTGTTATCATTATTATTATTACTATTATTATCATCATTATGACTTATTAAGTAAGCAAATATCATTCCCAAAAACCTGGGGGGATGATTGTACATGCCACCCCCCCCCCCCCCCCACCTTGTGAGGTGGGGGGGATGCATCGCCCTCATCCCCCCCCCCCCCCGTTGTCTACGCCCCTGACTCACATCATTGGAGATTCTAGATAACTCTTTAATCAATGTTTCAGTGAATAAGAACTTACACTTTAAAAAATTCAAAAACTTAACCTGTTGACGCCGCTGCCGTCAACGGAAAAGCGGCGCCTATTTCCAAGTATCAAGTATTTTGTCTAAATATATGTTTTGATAAATATTCTTACTAGTATTTTGAAGTTGCAAAAGAACTTTGCCACTAATTCTTAAAATATCTTCCTTATTATGTGGGGGGGGGGGGGGCTATCAAAGATTCACTTTTGTTTGTTTAGGCATGTTCCATTTTGTCAAATTTGGAATAATAATGTGCCCATGACATCTGGGCGAAAAACGTATGTAAATGTATTGAAATCAATTTCCTAGTAATCATGGCACAATCAGCATAAATACGATCTAACAATATTATCAAATAATAATAATAATAGCATACGGTACTTATAGCGCATATCACAATATGTCTCTATGCGCTGTAGGAAAGAGTAAAAAGGAAAGGTGGATAGATTAACATAAGAGAAATAATAATTAAGATATGCTCAACATACTAGGCTGTATAGAGGAGGTGCTAGGTTGGATGAAGTTAGTGCAATTAAGTTTAAATGATGGAGATATAGTTATTTTTCCAAGGCTCAATGGAGGGGGTGCTAGGCTGTATATAGGAGGTACTAGGTTGGATGAAGTTCGAACAAGTTTAGATGATGGAGATAGATGGAGTTAATATTTCTAAGGCTCAATGGAGGGGGTGCTAGGCTGTATAGAGGAGGTGCTAGGTTGGATGAAGTTCGAGCAAGTTTAAATGATGGAGATAGATGGAGTTAATATTTCTAAGGCTTAATATGGAGGGGGTGCTAGGCTGTATAGAGGAGGTGCTAGGTTGGATGAAGTTCGAGCAAGTTTAAATGATGGAGATAGATGGAGTTAATATTTCTAAGGCTCAATGGAGGGGGTGCTAGGCTGTATAGAGGAGGTGCTAGGTTGGATGAAGTTCGAGCAAGTTTAGATGATGGAGATAGATGGAGTTAATATTTCTATTGCTCAATATAATTAATGGAGGGGGTGCTATCAAGCTAGGATATATATGGAGTTACTAATATATGAGCGAGAACAATTAATGACTGAAGTTCTTCAAAATGAGACATATATATATATAGGTAGGTAGGTAGGTAGGTAGGTATATGTAGGTATATAGGTAGGTATATATATATAGTCGGGGTGTAGGTACGGCCGTACGTACAACGAAAATAGATTATAGAGGCGACAACGTTAACATATATACCCGCTAAATGGTAAGGGTAGAGTAGGCGTGGAGAGTTCGTAGCGAGTTCGTGACGTCATATACTCATGTTTATTCATGAGGCCGCAATACCGGTACCTTGGCACCTTAGTACGCTACCCATCTTCTGCCACATGCACATTAGCCTGTCTTGAAGACAATCAGAAATCCATCCTATACTCGTTTTATTTGGGTCGAATGACTTTGGAAAAATGTCATTCTAATCACTTTTTTATTTAAAAAATCGCATTTCTAAAATAATTTGAAGGATTAGTGTACATACTTCAAACTCCTAATTCAAACAAGCACATTTTTATTTCTCTAGAAAATATATAATATCCTCGAAGCCAGGCTAAATGCACATGCATGATTCCATTTAATTATTTGGCGTAAATATTCATAATTGAATGAGACACGCCCTTAAGACTAAAACAACAACAACAATTTAGCTAGCTTACTTATACTATACTCTCCGCAAAATAAAAATAAATCATAGGCCTACGATCATTTAAATTGATTTATTATTCATGTCTCAAATATATTTTTTTTAAAGTAATAATGAACTGATATATAACCAAGCGAAAATGGGGGAACAGGTCGCCATGCGCAGTACAGAATAGTTGATATTCCAAATGTTTGTACCCCCCCTTCCTCATCAGATCTCTTCCTCTTCCTTCCCGTCTCTCTCTCTCTCTCTCTCTCTCTCTCTCTCTCTTTCTCTCTCTTTCTCTCTCTCTCTTTCCGACTCTCTCTCTCTCTCTCTCTTTCTATATCTCTCTCTCTTTCTCTCTCTTTCTCTCTCTCTCTTTCCGACTCTCTCTCTCTCTCTCTCTTTCTATATCTCTCTCATTCTCTTACCGTCAGTCACTGCTTACTTTCTACTTTCTGCTATTTGCTTTCCAGAGTCCATAAAATCAAGCTTTTGATCATTAGACCCTTTTCTATACATAAAGGCTATAGCCTTTAAAATGTATAATCTGCAACAAAGAATAAAGATCAACAATAATAGAATTTATTGTATGCTAAATATAGTTCAGTAATTAAAAGAATAATAATCAAAATTTGGGAGATCATATGCTAAATAGTTTCCTATATTATAGTATAAAAGAATAAAAATTCAACATTAGTCGAAAGTAGTATGCCATATAGTGTTCCTCATACAATATACATTTTATGTATACATTATTTTCTGCATCTTAAACAAATCCTCATATTCTTTCATGATGGGAGTAGTGAAGTTGCACTTTTGATTTTCCCTAAGAAATACAAGATGACCAACTTAAAAAAAACCTTTGTTATTGTGAAATGTGTTTTCATTTGTATCCAATCAGTATATGAGTCGTTTAATTGAAGTGAAAGTTGATGTACTGCCTCCATCTCGACTGGAGAATGCTATTCATACAAGTCTTCTCTTATTAGTATTTGTTTTCTACATAATTTCACCTCTATCATTTGAAGTTTGTATAATGTGTAATGGTTGGTATTATGATATTGTTACTATTTGCACTACCCTCCATCTCCTTGTTCTGTCCCCACTCGATTCTTCTTCTTCTTCCTCCTCCTCCTCTTCTCATTTTTCCTCTTCTTCTACTTGATCTTCCTCTTCTTCTTCCCTCTTCATTTTCTTCTTAATATTACAATCTTACCATCCTCTTCTTTTTCTTTCTTTACTCTACATCATCATCATCATGTTCTTCTTCACTTTTCTTCATCTCTTCATCATTTACTATCATCTACCATCATCTTTTACTACTTTCATCAACTATCTCATCCTCACACAGATATATTCAACATTGTGATAATAAAATCATCTCTAGCCTTCAGTTATTAGATAGTGTAGTTAATTGATTTCAGATATTTTACTTGCCCTTTGATAAATATTTGAAAATGTTTGTCAATATGTAAACCATTGAAACATTGTCTGAATACAACGTTATTGACTAAGAATATTGTACATGTATATTGTTTGGTGGTTATTGTAAAAACATTACTGGTATTTAAATTGTACATAGACCTGTTGAATAATGTATTCAAATTTTATGCAAGTTTCTCTCCAGAATATCTGGTTACTATCTAGTTAACATGCAATACATAATGGCATCTCGTTAGATGAAATCCATGTTGCATACATATGTTGATACGTCATGCAAGCTTCGAGTCGTCAAGGGAAACATTTCTTCAAGAATTATGCATGAAATTAGTAAACAGGTAGTAAACAGGTATAATTAAACCCCATTCAGTGAAAAGTCATTGGCATACAGTAGGTTTCCAAGCATACATGCTAACATCCAATTCACAGCTGACACAGTACTTTGAAATGTTTTGAAAGAAACAGTTTTATTAAAGAAGCACAGGTTGATTAGCCTGTAGTTCTATCTACCTGTACAACCACTTAGTATCATAAATACAAATATAATGCTCACAATCATATGGACTGAATGTACGTATGCTCCACTACGTTGCACAGGGGTTCTCTCACTGCACCATGTGCTATAAACAGTGTTATATGACCTATGCTGGGCATACAACAACGACAACCAAAACACAGACATATAAAGCATTCTTCATCATACATATAACAATATTGTAAGGCATATACATGTATAACACTTTTTTTTATAAATGCTCTACACAGTAGTGTCCTCCACACAATATATACCATGTACAATATAAAAATTTCCCTTTTATTTTTATCTTCGCAAGATATCAGCGATATAAGACAAATTATAGTAAAGCAACTTCTATGCGTTCATTTGAGATGATGTACGTCTTTCTTTACTGGGAGTAAATCTAGATTGTTTTATCTGGTGTGGTAGGAAACCCCTCTAATAAGGACACAAAACTGAAAGTTAGTTACAAGGACTAATAAATGGCACACACACAAGAGCAGCAATCTTAATGATCCGATGAACAAGTTATATTTGTTCTAAGTAGATTTCATTGAGTCCAATATTTTGATTGCAAGTCATGGTGCTACCATATCTATCTTACAATAAAAAGTGCAATTGAGTGAATTGGAACTTATCCTTTGATTAGTATATTGATACTTGGCTTAAGGTAAGTATTTGGGTTTAGAGTTGACTAACTTTAATAAGTAAAATACTTTGCTGTGGTCTGGATTAGACTTAATGTATTTTAAGTTAAAGTAAATGCTCCCTAAGATACCGACTTAATTTCAAGTAATGAACTGAACACCAACCCAGATCAGTTAGTCTGTAACTCACATGGGTTCTAAAGCCAAGTAAATTCCCTTATCACATCTAGCTCAACATAAACACTCTCATATTGTCTAACATTTGTTCACCATGATTGCAATGTAATTCAGTAAAATGTGCAAACAAAAATTATCTCGTGAAAATAAATTGGCGCAAATTCCTCAAAAAGATTCCAAGCTTTGGCAAGTGGAGCATAAGAGAGAACTTGCCTTCAAAACTATACCAACTCATTGAAAGCTTTTAATTACATACATAAGGAAGCTAGGGGTCATAACTGAATGTACATGTAAAAGGGGCATGCAAGAATCACACCATGCTCAAACACACAACAATAGTCTGGGTAAATAATCTCCATACTAAATGTACTACTTTGCAGACAGCCTGAAGTTGCTTGATTTATGCATAAATCAACTCTACAACATCAGAAAATAACAATATGAAGAGTTTAAAGAAAAGCTAGTACCGAGTATTTACTGTAATAAATGAGATATTTTTTCTTCATTTGGTTATACACTACGTCTCTAATGAAAAAAATATGGTTAAAACTGTTTCATGTTATTGATGTCCATAATAGACAAAATAGTTAGTGCCCCTGGGAGATTACAAGATCATACAACTTGAGAAACCAATCATCTTGTGGTACATGTGGAGAATCAACTCTGCTTTTTGTAAATTTAATTATAAGCATAATGAAATAAATTGAACTGTAACAGTTAGAATATGATCAGAGCAAATACTTCAAATATCTTTTGATTAGAAAATAGTTGCATGTTAAGTGAAATATATTTCAAAGGAGGAGAATTTGAATTTCATTGTGCATGCATACTACCTCTAAACTTTGAAAAGCTAACCTGCTTACAATAATTACATGATACAGAGTTACAGTGTGTAGTGAACAATGCCTTGGTTATAACATCTATTTTGAAATACATGTACTTTAATGGAGCCAGTATATGTGGACGATCTCACAAATGAACTTGCCAATCCCAAAATTTACCAGATGATATGAACAATATATCCACAGATAATGAATGGGATTATTAGAAGAATAAGTCTCATTACCGGTAAGACATACTTTGCTTCATACTCTACAAAACATATTTTCAGTTTGAATCAATTTAAAACAAACTCATCTTGGTTAACAATAAAGCAGTAGTCTTGATTCACATAGTGCTTAATACTAACACTTCTCATTGCAGCAATATCCTTTTAATCCAGTCATCAGATTCATACACGCACACAAGGTGTGCACCATCTCCAATCCTGGGAAATATGATCACTGAGACACCAGATAAGATCACAATGACGTTCAGCATCCTACCAGTTCCAATTTCTATTAGAAGCATATGGAGAATAATTACAACAAACCTGGGATTAAAACCCACATTTAATACCAGCCAAAGTCTATTAAATTAACCATTAGACTACAACCACTATTCTGCTTCTAATCCCTTGTACGGCAGCATTTGTGACCTGTCACCGGACAGAGAGATAATTCAAAGCACAAAACTCATTCTGTGACTGTACATTATTTGTTAGTTTTTAACAGTTTTATTTTAGGAATGCCCAACAAGTAGTCTTTTTTGCCTTCTGCTGAAGAACAATGACAGAGCAAAAGAAAGTTTTAGTAATATAATTCTATGGCAAAACAAAAATCAAAGACATTTTCTTACATTTATTGAAATTGCAAACTGTCAGCATGAGCTAAAACTCCAAGACCTAATGCAGTCACAATTGACAGGGTAATGTAGATACTTGTTTCCCTTCATCAACTCTTTTAACTACTCTATATACCTTCTTGAAAAAATATTAGTTTCAAATCTACTAAATTTCATATGAATGAAACATAATAAACATGATCACAAACAGTTTCACAAAATCAGTAACCGAAAGGGCAAAAAAAGACTAAAATGGCCTCTTAGGGGTCAAATAGAATTAAGGTTAGTATTGAAACTGCCTCAGTTTCTTGAATGGCTTTGAAAATGTGTAGCAGGTAAATATTACTGAAGTACCTAATGTGATCCAGAAAACATGTCTTTCTTTTTCCATTTGGTAACTTGTAAACATGGATCTTTTGATTGTACAAATGCTAGCTGTGCTATATACATTTTTTGTATTGATAATATAAAGGATATACAGATTTGATTCTATCTACAATGTGTCATGTGAGATTGCTCCACTTTGAAATCAGGTAGGTAAAAGATAGGAAATCTTCCTCTTACATAGAAATAAAACTAGTAAAGCTTTATAGCAAATTGTTCTTTCTAACTTTTTGCTTGCATGATCATGATGTTCCAACCAAGTAACTGCTGGTAAGAAGAAACAAAAACTCCTTTCCTTGATAGCTATTACTTCTCAAGACCAGCAATAACTTGTATTCAAATTATAATTTTTTTTAAAATTTGTTCTTGTTCACAAAGTACATGCTGGATTAGAAGATGCACATTTGAGAAAGAAGAATTTCTTTCATCGTCAACCTTTAGCTAAATGTTTTACAATCTCTTCTCCTGCCAGCTTAAAGATTTTCCTACAAGGAGATCATCTATCAATGTTTATACATCTTAAACTGTCATCCCTTTTTGTTGTAAAGGTAATATTTCTCTTTGATTATAACATATAAAAGACATAAATTTTATCAGCAATAAACAGTTTTGTATCAATCAAAAGCAGTAGGTAATATCATTCCCTATAGCCAATTTGAAAATTGTAATGTTTTTATTATGATTATACCTGGGTACACAAACCGCTTTTGTACTATTCCTTCAAGGCTGACTTTATAACACTATTGTAAACAATGAGTGTAGAATACCATTGTAAACTTCCAAACAATACCAGCTGCCACCTAGCACATCTAACTTAGCAAAAAGCATTTACTCTATTTTACCGTTCACTTATAGCCTTTATTAGTAAATGCTAGTTTTTATCTATTCCACCTGCTAGTTCTTTGTTGAATTTGTTTGAGGCTGCAAGCACAGGATTAGGGTTGCTAAGCCTTTACTAGTATTATATAGATATGATGTATTCCATTGGCTTGGCTATTTTGAGAAGGAATTTCATGACACTATTACATGCAACATCACAGAGGAAAGATGTACAACCTAAATAGATCATAAACAGGCTCGGCCTTACTCGTCTTTGTTTGCAAGCCGACCAACTCTTTTAAGTTTTGCACAAACAAACATGACTGGGCCAAACTACAATTTTAAACTGGGTTTTAAGTAGTGAAGATTTCATTAATGTTTGATTATATGTTTGTATCAATGACAAAAGAACTATATGTTCTTCCTCTATTAAACACATCATAACAAAATAAATGAATGAACTATAATATGAAGTATGGGAGATAAATCCTAATTTGGGTTGATACCTTTGAAGGAAGATATACACATTCTTAGAACACTTTTCAACACTGACCTTTTATATCTATGTAAAAGAACAGTAGAAAAACAATCAAAGGTGTATGCGATTCCTTCTCATAAGTACCATACCAAGTAAGACTATTTATGGGCTGAAGTCAGTCATTTGCGCTATACAGGACTTAGCCATCATTACCTATTGGCTAATATATATTCTAACGATGAGAAATGATGTAACTTTAGCCATCCATGGACATGAATAATACCACAAAGCAGGTTGAAACTGGAAATGGAGGTACTCTCCAGCATAGCATGTGAATTCTTTTCTTCTAAAATGAACATCGTTAACATGACTCTGTCATTGTCATTGTTAAGATTTCTACAATGACTTGATCTTCTCCTGTAACCCTTATATCATGAATTGGTATCTATCCAGCTAGTTTCAACAATAGCAGACACCTTCTTTTCATATTCTCTTCTGTTCTCTTGGTATAGCTGTGCAGCTTGGCTGTTTGCTGGGCTGTTAGGGTTCGGTTCATCCAGTAGAGACTAAAAATAAGATACAAAGTTTTATTAGCAAAATAACATCAGTTTCATATTAAAATATTGGAAGCATTGATCATAGCTGTAAAAGAACTGAATTATCATATTAATACTCAGAGTGGTCCAAAAGGGGTTTAAACATCGAACAGCGACAGGTTTGAATTTAATTGTACAGGTTTAAAAATCTTAAAAGGTTTGAATTTCAATTGAACAGGTTTGAAAATCAAATTCAGGTAAATATTCATTCTCAACCAAATATATTCATAAAATTCTAGTCTTAACATGTTTGAAAATGCATCAAAATGTGGCTCAGATTGCAACAGGGTACAAGGCCTTAGAGCCCTCAAGCAAGCCATGGATCCCAGCCACAAGTGACTTTGTGTTTAGCAAACATCAACTCATACTCCTTCATGTTCCTATTTTACATGTTTTACTTTTTTGTATGGACCACCTGCAATACTACAACTTTAAGTATGGTTTACACACAAAAACAAGCTAAATGATTGTATGGCAAAAGCCGCGGAGGGGGTCAAGTGGCAATGTAGCACCAAGAAGGAGGGCATAGGAGGTCCAAGATATTCATACAGGTTAAAAACATTCACAATAACATTCCCTGAGTACTTGATTTGCATGTATAGACATCCAAGCTTTGATGACTTAAAGCAAAATGTGTCCTACATTTTTGCACAGCTCAATGCTGTTAACCCTACTAATCAACTCACTAGGTGAAAGTAGGCCCGAATTCACAAAGGAGGTGTAGACCCTCATTCACATAACCAATGGTCTAAAATTAGCCCAAAATAAACATGACACAGTCAGAGGTCCAATATTAGACGCGCGCAAGGTAAGGTACACTTAATTTTAGACCAAATGAGAGTTTAAAACAATGGGTTGAATTTAAACCTCCTTTGCGAATTCGGGCCTATGAATGTGTTTTGACACATACACTCTAGGAAAGTGTGCTGGGGGGTGTTTCATAAAGCTGTTCGTAAAGTTACGCACGACTTAACGAACGACTTGTATATGAAAAGCCAAATGGGATGCTCAATCGTTATTGATTATTATTTATTAAGTTGAACTGTGCAGATGTAGATTAACATTCTTATCATAACAACCATTTTTAATGCAAAGTATATTTTTTGCCATAATTTAATTGAGGTTATTGGAAATATCAGAAAAAACTTTGGGCATCCTATCTGGCACTTCATATACAAGTCGTTCGTAAAGTCATTTGTAACTTTACGAACTCTTTATGAAACACCCCCCTGGGGGTAAGATGGTTTACCTGTATTGATGTAAGAATTGCTGATACATCATATGTAGGACTCCATCTATTCTGTAGAATATCCAAGCAGATTCCTCCATCAGCATATACTGTGGAATACAAGATGAGTAGAATTAGAATGATTGCTCAAAGAGTGGGATCACATGTTGCAATTCATAGTGACACACATTCTAAAATATTGCATCATGTAGAATTCTGGGTCCATACCTTTACTTTCTGGATGTAATGTGATGCATGAAAATAATCTATTATCAGGGGAAAAGCTTGTTATGTCTCAAATAATCAGCATTTTTTTTTGTATCTTACTTTCTTTTTCCACGTCATTTCATCCAATATTATGAAACACCCAGCGATCAGGTACCATTTATATCATACATTTTGATATTGTCCATATTCGTCTTTATTTTTGACCCAAATTAAACATAACGATATGTGTATTAAATTTCTTGTAGGGTAATTGATAATTATTTTCTTAATGTCATATTGACAGATATAACATGACAACATATACCTTGTACTGTGTGCTTTTTTTTTAAATGAAACCCAAATTTCTCATTTTGCTTTTATTTCCTTTTTATCTTTCCTGCCCATTCTGGCTAATTATGGATATTTTTCTCATTCAAGGTTTAGTCCGGCAGCCAAACCCGGATTTGGGGCCTAACCTTGTTTTGGTGAATATTCTAAGTTTTTTTTTTAATGGATTCTGATTGTCTAGGTATCCACTGTGAACAAGCAAAAAACTGGAGCTCTGTCAGCCTTGAGCAATTTGAGATATAAGCAAAAACAAAATGGCCGCCAAAATGGCGTTTTCTGCTCTAAAAATATGTGAAAATGTATACTTTGTCATGTTTTATTTCTACATTTAGAACCCTTTTCCGATTTCTTTTACCAGATATGATATATATGATCCATATTTTGATAATTCTAAACGTGGTTTTAGATGGCAGAGCAATTTATACATTTATACAGGGTGATTCATAAAAAAGTGTACAAGAGATTGGCTGTTTGCGATTTCTACTTCGATAACAAGCAATCAATGTATACACACTCTGGCAACATATTTGTGATGTATATAATCTGCATTTTAATTGAAGCTAATTGATGTCGCCTATCATCATATCGCCTTTAGCAATTTGTGATTATAAGCAAAAACAAAAGGGCCGCCAAAATGACGTTTTCTGCTTTAAGAATATGTGAAAATGTATACTTTGTCATGTTTTATTGCTGCATTAAGAACGCTTTTCTGATTCTATTTAACCAGATATGATATATATGATATATATTTTGATAATTCTAAACGTGGTTTTAGATGGCAGAGCAATTTATACATTTATACAGGGTGATTCATAAAAAAAGTGTACAAGAGATTGGCTGTTTGCGATTTTTACTTCGATAACAAGCAATCAATGTATTGTATACACATATACGCTTCATTTTAATTAAATCTAATTGATGTAGCATATCATCTCAAAGCAAATGTATTTGTAGAGATACCCTGTTGAACATACACACACACATCTATGATGAACTGCTACGATTCAAGAAGTGTGCAGCTGTAGAGGCAGGGAAAAACACTGAACTGACAGCACTATCAAGTGCTGAAGATGGTCTTGTTCAGATCATAGTTGACAACTTCCCGTGCAGTTCTCATGACCCAGCCAGATACAAGCCTGTACCATGATGATCAGCAAGAGATTTCACAACTGAAGAAGGCTGAGATGTCTAGAGATATTGACTACAAGCTTGACATCATGAGATACAATAGTCCAAGAAAACCAGATATGCCACCTGTCAAGAACCAAGTTCCACCACTTAGTGTTCTCGCTCATATGGTTTCTAGACAGAGACCTAATGACTGTGACCGCAGGTTCTTGACAGATGTTGTGCAGCGTGATAACTGTCCTGAATTCAATGGATATAATACGCATTTATGTCGCAATCAAGGGGAAGCCACACAACCGAAAAATAAAGCAGCGTATCTATCGTTGATTGATATGCCACCAGCACATCCAGACACAATAATGACAGCCATGAGCAAATCACAGCAGTTAAACAGAGAAAACTGGTCAATGTTTCACTGTCTTCACTGCAGATCAACAACTGTACAGGGTTGCAGTAGAGGTACAACCTGATCAAACCAGTACTGATAATGATGCTCTATGTACGGGCTGAACGAGAACTAAAGTGATTGGCCTCTACACCTGGAGGCAGTGAGGCTTATGATGCTTTGCGTCGGGACATGTAAACTACGCGCGATATCGGTTATTCTACCTTCAACGCATGGAAGCCCTACCAGGAGATGCACTCCAGTACTCCATGAAAAGGTCTCATGTGATGAGACACACTCAAGGCTTATGGAATGGCATATGGAGCGACATGGGCATGGTAATGCTGGTGTGATTGGCATCACTCTAAATCCAGAAACTCTCAAGACCTGCATGGGCCCTTAGCTTGCACATATGTATCAGACTTGTGGAAGACGTTCCAACTCTGACAGACAAGTCGGCTAGTTCTAAAACAGTGCACAAAGAAGAGGCTCCAGCAAGGATATCTGCAGACCATGGTGACAGAGACTGGTTGTGCAGAAAACTGGATGTGAGCATCGATCCAATGGACCCAAAGAAGCACCCAGCGAACATTGTCAATGTGGTCAATGGACAGATCGCTCCTGAATCAGTGAATGTTGACAGAGTAGTTGAAACTGGTGCTCAGTAAATGGGTGAATTTGAACGGAAATTGCCTGGAGGTTTCTACGACACAATTTCAAAGAAAGTTCAAACCATGGCTGTCATGAAGAAATCAATTGTCAGAATTGACGTAGGCGATTCCAAGGTATATGATACCAAGTTGATATACTCTCGCGTGATAGGTCTACAAGCAAGTTCCAGAGATGTTGAATTTCATGATGTAATGTCATGCGAGCTGTCGCCAGTTCCTACAGCTCTGTTTGATGAGTCTGGAGATATGCATATCTCGAAGTCCAAGGCCGCTTTGAAGAACCAGAGACAAAGGTTGAAATATCAGCTAGACACGCGACACTTGAAGAAACGTGTAGAGTGATCGATGGATGTGCTCTCCTTTGGATTCCTAATTGGCCTTCATCATCACCAACACGACAACCAACAGTGATGGACTTTGTATCGAAATTCAAAGGCGAGATTGAAGAGAGACTAAAATCCGGTGATGTGTACTTGGTATTTGACAGGTCAATGATTACAGTACCAAGTGTACAACCAGGATATCGAGAGGCAATGATGGTTGCAGAGTTTTCCAACTGAGTCCAACTTCACCCCTTCCGTCTCAGAAACTGACTCTGACAGTCACAGAGAACAAGAAACAGTTGATTAACATCATTTGTCAACATCTGAAAGGTGATGCAGGTTTCATCATAAAACACAAGCTTGTGATCACCAGCCAAGATGACACTCCTGTTCAACTAGGTCCAGGTGGTGTTCCGCGATATGGCCACATCTCATGAGGAGACGGATGTGATTATTGTGCAGCAGGCTATCATGCTTGCAGATGAACGATGATCCATCAGGGTGCGTGCAGACGACACAGATGTCTATGTTCTTCTGCTTCATATTTCTACCAAAAGCAAGGCCTTCAGTCACCCTTGATAATGGAGTCGCCCATCAGAGACAGATCTGTAATCGATATACATGCCACAGTGGACAGACACAGAAACATCATCCCTTTTATGTTAGCAGGTCACCCATTGACAGGTTGTGATACTGTTGGTGCACATTTTGGAGTTGGCAAAGGAACTTTGCTAAAAGTGCTGAGGCAGAAAAATGGGTTATCATCGCCATCGATTGGAGACATACATGCAGATATGGCCGACGTGATGAAAGATGCAACAGCGCTCATAACATCATGATATGGACAACCCAAGGCTACGACACTGTCAGATGCCCGACTGAATGTGTGGACTACACGGGTCGGGAAAGCAGGAGCTATCACACTCCAAATCTTGCTGCAATGCCACCAACAACTGAAGCTTTCAAAGATAATGTTAAACGTGCCCATCTTCAAACATGGATTTGGAAGAGTGCTCCGGAATTGAATCCATGGACATTGGATCCCACTGCATTTGGTTACATGAAAGACGAAGCAACAAAGTCACTCATCCCGGTAACTATTCCACCAAATGTGAAACTTGCACCTGCAAACATACTAAGACTTATACGTTGCAATTGTGCAAGTGACAACCCATGCAAATCATCAGGATGTGGATGCAACAAAGCCAAATTAGCTTGCACAATGTTCTGTGCGTGCCATGCATCCGTGCGATGTCTAAATGATCAGACTCTGGCAGCAAAAAAATGTAAATCAAAATGACAGTGATGCGTGAGCTCAGTTCAGCAAAGGAAGAAAAGGCGTATCCTTAAAAGAATTGCGTACAAGATGAATTGTGAAGGTAAAATTCCTAATATCGCTATAAAATGGTTACACATTCATGAAAGAAGAGTGATCAAATTATTATTATTTTTCACGAAATGGTATCTTAGGAATTCAAACCTATTGTGAAAACAAATATTTATTACTATAGACTATTGATAGATATTGTGTGATAAACTAACATTGCCGCCATTTTTAATATGTAAATGAGCAAACGTACAACAGCCTAAAGTCAAATATCCAAATCAATTCATCTCTGATTCATGAAGTACCAGTATACTACTCTGCCAATTTCCGTAATGTATAATACTTATGGCAAATGTTGCTTAAAATTTATCATTTTGGTGGCCATTTTGTTTTTTCCCATTATCTAAATTAGTAATTATTGACAAATGAGTATGACATAAGTATTTGGTACACTTAGGTATTCTAAGAATTAAAAACATAAGATAGAAGGAAATGAGTATAATACTATTTTATTGTGATTCTAAACTTAACAGCTGGCATTTATCCGCCATTTTGAATATGCAAATTAGCAACAATTACAATGGAAAATATGCTAATTAGGTCATCTATGGTCATCTATGTTCACGTATGGTCATCAGGAATGTGTTGACAATGGTCTTCATGAATTATAAGCACACCATTCTGCCAATATTCTGTAATGTATTATGAAATAATTCAAATTTGACTGAAAATAGGCTATTTTGGCGGCCATTTTGTTTTTGGCCATATCTTAAATTGCTCAACACTGACAAAGCTCCAGTTTTCTGTTTGGTCATCTGCAATGCCTACGGAAACAGAATCCATCAAGAAAAAAACTTATTTCAACAAAACGAGGTGTAGCTCAGTGGCTGCCGGACTAGTTGCATGAAACGTTGAAAGGTGATCACTTATCTTTGCTACATGTCTTTACCTGTTGCTTCACTTCTGTTGTGAAAACTACTTTTGACATCAGTCATTCACTTAAAACCTTCTTTTAACTCATTCAGACAATTTCATAACATATTTGGTAAAATGATTTGTCTAGTAATTGATGGGAATATTTGTTTTCCTTTTTTAGAGAAAAACATTTTATTTTTTTAAATGTTATTTTAAGATTTTTCACCATGAATAGATCCTTACCTATCAATTGTAATTGGAAACATGAGATAGCGTCATAATATGGCATTCCAGGAAAATGTTATAGGCTGTGGTCTACCTTCAAGGTCATACATGTAGGTTTATCCAATAATTAGAAAACAAATGAAATATATTTTGGAAACCCCTTTGACTTTGAATGTGCAGTACTTTTAGCACATTCTATTACATTCAAACCTTAATAAAAAAGTCCAATAACAAACTAGATGAAAGCTCTATCTCACATTCAACAAAGACTAAGGCTTACCATTAGGGTGAAACATCTTTGATACAAAGCGTACTGTAGGTGGTTTGTTGGGGTACTCTTCTGTAAACTCAATGGTTAGCTTGAACGTTCCTGCAAAAACAAAATGATGACATAAAATAAAATTTGAAGCACCTCAAATGATTTCAATGAAACAAGATGAATATACCATTAGGAGGGAGAAGAGAAAGTACTTTTAACAATTGATTCAAATTCAAGCAAACAAATATGACTAGATGAATATGGATTATTGAGGGTTAGTCTAATAGTAAAATTATCAAGATTACCACTTCATTTTGTTGGTTTATCTGCTATGTGGCTCTTCTAAAGCTAGATGTTTTTACTATATTCAGCAAGAACCGTAACAATAGAGAATTCAACTTACCATCTTCAAATGGGGTGTCACGTGGCCTATACAAAAATGGGAAACAAAAAACAATATATAATTTAGAACCCAAATACAAAATTCTGTTATTTATAAATGTAATAATACTCAACAACCTGACCAAAAAATATGAATATTTAAACTTCATTGCACTGAAGTGAAAGAAAACAAATGTTCATGAACAAATAGAACATGTTTATTTTGAGGGTGGGCCATCATGGTGAATTCAACACAGTTTGGGTGTTTACCCAATATCAGGTGTTGTCAATCACCAGGATTAGCCATCAGTTTTATGACCAATATGCATTATGTAATGTTTTGCATTCCCTCACCCGAAGACTCAGTAAGAGACTAGGGGGGGGGGGGATTTCTTGATAGGACTCTGGGTTTGATGTGTGCGAGACTTGTACACCCATTAATGGTATTTCCCCCCAAGTCTGGTGTCAGCAAATTATAGCCTTCTCCACATGGAAACTGACTACTGGTACCCACAGGCCACTCCCTTTAATGTAGCAAAATAACTCTTCGTGTACGATGATATACCTAATTACTGATGGGTCTCCTCTTCTAGTGTGACTTAAATAAACTCCATGTGTTGTGAGATTTTGAAGGCCAGATATAACTCACCCAAATATAAGAGCGTTCCATAACATGATGTTGTTTTCTGAAGGTGCACCACTCACACCAGCTGGTGGATCTTCTTGTAATCTGGGATGAAATTAAGAAAAATCACAATTATATTTTGTTAATATACCGGTATATTGGATGACCATAACATGTCTTGGATTACTAATAAATGCAATCAGAACAACAGCAAAAACACAAATCTGCAAAATCTTATGTGCATGTACAGGTGTATATTTGACTTAAAAATAAAACAGATTAACAAATTGAAGTTTTCTCAATTTGAAAAAGCCTATGAATTAGGAAATAATATGGTTGCAGGGCCCTCAGGGAGAACAGAACAGTATCAATAGTGATGAGGCAACCTTTGGTAAAGTTAAACAAGTCCTTTTCAGGACTACACACACTCAAGAAAGATTACAGATAGTCCTTTTCAGGACTCCCCAATCTTCCCTCTCTCTCACATGGTGCAACCGCAAGCCTACTGTACAAGTCATATTATTGTTATAATTATTATTTTAGAACACAATATCTAGGTACAAATATCAATGGAGATATATACAATATGGTTCTACTACTATTTCTTACATGTAAATGTAGTTGTTATTGTGCAAGATATTCAACATTTGACATTTCCTGTTGCATGAACAATGAAAATATCTCAATGGAGTAAAAGAATCCAACAAAGTTATCAAGCAATGCGATTCCACATACATGTACAGTACCTAATTTTTAATCGTTTCTATATTGATTATTTGAATTTAAACGACTTAAATTCTATTATAAACGACTGATGTGGAAGACTAGTCAACCACCCTTTCGGCAAAACCGGGGGGGGGGGGGGGGGGGGGGGGGGGCTTTGGACAAATGGTCGCGTTCGGACTCCCAACGCACCCTTTCGGCACAATCAGGGGGGCTTTGGACTAGGCTTGAGTCATCACGGGTTTTGCCGAACCCGGGTTTGACTTGAAAATTTCGGGCGGGGACCGGGTACTCGAAATTTTCACCACTGCACTGACACTAAAAATCGTGTGCATGCAGCGGCGGGAGTTAGACTAAGTTGCTGTTCTAATAATGCGACGGAAAAGACAGTTAGTGCTTTCAAAACAATAAAATATTCAATTCAATTAAAATTAAAATGCTTTAAAAATACGTAGTTGTCATGCAGTAGACTGTAGAGGGAAGTATGCAGCACAGAGAGAAAAAAGCGCGGGCCTGAGATCATGTGATATTCATGTGCCTATTACGTGATAATTTTTTTCCTCTCTGCGAGCTGCCGCATTCTGTCTATAGTCTACTGCGCTGCATGACAACTACCTCTCATTTCAAAATGATGGCTAGCTGAACTCGATATCGAGTACATAGCTCATGAAGTATCATTATTTCTGTAAGATATTATGAATATCTATAGTATTATTTGTCAAAGCAAATAATATTTTACGGTAATTTTGTTGAATTGGAGTCCCTTAAAGTCTTACATGGTTTTTTAATTGGTTTGATGCTTAATGTTCCGATCAGCTCGGATGGCGATGTAGGGATTTATGTAAACAAAACTTGACTTGTAACTTCAGCTTGCCGTTATACATGCATTTTTAGAACGAACGAAAGGCACTTCGATGTTACTTCAAGTATTATTTTCCTTCATCAAAATATCAAGGGTAAACCATTATGTTGTGGATATATTTTGACAATTAAATTAATGTCTATTATAAGTATTACGATTTAATTGTAATAGTCTGAGCAACATTTTAGTCTCGTGTATGGTACTCTTGCTCATTCTTCGGTGGGTCATATTTCAACTTCCTTTTCTGAACGCACTCGGTACCACGAAGTGTGATTCCTTTCTTGCAGCCTCAATTTCAGAGCGATAAAAACACGTACCGTCAACTGCAACAATATCCATATATTTCTTAAGCATATTTAGTTTGTGAATTGCATATTTTTAGTTCTTTATTTCAAAATATCAGTGTGAATTTTAATTTTGAAAAACCAAAAACTCGATTATTCCAACCCGGGTTTCGGCGCGACAGTCGGGGACCAGGCAGGGAACTGATTAGACTCAGGCCTACTTGTGACGAATGGTCGCGTTCAAGTTAACGTGACGCAACACGACGCACCATTTCGATATAAGCCACCAAGACTAACTCGGCTCAATCTATCTGTGACCGAGAATAGTGAATCATGACTCACTGATTTGCGGTTTGTCACACTCATCTGCTCATAATCAGTAGGGGTGCCGGTCTAAGGAGGAGGATTGTCCGCATAAATGAGGATATCCTTGTAAACGCGGACAAATTGAATCCTAAAAAATAAGGATCGTCTGCATTTTGGCGGACGTTTTTTTTTCATCGGCGCTCTGCGGGTTTCGGGTTCCCAAACTGCGCGCTGGCGATGCGGAAAAACGGATTCCCCATGATAAAATAACCCCAGTTCACCGTCTACTTTCATGGGTTGTCCAATCTTCCCGAGGATCTTTCGCTCATAACGTGGGAGTCTCTGTACAAAGTCAATGTAAAATGCATCAAGAAAATCATCAGGGAATCCATTTTTCGCATCGCCAACGCACGGATCACAATATGTAACATCTGCGAAAATGCTGACAAATCACGGACGAGCGCCCCTAAGTACTGCAGAGACGCCAAGTTCAAAGATAAGCAATGCGTGACATTTTCATGACCGCTCGCGAGGGTAACACACGTTTAAGATAAGGTAGGCCTACAGCGTTTTTTCAAAATCTAGCACGCACGTCGTGCGCGAGACTGTTTCCAGACCCTCGAAATGCGTGACACTTGGTAGCTCTGTCTGGTACTGTCCTGATTGGCTGATAATCACATTTATAATCATCACAACCATCATTCAAATTTAGAAAAGATATTTGATCTAATTTTCTCAACATCGTCAAAAATCATACTTCAAAACATGAAGACACAAATTAAACTAGAGATTTCATATGAATTAGATGACTTTATAAAGTTAATTAAACTTGGCTCTCCGCCTTTCCTTACACTGCAACAGAGTACATTATGCATAGTCATAACACCAGACATATACACACCGACATGATCATGACAGGTGAAGTGAATGGTCATCATTCATTGACTGATTCTCTGCACTCACTTTTTAAAATCTCTCATGAGCCGCCTTCTCGCCGGTGTCGACATTTTATGATATATGTGCAAGATATCCAATAAATATATATACAAAAGTACAATCTACCACTCCTCAAAAGCTTGATTTCATCGTCGTTACGTCCGCATCAGTGATGATTTTTATTGCATATCCACAATTAGATCTACAACTGCACTGCACTAGCACTGCAACAATTGCACTGTGTTTTCCCCATACGATGATGATATGATCTCATCGCATTGAGACATAAAGGAAACCATTCCCACAATGCAAGAATTTGCTGAACAGCCCCATCTGCGTTTACATTTTATTTTTATTTTTTCCTCGTTTTTGATCGAGCGGCTCGGTCTGAGCAGCCAACGACTACCACTGCTACCAGGTGCTCAGTGACCCCCCCCCCCCTGCCCCCTCCCCCCACACACACTTTTTCAAATACCCCAAATATGCCCCTTTTTACATAGGAAAGGTGCCCCCTATTACTTTGACAAGTGCCCTATTAATTTGTAAAAATGCCCCTTCCCTATCTCAGTGATAAGTGCCCCTTTTATTTTTGACAAATGCCCCTTTTTCCTATCTAATAAATGCTCTTTTCCTACTCATAAGTGCCCCTTCCCCTTTTCATAATTACCCTTTTTCAACTCTGATAAGTGCCCTGTTAATTTTAAGATGTGCCTATTTTTCTTTTTAATACTGGATCTAGGGCCACTTCCCCCTTCTCATAAAAGTCCCCTTTCATGTCCGATAAATGCCCCTATCAAAATCTGATCAGTGCCCCTGTTCTGTCAACTAATGCACATTTTCCATTAATAAAAGTGCCTCTTTTTCATGTCCGCGATAAATGCCCCTTTTCATATCTGGTCATGCAGTGCCCCTTTTAAGGTGCAATAAGCGCCCCTTTTCACAGTCTGAAATTTCTGTTTCAATATAAGTGCCCCTTTTCCTTTCTAATAAGGGACCGGTCCCCTCCTCATAAATGCCCCTTTTCACCTCTTATAAATGTCCCTATCAAAGCCTGATGGGTGCCCCTTTCAGTCGACAAAAGCCCATTTCCCATTCTCATTAGTGCCTATTTTTAAATCCCAGGCGAATACCTCTTTTTTAAGGTGTAAGAAGTGCCCCACTTTCACCTTAGATAATTACCCTTTGTACCTTGACACGTGCTCTTTTTCTTGTCTGATAAGTGTCTTAACCCTTTCGATAAGTTTCGCCTTTTCCTCTCATCATTAAACGCGCCCCTATAATTTCAAGCGAGTCAAAGCAACTTCCCCCAAAGCTCGCTCGCATTTGAATATGATATAATCATGTGACTGTCTTGTCAAAAGTCTTTTCAGCCTTCCATTATGAGAATGTGCGCATTAACTCCATTAGGATTAGTTAATTCCTCTTGATAATATGTAAATTTTTTGCACTACGATCTCACAAATCTTACAATATTTCCTTGCTAGCTTAATTCGCTCGCTCACAAATGAATTTCCAGACCATCACGCCCAACTGCAGAGTATGATGCTTAAGTAATATATTGTATGGTGTATAAAGAGAAACAAGTATTGAGATCATCCCTTATATAATTACAATGTAGGGGTATATACCAATGTCTAAACAAATTTCCCACTGTAGACTGTAGGTGCCCCCCCCCCCCCATTTTGGAAGTCGCCCCGTCGCCCCGCCGCCCTGATTACCAACCATGCCATGCTATACTGCATTGTATTGATACAAATAAAATATTATGCTCTATAATTACTTCTTGAATTATTTTCAGGCATTTGACCGTAAATCATCATATTTGGTTATGAACATTATCGCATTGTTTGGTCAGGGCGCAGCCCAGTGGAAAAGGGCCACACAATGTGAGCTGTGGAGTCCCACGAGGAACCATACTTATTTGTTTTATTTATAGATGATTTTCAATATTCTTCTGAAAGAATTTTTTATTTTGTTTGAAGATGATTCTTTCATATGTTTTACATTACAGCGTGGATTCATGCTAATAAATTGTTTTTTTTTTTTTTTTTTAATCTTTACTAAAATGTTTGTCATAAATCAATAAGGTGTTGCCTAGTGACATTTATTTTAATGGCGTTTTGATAGAGTAGCATCAACTAAATTCCTGGGTCTTCATAAGTATTGATAAACAATTGTATTGGAGAATGCATATTAATAATCTCTGCAAAACTGCAAACAATTGTCAAGAAATACTGGTATGATTTACAGGCTAAACTCGGTTAATCCTCAAAACAGTTTACTAATCTCGAATGGAACTTTAATTCTGCCCTCTAACAATCATGGTGTGCTTGCTTGGGCAAATCTCTCAAAAAGTAGTTTAATAAACTATTTTTATTTCAAAAGAGAGTAATACATATATGACATAAGTTGTAATGTTATAACTTTCATGCTCATACGTACAAGTGTTCTTTTTTTTGTGATCTTCGAATTTTAAAGAATATGCAGGGTTTTTTTTTTCAGGCGTGCTTTTGTTTTCTTTAGCCAAAATCTTCAAAGAAAAATGATTAGTCATAATAATATTATGCCAGGCTTCTGCATTCCACCTACATTACATCGTGCAAGGACAAATTAAACTCTTAACAATGACTGGACCAAAGTTAACTCTTAACATTGACTGGACCAAAGTTCTGGAACTCTCTACTCTCAAGCATTACTCGCGCTGTCAGTATAAGTTTGTCTTTAGACGTAAACTGAAGTCATACCTATCAAGTAATTATTTTGTTGATTCATTAAATTATGCTCTAAGATATTAAATCTATTCTAAATTCATTAGAGAACTGCAAACTTTTCTCTTCCTTTTATTTTCCTCACCTGTAGTCAGCTCTTTGTATTCTTGTTTTGTGTAATTGTATCCCCCTTCTCTCTTTTATTTCGATATTATGACTCTTCTTGCCCCCTTTGTACATCGCCTCTTAGTTTCCCTTTTTCCACTTTTTCTGTTATATAGGCCTTGTCTGCTCCCACCCCCTTCTCTCTCTCTCTCTCTCTCTCCCTCTCTCTCTCTGCCTCCATTCCCTTCTCTCCCTCTCTTATAAAGATAAAGATTATGAAAAGAATCAGCACGATAACCAACAAATTGGGCTGGTGATACGCCTCAACTTGGGTCAAAAGATGCTAATCATGTATGCACTAATAGAAACAAAGAAAACCACAAGACACTGCTCATAACAGTGCAAAATCAATCCGTTCAGCATTTAATTCATAATGAATATTCATACAATTCAGTATATTTCTTCATTTCTCACCAAAAAATATGTTTTTAACTTTGTTTCATATACATTAAAGGTAACGTGTACAAAAGGCTAACTTTGGTGTGTGACATAAAACATCAAATCAGATCCAAACAAGTTGGTGAAACTTAGGATATTTTAAAAACAAGTGTGTACCACATAATACATACAATTAAAATGTTCTTAATAATGTGATTAGCCCATCAAATACATTACAACAAAAATACAAACTCTTTGTAAACAAAAGTGCACCTGTTGTTACGTGTGAACAATCGAAATGTGCAATCTTTTTAAGTATTGCATGAAAAAAATGAATTATAAAATTGAGATTGCAGAGATTAATATAAATAATAATAATAATAATAATAATAATAATAATAATAATAATAATAATAATATCAGGATGAAAAAGGACAGAAATTTACAAATATTTTGCCAAAATGTTCAATCTCCACCATTTAATTTATGACATTAAATCTTGGAAACTTGAATCAAGATGTTTAAAAGTCCAAATGTCAGTGTCAGTATGACATTAAAACTAGCTATTCCCCATGATATGAATTGTACATCTACCTGGAATCTGTTTTAGCTGGGTGTAATCAACATAATATCATTTTACAGCATATGAAAGAAGCTGACAGACTAAATATAAAAATGATTGTTTGACAAAGAGTAAGTTTGAGAGGCAAGAAACTTGAAGACAATAACTTTTCAAAATTTCATAATAAAACCTTATCCTTTAGCCAAATAATATACTCCATCATTAGATCGGTATGTCAAATTGATTGAAAAATATATAATGAAGATCATGTTGCCATAATAATGTTTAAAAATTGCATAGCAAGGCAAATGAGATTAAATAGAGATATTGCATTTTAGATTGTCTCAGTTTATCAGTTAGTAAAATTGATCATGAAAGTAGAAAGCTGGTATGCATTGCAACTGTAAATGATTGTCTTTCTAAACCATATGCAAGGTATTGGTTTTACCATCTCAGTGATATGTGAAAGTTTAGGGTATAACAAATGGTAATCTTTTCGTTTAACGCCCTTATTACTTCATATAAAATATGCATGATAAGTAATACCGTAATAAGCAGTCATATACTAGCTCATACAAATCCATAATTACAAACAAAAGTGTAAATATCTGCACATATTATAGAGACCCTTGTCTCCTCATATCCTTTCAAATGCATAGTAATGTAATATCATGAAATAAACTGGTATCTGGGCACTACTTCATGAACATGTTATCAACAACTGCCACAGATCTATGAAACATCTACTCGTAGCCAATCAAATGTAAGGGTTTCACTAGCTTATGAGAAAATAGGAATTATTGGATCTTGTTATGGATCCAAAATGTTATGAAACAGGGCTCAGATCCAATCAAACTAAAGTATATACAAAGAATATGTGCCAGTGATATACAGATAAAAGGCAAATACTGCAGCATGGAATGTATTTATTAATGGCACTCATATACGGGGCAAGTGGGACTCTTAAAATGATTCATGAATACCAAAGCTACATTAGGGTAAACTACGTGTCGTCTTGCTGAAAACCATAGAGGATTAAATGACAAAACAGTTCAGTATTGCATACTTTATATAGAATTAATTTGATTAGACCTACAAATGTTCCTACAGTATCTACTGCTTCCATTTTCATCTTCCAGTCTCTATGGGCTAGTCTTGGTACTATGCTCAACTGAAAAAAATAATGTATATCGGTCATGTTTAAGTATAAGACAAATTAAACAATCAGTTACAGGTATTAGCAAATCTGAATAGAATGCTTGAAGTAAAAATTAAAAAATTAAAAAAATGATTGCATAAAAAAGGTTTACTTTTAAATACTTATTTATATGTACAAGTATGTGATCACAGTACAGGCTTTGGTAATGATCAAATGTATGCATCGTTGATTAGAGATGACAATTCATTTCAATTAATTACACAGTATAATCTGAAGACTAGTCTAGCTAGTTTAACTCAATACACACAGAAATAACACAGCAAGCACCAGAAAGTAAACTTTCTTTAGTTCAGCAATAATACTGCCCATGCAAAATAACATTATCGTATGTACACACTACATATTATTGAGAAACAGTTGAACAGGACAAATGTTCGTATGAAATACAAGGTGGTATAACATCCTCAGCAGCTTTAACTAGTCAATAAGTTAAAGGAAAATAAAACCACATGAATGTCATGTACACTACAAAACAATCCAGGCCTATATAAATAAATCAACACAGTACAGCACACACTACAAAACAGGTATTATATTTATCAAAAAATATAACAAAATATAAAAAAATAAAAAATAAAAAACAGGTATTATATCAAATATAATACAGCAATGTAATAAGGAACACTGGTATTAACACAACAAAACTCCAGCACACATCACTGTGGAGCTTAACAATCAGAGATACACCAAACAGTTTTATTATAGGAAAGGAGTGTTTTAACTCTACTTTAGGAGAACCATATTTTTAAGGGTCGTGTAAGACTGCAGTTTTGTCTTCAAGAAAATCTTTGTCCCTTAATCAACAACAGTCAATATTTTCTATACCAATATCCTTCTACTCTTGCATGAAAGCTCATATATATATTCCCAACAAAACTGCTGCAAAATCCCTGATTTTCAGTATGAAAATGAAATATTACTAAGAAATAAAATATGTATATCCTTAAAACTTGTTATCAAATCTACTCAATTCAGTACCAAAAGCTTCTATTGGGTAAAAAATTATACAACAAATCAACATTGTTACCGATATTAACACTGAGCTTAAAATGGCTTTCTTGACAAAATTTCAACACAAGGGCTTCCCCACATAATTGTGTGATAAAATAATGACAACCTCTGCAGTACATCCATATTCTAAGACCCTATTCTAAATTTAGTCATGACGAATAACAGAAATAGAAAGGGTCTGTGTTATTATTGCAGAAAAGAATCATGTCAAAATGCTTTTCAGATTATTCCTATTTACTCCATTTTAGAGTACCGATAATTGATATTTGTGTTCACATTCCTCAATAAGCATGTCCACACAGTGGAGAATCATAGCTATACATAGCCTCTAACGTGGTATCATACCCTACACTCTGTTCTACCATTTCATTGTGCTCCATCGCACCATTTGACATCGTGTGAACAGAGCTTCCATCAGACTTGAAAGCATGTGTATTATAGGCATTCTTTCCTGAGGCTTGATTGGCACTGTACCCATTGCTACATTCTCTGGATTCCTCAGTGATCATGTCTATACAGCTGTGTTCATCATCCATTGATTGTAAAGGCCTCCTAGAAGACACAGGTTGGCAGCTGGGCATCACATTATCATAGTCCTTTCTAGATCCATTCATGGTATCATAACAAGAGGTGATACCATTCATATTGTTTTGTCTTTCATGTCCTGCAATGGTATTGCATGTTCCCGTACCAAGGCTTGCTAAAGGGCTACACACAAGGGATGACCGTGATGCATGCTCTGTACAAATAAAACCACAAGACAAGGAAAACAAACCACAAACCAAATCAAAACAAATGAAAGAATGTGCACATCATGAGAATTACAAAATAATCAACCAACAAATATAAACAAGAAAAGGGTAATATGCTGCAATACAGAATACATGTAAACTTAGTATAAATGTCATACACTGTATATAAACAAATCAATTCCAAATTATTGTTCACAATTATAGTGAAAGCTAACGAACATTCCATTATTTTGAGAAAAGTTTGTACAAATTCAAGGGGTGGTATTTTGAGAATAATATTATCTCAGTGAAATATAGCGAGATGAAATACCTTTAAAATGTCTCTTAGATTGGAATTCTGAGAATCATTTTAGCAAAATTTAAATGCCCATTAGTGATGCAACAACCAATAAGAAGTGTTGCCACTTCACTCTCATCATGTTCAGCCAATACAATCCTTTTCTGTCAGTCTCTTGGGCATGAGCACTTAAATGCAGTATTTTTACATTTTTGAGAAGAAAAAAAAAATCTAAATTGTTTCAGAACCTCACATTGATAGTACCCCACTACATTTAGGAACATTAATGATAAGCAAAAAGGATGGTAAAAATAGAGCTACATGTACATGTACTAGTGCATCACCAACATTCTATACACACGGTGACAAATATATTCCTTCCAAGACACAAGATAACCACTTGACACTTGATTGGAATAGTAAACATCCATGCACAATACCATACCAAAACTGACGATGTACTAATAAAACAATTCAACTAACCAATTCCTCAAGGAACAATTTAAGCATTCACACAGCCATTGAACATGTCATTACAAAACATTGAACATACCGGTAATTATAAACACACTGATTACATCTCAAGCTGGTCTACTATGTTTGAAAAGAAGAACATATTATTATCTTTTCTAGGGGCGGTATTCTGAAAAGCTCACTAATCATTCAATGAGCACTAAATTAGCAAGTTGATAATCTGAAAGGTCACGTAAGTCCTCATTGGCAGGAGGAGTATTGCAGTCTCTCTTTATACATTGGCAACTATTTGTGAGAAATATCCTAATCATGGGTGATTTACTCTCACTCTCTCTCTCTCTCGCTCTGTCAAACTAGTTCATATTTATCTTCTTCTTTTCAGTTAAATATTTCAGGATTTGTGTAGAGGAGAATACTTCACTTGATAAATACAAACTAAACTCCATTCACCTTAAAAGAAGCGATTGCTAGAGGTAGTGTCCACTCAAAGCCCTACACTTAGGAACCGGTGTTGGTACATAGCATTCCATCCAATAGTCCCTGGTACTGCAATCTGGTTGAGTTGGAACAGCTGAGTAATTTCCACAAGATTTCGCAGGAAGCTGATTCTCTGCAAAACCAAGTCTGTTTTGATCTATAGCATCTTCACTGCAAGACATGTTCCTTGTAGTTACATCTGATGAACTTGCTATCATAGAATGAGAACCTTGTAACCTGCATGATGACATGTTTGATCCCTCTCCTGTTGCTATGTGAGGCTTACTATAATAACCGTTCTTATGATGTTGTACTGTTGATGATCCCACTCCTGACACATCACTGCTCATCATCTGGTCTTGATGTCTCATAGAATCCATGGTCCCAGGATATAATTCTCCTTTGAGAGTATAATCTAGGATTACAACCAAATATTCAACAACTAAAGAACTATCCATTACAAAGTGGTCCACAAACAAAATTCAAACATGCACAACTGGAATGTAGAAGGAGTATGAACTAATGTACATGTATGTGAAACACAAGTCCCTTGTCACCAGGCTCCAGTCTGCTTGCAGGGCTCTATAGAATTCTTAGATGCACTCTGTTGCAATCTGAGCCTCATGTTGAAGCATTTACAAACACATTTTATGACTAATATTTCATAAATAATATTAGTTGAGAAAGAACATTTGATCTGTCGCTGATTTTCATACATGTACAATCAAAATTCAAATTTAAAACTGATTTTTAAGCCTGTACAATAACATTCAAACCTTCACTGATACATGTTGAAACGCCCTTGAGGACCACCCTACATTATAAACTTACACATGTTGCTATGTATGGATTAACCCTTGCATGTATGCACAAATAATGCATTCAATTAACACATGAATTAATGCATGAATTTACATATATCTTTTATGTAATGCAAATCAAAAACACACCAACCCCACAGCAAATATTCAAGCATTATAACGTGTTTGACAACAAATCACATTCTATGTTCATGCTCAAAGATTAATGTCCACATCAAACAACACCTTTGGTATAATAAATATTCATAATATAGTTTGTAGTCCTACATATTAAAAACATACAGCAGATATATTGCACACAAGTTTAAATGTACATACATGTAATCAGCCTTTCTACTGAAGGACAGGGAATGTGTTAAATTGATGAAGACTAAATCTGTATGAGGACCAGTTGTTACAAGACCATGGAAAATGCAACATATGGCAGAGCATTACAATAACGTTTTTTGTTTCACCTTTTCATTTTTGATATGCCTTCATGGTTAAGAAAACTGCATACTCTACAGGCAATACAATCATACAGTACATATCTTTCAACTCGAGAATGAGTGCTCTTACAAATCTGGAGGTTTCCTTCAAATAAACACTCAAAGCATGCAATGAGCTTGTTAAGTGAATACACTAGCCTACATCTATGGCAGCATGATGTCATTATCTTTCACTAATTCACAACAGCAAAATAAATACATAGCTTTAACATGTGCTCCTTCAAACGAGTTTAACAATATACAATTTAAGGAGAAGTCTGAGCAAATTCCATCTCAATAAATATATCAAACTCTTAGATGCACAAATAAAGCATCTTTTGAAAATATAAATAAATAAATGTTCAATATCTTATCACATTTTTCTAAAAAATGAGAATGGCACAAATTCATGGGTAAGCTGCTCCTTTTCCTTCTACACTGATGCAATCAAAATTAAGTCACACACATTTGGTTTCCTTATAATAATAATGATAATAATTAGAAGAAGACGAAGAGGAAGAAGAAGAGGAAGAAGAAGAGGAAGAAGAAGAGGAAGAAGAAGAGGAAGAAGAAGAGGAAGAAGAAGAGGAAGAAGAAAAGAAAGAAGAAGAGGAAGGAGAAGAAGGAAGAGGAAGGAGAAGAAGGAGGAGGAGGAGAGGAAGAAGGAGAAGAGGAAGAAGAAGAGAAAGAAGAAGAGGATGGAGAAGAAGAAAGAAGAATAGGAGGCGGAGGAGGAGTAGGATCTATCCTTGTGTATAGTGCAGCTACTATAGAGTCCAAGTATATTCCAAATATACTCCAAGTGCATCTCACAATTCATCAAGTTATTTCCTTGCCATACATGATGCTCTTGTGCCCAGATCCAGGGCATGTTATCATTGTCATCCAAGTTACTTGTTATCAGTGTAAAGAATGCATTCTCTTTAGGTGATGATGTGTAGATGAACATTAGTACGATCCTGCTCATTGTCATATACAGAATGGTTGAAACTTCCAACGATCTTCTTTTGGCATTCGTTTTGGCAGGACAGCCACTGAGGGCAGCAGAGCTTTATCTTGAGTCACCTCCGCACATGATGCAAACTTGAGCATATCTTCAGCTTCCATGTCTTCTTCCTTTAATGTTTTGATAGGATGAGTTTCATCGTTGGGTTGGGCTAGATCAAGGTCCGATTGGTCATTAGCTGATATTAGATCATACTGGTGTGTAGTAGGATCATGCTGTATCTGGGCCACTGTGTTCCATCGTTGATGAGTAGAAATAAGGGAGGAGCAAGTTTGAGCCTAAAACTCATTCAAATTTTTAAAAATTGTAGATCTCCCATAACACTTAAAGTCTTAAACATAATGCTTTCTAACACTTTTCCTTACCCGCGTTCTTTCTTAACTAAAGTTGAAGAAACAAAATCAATATTCATTTTTTTATAAGAAAATGTTAGTGAAAAGCTAATTGCCCTAGCAGAAAGCAGACCACTACTACAAGCAATAAAATTTCACTGAACTGTTAGCACTAAGCAATGTAGGGTTAGTTAGAAAGAAATCTTTCAATATTATTTTTGGTGTAATGGACTTAAACGAATGTCAGTGATTGTTTTGAATTTGGCATAATTTGACATTTGGTGAATCACTTGGCAAAACAAATCAATACAAAACATAAGGAAACCTCAATGTACTGTATAACCTTCCAGCAAAAATTATGGTGTAGATAAAAAGAGTTTCGGCTCTTTGTAATGAAGACATTTGTGTCAATAAAATAAAAATTCTTGTAGCTTAGATAAACATCTAAAATATATATACCTACCACTTTCCACCTTTAATCTCTTAGCTGAATCCATGTCTAACAGAGCTTCCTCACCAGTTTGCATCCTCTTACGTCGTCCATTCATACAGGTCATGTGATTGGTCAGGTGACTATCACCACCAGCTTTGAAGTACTCTATACACTGACGTTGGTGATTCTGAACAGCTAGGTCAATCACTGTGCTTCCTATACTACTTTGAAGACTTCATAAATAAGAGAAAGAAAGAAAGAATAGCACCATCCATCATCTAATTATGATCTTTGGACTGCATTGAGTTGAATAATTATCATCTACTGGTAAGCAACACTTTACATCAAAAACACCCATGTACATGTATCATCCATTAATTAAATTGAGTGGAAAATTCATTCACGATTGCATGAAAACAGCTGAATATTGACTAATCATTGAATAATCATTTAAATTGGTTAAAAAGCATTATTTGTTCTTTTCTCTTTCAGAAATACATTATACAATTTACGGACATGAACATGTATTTGGCACATGACTACAAGGAGTACTTGTTTGTGATTGCACAACAATACTGATTTGTTGGACAAAAAACAAATTATTAGAAAAGCATTCAATACAATGACAGGAGTCTTGCAATCAAGCCTCCACATATGATCTAAATCAGCTCATGAAAATCACTAAACCAGATAAGAATAGAGATCAGAAGAACAATGAAGTTACCTTAAGTCAGCACCATGTTGGTTGAGGATATGAAGACATTCCACACTGCCGCATCGTACAGCCTTGTGAGCTGCTGTCTCTCCCATGTGATCCTAAACAATCAAAACAAAAACTTTCTTCCTCACTCTCTAGTAATCTCTACTTTGAAATAAAGTCCCTTTACAGTCATACAATCCTTTTAAAAAACAATTATTGCTCCAAACTATTTCCTTTTTAATTGGGGGTCCAAATTGTAATTTTTAAATGGAAATCCAACCTTGATTGATGTTTGATTGATTTGATTTGATTTATTCGTCCACAGTGTGGAAATATGCTTCCCACCAGCATTACCATAATACAATACAATGACACCAAACTACTCTAGAGGAAAGCAGAAAAATCAGAGATGTAGACTGGTGAGACTTTAAATGAAATCTGGCAAAAGAGCAATTTTTAAGAAATTTATGATTTTGTTCTACTTAACAAACGGTTATTCACGACTACAGGTGTATGTCACAAAACTCACAATCCATGACCAACTGTTTACCTTATTTGTCTGCATTCATACAAATGAACTCATTACAAGAGTTGGAATGCCCTTTAAGGTCTGTGTACAGTAGACCATGTCTAAATTCTACAATGTGGGGGATCTGGAGATGAATTCTGAGTGTCTTTGTGTCCTGCACATGTTACTTGTTGGTGTAAATCCTTGATGTATCACATACCTGTACAGTGTACACAATGTACATGTACCGGTAGTTCTGTACATGAAGGTAGTAGGTATACAGTACTGAATAGGCACTCGTTCTTAATTTATATCAACATTATTTGTGTCAAGAGAGCAATGTGAACCTTAAAGTTTCTTAAGGTATCAATGCTTAATTATTGGGTTGTTGGACATTTATATCACTGATAGCTTTTAGGTAATGGGTTATTTTCTTCAACATTTGACTATTAAATTGGGTATAACTAGTATAATTGAACAACTTTAGAATACCCATCATAATATTTTTCCAGATATCCACTCAATGACCAGCCCTTCATCAATGAAGCTACAGCCACAGACTTATTAAAGTTTCCTAACCCTGACCCTGAACTTATGCACCAATCGTCTGCATACATAAACCGCATTGGTGAGGATTTCTTAAGTTAAGCCCAAGAATTTTAATTCAAAGCTAGAAATTGTTATTGAGAATCCTTTCTTCTTTTTTTCCATAAACAAACTTCAATATTAATGCAGTTCACGATTAACTGATTCAATTCTAATCCAACTCTTCTTGATATTTCTTTCAATATAACCCACTTAAAAATAAAAATGAAAGTAGAGTCTATAAAAGATAGAAAAAAAAATCTGTTTCCACTGGTTGCCATAATTAGTTACATTAGTTTTGTTGAGAAGGGAATATTACCTGTGCATTAATCGAGATACCATTCTTAGAGAGCCAGGCCAGGCATGCTGTTTGTCCTTCTAAGGCAGCAACATGAGCTAGAGTAAGACCAGTTCCATGGGTAGCAATATCACATGGTAGACCAGCTTTCACCAACATCTCTAAACACTCAACCTAAAAGTAAATTAACAAATAAGAAGGTGTGTTGAATTGAAAAAAGTCTTCATTTTACATTTTAGCATCCCGCATCATCAAAGTTTCAACACATTAAGCATGATAGTCTATGACAGCTTATGTTAGCTTTTAAACCATCCTTTTTTTTAAATGTAAACAAGATCATTAAAACCCTATCATCTGTGTCATTAAAAAAAAACTTATTTCTGTTTTCACTTGTTCCTGATGATAATAATGATGCTATTTAAATTACAAAATCGCTTACGAGAGTTCGTTATTTAGCTTCCGCCGTAAATTCAAATACATGATAAGGCGTGGCGCATGCCAAAATGCCGGATTTCGCTCTGCCCATTTATTTTGAGGCTGAGCTGACTTTAAATAATAAAATATATAGACTAGCTGGTCTATAACTGTAGTTTAGCGGGGCTGTCAACTTTGGGGAACTGCTTCGAAGGAGATCGTATGCAACTTTTTGTTTTGGCTCAACAGGGAAGGGGAGGGTATTGAGTAAGTAAATGAGAAGAAAAATTGAAGTGCTCACTACCCCACCCCCCCCCCCCACCCCCCACCCTTCTGTTGAGCAAAACAAATCCATACGATACGACTACGACTACGAGTACGCTGGTTTATACTGTACGTCTGGCAGGAGATTTTTTCATAAGCCGGGAGATTGCAGGAGAGCGAGAGGATCAGATCATCAAAGGAAGGGCGTGGTGGCGGGAGTCTCCCGCTGGTGACGTGACGTGAGACTCCCTCCAAATGCGGGGGGGTTGACAGCCCTGACTGGCCTGTATTCACCTATTCACCTGTATTCACCTGTCTTTTCGGGCTCCTTATCTGTTAGTAAGCCTGAGTTTAGTTTAGTGTAGAACATGCACAGAGTTTGCTGAATTTAGTGAACTCCTTGTTCTGAGCTCTACTATCGTAAAGTGAGTAGACTAGACTAGATCTAGATCTAACTTTAGGTCTATCAAATTGGCAAATGCAAAAACAAGTGTTTTGGGGGGATGCATGTGGATTGAACCAACTGTAGTGACAAAACATTCAGAGGTGAGCGATTTTGTAACGTAAATCGCACCTCAACGAATTATCATCAGAAACACATGAAAGGTAAGCAAATCACTATCACTCCGGTAGGTCTAGCTAGAGTCTATATCTACCTTTCCATTGTGAGCTGCCCAATGAGCCGGTGTCCAACCGAAGAGTGGGTCTTGTGCAGAAGCATCGCACACGGACACCACAGCCTCACCTAGCAGGCCCGCCAATGTGCATAGATCCCCATCTCGACAAGCACGGTGAAGAGGAAATGATTCCAGAAGATCTTCAGCACCACTCAGTTCTGTAAATTCCGTCTCCATTATTAATTGTCGGTAAAATCAAACAAATTGAGAAGAAACTACTGTATGAAGGAAGACCTTTTTTTTTTAAGTTTAAGACTTCAGAAGGCACCCAGAGGATGTTATTTTTTAGTTTTCCTTTGTTGCTATAAAATTGTAAATAAATATCGGTCGCGCCAGAATGAATGCATAACGCAGATGGCGCTAAACATAATTTGGCGCTGTGTGTATCTCATCTCCCTGATTTTATATATGATTTTATATATAATTTGAAATAAGATGGTACGATGGGGGGAAAATGCCACAATGGGATTGCCATAATTTAATTAATTTTGGGAATCAAGGTTTATCCTAATAAATAAAAACTCAGGTGATCTTAGTCAAATTTACCCGATTATCATTTAATGCAAGCCAACAACAACGACAAAAATTAGGATGGAAATTCCTACAATCCAGACGTAATTGATTGATTGATTGATTGATTTTAATTAAGCCTCCAACATACAACAATTTAAAAGAATAACAGATCAATATTAAGTCAGCTTGATGGTCTACAAATCTGGCATAGTATGGCTCCTTCAATTATTTAGAGGAAGCCTTCAAGACTATTGTGATTTATCATACTGTCTAAGATCTCAAGGAAAGGCATTGCTATACCAAGACCTAGGAGTGAGTGTTAATGCCGAAGAATATTTGTTACACCGAGGGTAACGTCAAAAGAATGACATACCTTTAGATATTGGTCTGTGACCGTCTGTCAAATGATTTCTTGTGTTTTCTAGGTTTCTTTATTTTTACGAATATAAGTTGAATATTGATGTGTGTTTTTGTTATTGCAATTAAGTTCAATTTTATTTAGTTTTTCGGACCCCACGAAAAATCAATTTTGTCATATATTAAAAAGCTGAGTGGGCTTTACAGCCCGTATATAGGCCTAGTCTTTGATTATATATTATATATATATTTCTTCTTTTTTTCATATTGGTTTTTTATTTTGTGATTGGGACAATAATAATATCATACCATACTATACCAACAATAACAACCCAAGTATAAGACCAGTAATATGAGTAGTAATAGTAGTATAGTAGTAGTATAGGAGTAGTCAGTAGTATACTGTATAGTAATATTTGTTTGTTTGTTTTTATTTTCGAAAAAGAAAGTAAGTAAATGTGTTACGTATAGACAAACGGTTGGATAGCGGCCCATTTCAGGACCATTTTCAAAACGGTCCTGTTCTTCCATGGGGTTCAAAAGCAAAAAATCATACTGATTTACTTACAATAATTTTAATCATAATGATTTACCAATGCACTATCCCCCTTATCGACCCCCCTCGCCTCACCACCCCTCCCACCACCCTCTCAGTACCGCCAACCCCTCCCGCTACCCCTCCCAAGCCCTCCATATTACATAGGGGGTGTAGAGGCCACCGATATCACCGACATGAAACTAGCCATCAATTTATACCGACAAATATATATATATATATATATTAATTCCAATATGCCAATGTGTACAAAATGTTTACAAATTCCACCCTATAAACCCGGGGCCCGGGGGCACCTCGGGCACATACAATGATGTGCTCAGATCACTTTTCTTCACCCCTCCTCTCCACCTTTTAATCAAATTCTACCGAGAAAAAAAATCCATAATATCTTATTGCCATGTCAACCATGAATGGACGACCAATCCATGGTTGCGTTTATCTAGCAAATTTTTGGCTAGAATCAGGTTTCTCAAACGTCTTTCAGGCAAATTTAGAAGTTGATAAACGCAAAGCCTTTTTCAAACGTCTTTAGATATGGGCATATCTAAAGACGCAAAAAGGTGCGTTTTGAATGTGACATACAGCCAGAATCACGTTTCTGAGAGATCGATAAACGCAAAGCTGTTTTGAACCTCACATACAAATAGGACCCCCAGGTGTTGTGTACAAGCATGTGTGTGAAGATGACCTCCGATAAACTGTCTGCTTCCCGGGTCAAAACAGCTGGGCAGACACAAGGCCTTTATTTTGAATACTGAAGGGACGATAAACGCGACATCCCGCAAATCACGATCGTATAATAGTGGGGTTCGATAGTGGGGTTTGATAGTGGGGTACGATATGTACATATCTAGTGGCAAGCCTTGATAAACGCGCCCTATGTCAGTCAAATTTCATTATTACATGTGCCATTTCAGTCAACAATAAATTGTGGGTAATTTACGGTGTAAAAAGGGATTTTGACCCACTTTTTTCCTTTTTTCATAACCTTTTGTGACTTTGACCTTTCAGGATCTCTCAAAGTCGACCAAATGATATCGGATGCAAGAGAATAATCATGACCGGGTTTTTCACATTTCGTTCTTGCAGTAAATCCCTTTACTCCTAAGCCTTCTTAACAGAAACTTAAATTACATTATATACGGTACATCAAGTCTGGTAACCAAATCATATCAGACTCCACCCAGACCCCTTTTATGGGCATTTACCATGTCTATATGATTAGCTATGCTTGCATGTATGCATACGACATATATCTACCATTCCTTTGATATGCATTCCGATGCTTTTTGTTTCCAGTATCGCCATTAATTATCATTTTAATAATTCAATCTTTAAAGACATAACATTTATCTATTTTCTTTCTTTTTCTCTTTCTCTCTCTTTTTTTATAAAAATATACGTCGTCTAAAAAAAAGTTTAGGAGGGGCTTCGAGCACCCCCCCCCCCCAAATCAAGCCCCTTCATTCCGTGCACCCTGTATGATAAGAGCATGAAGAGAATGAAATACACTTCCTAAAACAACTTACTCATTTAAAGATCTCCGATTAAAAATATACTCTAAGCTTAACAATTTAGTACCGGACTTTTAAAACCTACATGTACGACGATGACAAATTTAAACTAATGATGTCCAATGACGAAACCGACATAAAGTTAAATAACCCAATAGTGATACTTGGAATAAGCGAAATGTACGACAAACTAATAGACCTAATGAAAAAAAAAATACACATAAAATCACCCCCCCCCCCCCTCCGGTTTAAAAATATTTAAAAACTATATCAAGTTCAAGTCTTGTTTGTTTGACCTCCAATCATACTACTCATGAATTTGGTTTCTGTTAGGCCTATATTAAGATATAGAGATACTATCATATACGAAATTAGAAGATCATTGATTATTTTGTTGATGTTGTAGTTGTGAGCTTTTTTTCATATGCAAATTAATTATTACCATATTATTAATCTCGCTGTAATTTAGTTTTGTAAAAAGCATTATTTATTGTCATCCCATGTTCACTGTTTCCCAAGTGGTTGGATTTTTCCCCCTTTCTTTTATTCTTTCTTTTCATGTGGTGATTGTGACAGTGTGAATTGTTCTTGACAGATGATTCTGTTGTTTTCTCGGGGTTTATCGATCATACTTTATTGATCAATGAAACTTCGGGATAATATGAACAATATCTATCGGGATCGGGTCGTATTGTCGGGGTCATCTTGTGGGGAGAGTTTGGTAAGGAAGAAGAAAAACAGGGAAGAAAGAAAAAAAATGTTCTAACTTTGTGACCTGAAAAAGACCGTGGTCGTACTTCATTTTGGGGGCCGTTTTTATTTTATTTTTAATGTAATTTGACACTTGTACTAAATTTTCGTTAAGTATATTCATATACTATATCCTTGATAATTATCGCCCGTTAACAGAATATCAAAAATTACGCCACACGCTTGTACCCTAACCAGCAAAACTGAATGCGAATCTTAATTTGAACACATACATACATAATACATATGTTTGTATACTATTATATTGTTTATTTTTCCTTTCCTTTCTTTTTGTTGTTGAAAAAAGGGGGAAAAGTTGTAGAAAGTATTAAGAGTAATTTTGATATATTGTCATCTGTGTATATATTCCAGAAGAGACATATAGTAGGACGTTACTTTTTGCCCATCCTGGTTATTGTAATTTTGACTTTTGCCCTCAATTATCAATGTTACACTATGATTTTGAAATGTGTTATCCATTGTTATAACAAACGTGAGAATGATCCCATTTTATACACATGTCGGGGGTGTACCCCATGTATTACATATCATTGTATCGTTACACAGCCAATAAGAGGAAGAGGGGGAGAACGAAGGATAGATGGGGGTATTAGTTGGGCGAATTGCACCGACAAATTCATATCTTCTTCAAATATTTCTTCAGCCTTTGAATAAGTATACTCTGAAAGTCATTGATTGAATGACACACTCCTAAAACTTAAATAAACAATCAAAAATCCTCCCTGATTTTGTTGAATAATGAAGAGCAACATTTGTTTATTCAAACATTGTATTAAAGCTGTAATACTGGTAATTAACCTCGGACAATAATATAAATTGTTAATTCTAATAATAGTTATAGATGTGAGATGAATGCAATGAGGTTCAAATACGACACACAGAAGCTCTACTCCAAGGTATGTGACAGTGCGGTAATCATATTCACGTATACAAAACTCCTTACTTTCCTTCATGATTTTTCTAATTTCAGAAGTGGTCTCAGGGTTCGGTCGACTTGGTGTCGCCCGACGTACCAAGTAGATTTTTTTCGGGTGGGTATTTCCATTGCTACATATAGATATACACGCATACATACACACGCACACAACCATACACACCACAAACATGTGTGAATAAGTGTATTCATATTGACAAAATGCTCGAATAGAACATAACGACCACAGTAATATCTGAAGGTTATTCCAAAGATTGCTTCTGAGTAAAGCACGAATGGTAAAAAGAGGGAATTAAAGATGAATATGTTATAAATACGTAATATATATGGCAATATGCGACTGACCAATCATGTTCGGAGAAATCGATACACCTCCAAAAACACCCCCTCGCTCACTGCGGATACCTTGTGTATTCAAGCATAATATACACACCAGGGAGGCATGAATAATAGTATTTTCAGGCTATTCAAGGCTCTTTCCATTCACAGCCAAAAGATATATATTATTGTACGAATGTGTTTGTACGAGTGTTTGTAGTTTTCGCCAGGATAACGGAAGGACACCTGAATTACTACAAGCTCATATAGGCATTTTTTAGACGCCACGCTGTCCAAACGTTTACATCTTTAGTGGATTTCAATTTCACTTGCAAGCAGACGACTTTGTGTAATCGAGCAACCAAGATCATTGATCGTACTGTAACAACAACATTGCAATCAGAAGCATAATACTCTGTTCATATATCCACGTGGCGTGTTACTCCAAGGAGGTATGATTTTAAGCTCATTGATTACACCCGAATTGTACTGCGAATTACTACATTCAATACTGAAGTGAAGAAGATAGTTGAAAATGGCAGTCGACGAAGCCGCTCTGAAAACTGCTGACATTGTCGTCATCGTCATCCATTTCATAGTCGTTCTCACACTGGGTATCTGGGTAAGTAAAACATGCATACGACGACCTCTGTATATCAGCAGTAGAAGTAGTAGTAGTAGTAGTAGTAGTAGTAGTAGTAGTAGTAGTAATAATAATATTCTGCTTCTGTATATTTATAGTAGTTGTATTTAGCAGTAGAAGAAGTAGAAGTAGTAGTAGTAGTAGCAGCAGTTGTAGTAGCAGTAGTATAGTAGTCAGGTCTAACAGTAACAGTAGTATATACATATTATTATACGATAGTAGTAATAGGGTTAGTAGTATTAGTAATAGTATTAGTGGTATATAGTAGTAGTAGTAGTAGTAGTAGTAGTAGTAGTAGTTGTAGTAGTAGTAGTAGTAGTAATACTAATATTCTGCTTTCATACAGCGCTTAATACATCGATGATGTCTCTAAGCGCTTTACGGATATGTTATTGTTATTATGATTAGTAGTAGTATTAATAGTAGTAGTAGTAGTAGTAGTAGTAGTAGTAGTAGTAGTAGTAGTAGTAGTAGTAGTAGTAGTAGAAGTAGTGATATGAGTAGTAGTACTTCTATTGTACATATCAGTTATGTGACATATTGATTTTCGTGTTTCAATGTACATACTCGTCGGTATAGCAGGAATTCATATCAGCTCGACTTCATAGTAAATTTTTAGTTTCGAGAAGAAGAATAGGAATATAAGGAGAAAGGAGAGAGAGGGGTCGCTCTATGTCCATTTAAATTTAGAATTTTATCTGATAAGCTCCTTCATAAAATGGTTCGAAAAATTGTAAGCTTAATAATGATAACAACACATTACTTTGACTAAAAAAGAATTTATCGAAATACTACAAAAATGATTAATTAACATGGAAGGCATACACTTGACTCACTCCGACGTATTTTGTATGCACCAATTGACATTTAACTCTACTCTTCTTCAATAATCAACGAATATGAATACAATAATTCTGTTTATGACATATCTTTTGAAAGGAATGGAAGTTATGAGGTTCCATAAATTATAGTGAAAGTCACCTGAAAGTCGTTGAAATTGATTCGAAATCTGTGCACTTTATTTGCTCCTCGGATTAGCATATAGTGGGACAATGCCCACTGCACACCTATTAAGCTTTCCATTGAAATAAACATTCACTATACACTTTTCGAGCCTACAATTAGAGTTGCGTAATAAAGCTCACAACCTGAAGTATTCATTGAAGAGTCTTAGAGCTAATCTGGAACCATGAGTATATATTGAGTACTAGTAGTAGGCCTTGGATGTCATTTTTTCTGATTACATAAACAAACACCCCTCCGGCACCAACAACCGTCGCTTTTATTTCTTGTAAAATACCGCTGTGTGCAATAAACACTTTATTATCACATTAAAAGAGTGTGAAAATCATTACAAACCTTTATAATTATCATCGAAATCTTACTATGTATTTGATCTACCATGAACGGGACCATGACGTTCATCCAGGCCTCGCAATGGTTTACTTCACTGATTATACAGTATCACGAAAACTATGTCGACTTTAACACTCAGCCAAACGTATATACGTACAAAGAATGTTTTCAATGAATTGATTTTAATCATTTACATCTCAATAGTGTAGCAATGTGGAATAGAATGACATATAGAAGTCATGATTCGCACGTTCGTAAACTAAACAGTAATGGTATAATGGTTTGCTAAATTAGTGGCAAAACCAGTGAATAATATATTGATATGGTATTTGAATCAGTGCATGGTTCTCCCGATCAATCTTATTTTGATTTAAACAAGCCCTATATATAGCTGGTTTTTAAACACAGACAAAAATCAATTTTATTCGTGTGTGTCTTCTCACTCTTGTGAGTAATTCTATGATGAACAAAATCAATATTGCCTGCTGAGATTGCCATAGCTAATAATAAAATGTGTTTATTATTCATTATTATTCTGATAAGCTCAACCATACAAGGGGAAATGATTTCAAACTCGCTAGGTTCGAGTTGGATACCTATCGGGTTGATAGTACCCATGTTATTGTGCACAGGTTATTTTGGTTCACAATGAATATGTTTGGTACATGATAAACATATCCGACCCTTTCGAGATGAAGCCAAATGCATATTGTGGAAACACAGGAGGATTAATTAAATCCAATAAACCATGACATTCATTCCCAATAAGTTCACCAGGTGCTGAAGGGCATAATCATAACTATAAACTGTTTGTTTCTTGAAAAAAATAACCGAGAGGCCAAGTAAAGGGCGCATATTTATAATGCCTGCGATGTATTGAAGATAATTCAATTACATTCATGGTGGTTTGGCGTTGATAATGAAGCCAGTGGGGGATATCACCTCTATGAAGCTTCACATTCACGGCGCCGTTTGAATGGATAGCATTGAAATCGATTTCTTTCAAATTTGAACTGAACGCATTGTCATGATTCCAAACATGCGATGTGGTTATTGCACAGTTATTGTTTTTTTTTTCAAGCTACAATCTTTTGTACGTTTTATTATCAGTGCAATATGCGACATCTATTTAAATTGCATTGTGTAGTCGCTCTTGGATTCAAGTAACAACACGCACACACATACACACAATTCACTGCATAACAGAGGACCTACTTTTCCGTGCAAATAGAGCAATAAACGTAGCCCTATGTGAAATTACCTTAAATTTTAAACAATTTTACATGGTTCTCGAACCAAGGACGTACTCATTTTGCGAGTGGTCGACAAAGTGATGTTCCCGTTCTAATGAGTGTCCTCGCTATTCATTCACCCACAGTTCCACGTACCCACAGTCCAACCCGTCCATAACCCCGCGTACCAACAGTCCCACCCACAGTTCCACGTACCCACAGTCCAACCCGTCCATAACCCCGCGTACCAACAGTCCCACCCACAGTCATCCACCCACAGTCCCACCCACAGTCCTTCGTACCCATGTAAAGTCCCACCCACCCACAGTCCCCCCACAGTCCTATCCACCCACAGTCCCACCCACAATCCCACTCACCCACATTCATCCACCCACAGTCCCACCCACAGTCCCTCGTACCCATGCCAAGTCCCACCCACCCACAGTCCCACCCACAGTCCTATACGTACCCACAGTCCCACCCACCCACAGTCCCACCCACAGTCCCACCCACAGTCCCATTCACCACAGTCCCACCCACAGTTCTACGTACCCACAGTCCCACCCACAGTCAACCACCCACAGTCCCACCCACAGTCCCACCCACAGTCCTATTCCCCACAGTCCCACCCACAGCCCTACGTACCCACAGTCCCACCCACCCACAGTCCCATCCACAGTCCTACGTACCCACAGTCCCATTCCCCACAGTCCCATCCACAGTCCTACGTACCCACAGTCCCACCCACAGTCCCATTCCCCACAGTCCCACCCACAGTCCCACCCACAATCCTATTCCCCACAGTCCCACCCACAGTCCCACGTTCCCACAGTCTCATCACCTACAGTCCCACCCACCTACAATATATTTTCTAACGGAAGATTTGTAGGCAAGAGGTGAATCCGAACTGAATTTAACTGAAGTTAATTGAAATAAAAAATGTAATACCTATCAAGAACCAAATCAATAGCCCTTTTAATAAATAATACATATTGTATGTATAATCCAAAATTATCAATCAAATGAACGAAGGTCAGGACTTTGATGGGACAGCTTGCAAACCGTATTACGGTCATTGCATGTTTGTTGGTGATATAATGGCACTAGAATTTCGTGCAAGTAATGATCTTAATCGTCAAAAGAATCAAGGCTAAGATAAACCATTATTATCATATTTCTTGCTGATTTACTCAAATCATCAGATACGCCACTGAACATGAATAACCAGTTATCTAGTGTTAATTTACATTCATTTTTTTCGTCATAATAAGGAGATATGAGTTTATTTTCTTTCAGGTGCATTTCGTATTATATTATATCGTATTGGTCAGCAAGCATTGAGGTATTCTATTTTGTATCAAAATGTTTGTATTTGTTATATTGATGTAGTCGGCATGGAAGGCGAACAGGGGAACGACTACGGGTTATTTCCTGGCGGGTAGGAGTATGAGCTGGTGGTTGGTAAGTGTATTGTACCATGCATATTGTAATAAAACGTTCAATCACTATTAAATAGCACTCTTATATTTTTCTCTCAAAACATCCTTCTTGTTCCTCTCTCTCTGTTCTCTCGGTCGTCTTTCCCATCTTATCCCTATTCATTTCTTCTTTTCTCTCTTTATTTTATAACTGGACATTTATCTAAGTTTATTATTCATTTGAAGTGCTATAAACAATCCTTCTTTATTTCTATTATCAATTTTTGTTTCTTGTCAATATTGGTAAATTCATTAGATTCTTTTTACATAATTTTGAACAATGCAACTATGTAATCTTTGTTTGTATCAGTCTTTGAACTGGTTTCATAATGAATTTTCTTTCAATAAATCGAGATTAATGAATTAATGAATGAATGAATAAGCCAGAGTGATTGCTTTTTAAAATGGGAGATAACACTTTAAACTTGCTTGATCCAACATTATAAAAGTTGAATCTTTAACGTGTTAAAAGTGTGATTTTGCATGGGTCCTTGATACAACAAAAATTCTGTGATTAAACAGATTCTCAAAATATTGTTTATATAATTTATCTCTCCTCCTGGCAAAGTATGGCCGAAATGTCACGTCATTCCGTTCCCCTGCCCACATCTCGGATTTTCAATGTCTTACTATTTATGTAAACAAATATTTTGTTTTAATTCCAAACGATTGTAGCATCAAGTCTCATACGTATTATGTGAAATATGTAGCTAGGTGCTATAGCGTTCATGTATGAATGATACTTAAGCCTCTCTGTGCCCATAGATGAGAAACGATATCCCATTCCACGTCTAAAAATATCGCAATATATTCAAGGTGGATCGCTTATTAAGCGTAGTGCGTCAGAGCCCGTCTGAAGAACCAATCAGGGACACTATATTTCTACCCTCCTCTCTCTCTCTCTCTCTCTCTCTCTCTATCTATCTATCTATCTCTATTCCATTCTCTCTTCCGCGCACATACACACACACACACACACGCACACACACACACACGCACACTATCTCCCCCTCTCTCTCTCTCTCTCTCTCCTCTCTCTCTCTCTCTCTCTCTCCTCTCTCTCTCTCTCCTCTCTCTCTCTCTATCTCATTCTCTCTTCCGCGCGCGCACACGCACACACACACACACACACACACACTCTCTTTCTCTCTCTCTCTCACTCTCTCTCTCCCCTCTCTCTCTCTCTCTCTCTCTCTCTCTCTCTCTATCTCCTTCCTCTCTCCTCTCTCTCCTCTTTCTCCTCATCCAAATTTGTTCGCTCATGAACAAGAATGATTGTGCCGGTCACACGTACGTTATCATAAATTATATACCCGTTACATCAGCGTATTTTGAAAGATCAAGGGAGCAATTTTGCCCCCTAACAAATTTTCAACATGAACAAATAAACGTGATGAAATAATTTTCCGTCATTATATAGTACTGTCAGGTGGTAGGTTATTATAATCGAAGTAAAACCTAATATATTATGGATAATTTCTGTAGAAATTCTCTCACTCAGTCGTAATGCGTCCTCCCCTGCCCCATACCGTGTTTTGAAGCTCATTGGATATTTTTGGACGAGCAAGCGCAAACAGATTGAAATTATGTATCGAAGTATGTATTACATCTATACTATCTTCAAACATACAAACAATAGCTTATAATATATATATATATATATATATATATATAAAATGCATCTGTATACATACTTTTGTTCGCTCGCTTTGATATAGACATATATGATAGAGTAAAATTACAAACTATAAAGAGATGGTGTAAAAGTACACCCATAATGCAATTTATTGTTCGGGAAAAGTTATTTTCTTGCTTGATGAGCCTAATTGATCACTACTAAAGACCAAATTCTACGGCACTGCCTCAGAAATATGACATGAATGATAAACATGACGATAGGAGAAGATCAATCAAAATGTGATGATATAAGGAGCGAAAAATTGAACGAGTGCATTTTTAGATGGAAAATCTAATCAAAATGATATATCAATTATTCATTAATGTCATAATCATCATTAGTATTATTATTATTATTATTATTATTATTATTATTATTATTATTATTATTATTATTATTATTATAATCATAACCATCAACATCATCATCGCCGGTATCATCGCCGTCATCGATATTGTTATATATATATTACCCTGATAATTTTCTATTGTGACTCTTCAGGTTGGTCTGTCTCTATACGTGAGTAACATCGGTAGCATCCATTTCATTGGACTCAGTGGAACCGCAGCTAATAACGGAATTGCAGTCATCTCATATGAGTTTCATGTAAGTTATCAATCTTTGATTTCACTGTCTCTATATTTGCATTCAGGTCATTTTAATCTGACTCGGAGATACATATATTTGGTTTATTAAAGGCTTGTCCAGATAGACGCGGTAGAACGCGTTTACAAAAAAACAGCGCAGTTTTTTTACGTGTATAGTGACAAGTGCGCGTCTTATCTGAACAAACCTTAAGAATTTGTTATGCCTTTACTAGGAAAATACTGTAAAAATCAATCATTTTAATTGAATGAGGGATGGTCCTTCACATTTTATTTTGTTTTAGTATGTATGGCCAATTAAAATAAATTCTTAGTTTCTCGTCTGCATTGTGCGAAAATGCAGAGGAGGGGGTTTTATGTGATAAAATTGGGTCAATTTCGAATATCATTTAATTTGTACATGCATTTCAGAGGCTTAAAACGAGATGGAATTGCATCGTAGAAAGTAATGGAATTTGTTTTCCAACTGCCTAGATGTCCTCAGATTCATATTCATTTCAGTTTCATTAGAAAAAAATGGAACAAAAATCAACAAAAAATGAAGCTGGTCGAAGTGAGGAAGGATGAGGGGAAGACGAATTGTTTTATTTCGACCAGAAGCTTTTGACACTTTATGGTAAAATGCATGGATCCCTGGCCTATGGTCCAATTTAACCCTCTCTCGTAAATTGCAAGTTTGGCGTCATAAAGAATGCTTAGCAGTGATGTGCGAAGTCACATTGCCACTGAACATACAATTTCGAAGATTGTCTATGTGCTAGTATTTTGAATGACGATACCACTTAAATAACAGGCCCTTTATTAGCTAGATTGGCCCTTCATTTCTTTTATTTTCCCGTTCGTTAAAAATTGTCGCAAATTCTAGGCCTTGATCCCGCTTCACAAGTTGTCGTGAGACATAATGTTCGCAGATGACAGTTTGATGCAGAGTCTTCATTAAAAACAATGTTGAACCTATACTCATGAACTTTTAGAAAGGTGTCCCTTAGCTGAAATAAAAAAAAGTCTAACACGAGTCGAAAAATATTGTCACAAACAGCACAACAAATATGTTTTTTGTCCATTTGCCGTAACAAAAGAGAAGAAAAAAGGTCTAGTTACTAGGAAATAGTATAAATTTTATACTATTATCTTTTAAAGATAATTATAGAGAAAAAAGCTAAAAACTGTATCCTCGCATGTGAAAGACGGACATGGTTATAGTACAGGGAAATGATTTAGATAGTGACTCACCTTGTCATCACGGTGCGCTTAATTTAACAAGCAATATTTCCTTATGCTGCCTCAGTCATTCGAATTTTCTCGTCTTTAATTTCAGGGACTTTTCTGCCTGTTGTTACTAGGATACATCTTTATGCCAATCTACATATCATGTGGGGTAAGCATTAACAGTCATTGCATGAGACTTGAAATACTGGTGATGATGATCGATGTTGATAGTGATGATGATGATGGTTAAGATGATGATGATGATGGTGATGATGGTGGTGATGATGATGATGATGATTGATGATGAGGCTGATGGTGATGATGGTGGTGATGGTGATGATGAAGATGGTGATGATTGATGATGATGATGATGATGCTGATGATGGTGGTGGTGGTGATGATGGTGATGATGATGATAGTGGTGATAATGATGGTGATGGTATGATGATATTGATATTGAAAATGATGATGATGATGGTGGTGATTATGATGGAGGTGATGATGATAATGATAATGATGATGGTGATGATGATGATGATGATGATAATGATGATGATAATAGTGATGATGATGGTGGTGGTGATAAATATGGTGATGGATGATTATGATGATGATGATGATGATAATGATAATGGTGATGATGGATGATGATGATGATGATAATGATGATGATAATAGTGATGATGATGGTGGTGGTGATAAATATGGTGATGGATGATTATGATGATGATGATGATGATGATGATGATGATGATGATGATGCTGCTGGAGTAATGATGATGATGAAAGTAATTAGTTTTATCAACGCATATGTTTGCAAAGTAATATATTGGGAGGCATTTATCCAGACGACATACAGAAGATAATAAGGTTTCGTGCTTCTTGAATGATACTGCCTTATAAGCTTTTATGTTTCTTCAATGTTGATTATCAAAGTTACGTTTCTTTTGACGATCAGTATCCCTACTTTGTATATGTGGAATATAAATTTGTATATTGTTTTACCAAATAATTATCAATTTTAAAACGCTTTGTAACTGTAAAAAAAAATAGCTATGAAATTCTACTTAACGTCTGATATGGATTGAAATAAAACATACTAGAACTGGATACCTTTGCATTGCAGGTCATCACTGTACCTGAATATCTTCAGCTTCGGTTTGGTGGCTCCAGACTAAGGATCTGTTTATCAGTTGTATCTATAGTCTTCACTATAGTCTCTACTCTCGCGGTAAGTCATATTCAAGACATTGTCAAAGGGAGACAATTTGCATTTCAATTTCTCCTTATCTTTATAGTATTTCATATAATATAAGGGAACATTATAATATATCCTTAAAATGCTAAAATGGCGGAAGAGGAAAAATGATAATCAGAGGTGATTGGTGAGTAAAGAAGAGATGACGTGGAGAGAAAGAAAAAGTTGATGTAGTTAATTGTCATGTATAGAAGAGAGTGCCTTAACCACAAATAAGAGATACATTTGTATTTAGCGTAAGTGATTTTGTTCATTATATTTTTTTTTTCATAGTCTGTTCAATGATGTGATTCCCTCCTTAATAACTTAATTACTGACCTCAATGAGCATATATAAACAACATAAACAATGATAATAATAATAATAATAATTATAATGATAATAATAATAATAATGATAAGAAGTAGAACAACGAATAAAAACAGTACTTTTGTTTACCCAAGGAAGCCTTATCATTATCAATACTTTTCTTCCTGAAGGCTCTATCCAATAGTTTAGGGAGTGGATAAATGTGCTGTAAGTTAATTGAGTCCAATGCCTGGTGTTATAATAATACTGTAAGATCTTTATAAGAAATAGTCATTAACATAGAAAGAAAATTATTCTTCAATGTCTATTTATTTCAGTCTGAGATGTATGCTGGCATTGTAATCATCCAACAAGTGCTTGGTTGGAATCTGTACCTATCTCTCATCTTATTACTTGTAATGACTGCTGCGTATACCATGGCTGGAGGTCTTACTGCTGTGATCTATACTGATGCTCTACAATCAGTCATCATGATCATTGGAGGGTTTATTCTCTTCTTCATTTGTAAGTTACCTTGACTTTGCTCAAACTACGTCTATCTTATAATCCCATAGTAATCTACAAAATTATCGTACAATGAGTGCTTTTGACCTGGACAAAAAATATAATTATGCTATTGTATACTCGCAGTAACATCAGTATCCTCTTTTTTTTTTATATACTTATGGAAGAGAATTACTTTATGTTAAATATGTCCTTTTTCTACCTTTTGCTATCACGCTTCAGCTATGTCTGAAATAGGTTGGTTTGAAGGTCTTTATCAAGCCTATATGCATGCCATTCCTAATTCCACCCTTGAAGAGCTGTCTGTTAACCCCCTCAATGCTACAAGCTGTGGTATACCAACAGAGAATGCTTGGCATATCTTCAGAGCTGCAGATGCCGGAGACTACCCATGGCCTGGTGTTGTGTTTGGTATCTTCTTACTCTCTGCTCAATACTTCTGTACTAATCAGGTAGGCAGGTTACAGTGAGCTCACGATATGGGAGAGGGGATGAATGGGTAAATGTGCTCTTTCTCGATGAGATGAAATTAACATAGGTCGAAAAAAGGGGAAATGGAAAAGAAGAAGGTCGTGTTCAAAGAATTGAGTTACATAATCGTTATAAGCGATTGCTTCTCAAGTTCTGGGAAGGGGTGCTTATATCCTTTACGGTTTTTGTGCTTGTGCTTGAGTGGGTGTCGGTGTATAGGCACATGGGTGTGCGCGTGTGTGTTTATTTTTTGTAGATGCTTGGAAAAAAGAGGGAAGGTTTTTTGTGGAAAAGAGAGAGTAGAAAGCAAAAGTATGCAGTAATAATGCTTTGCATTCCCGATGACTGTATGGAATCCCCACAGTTTATTCAGTAATTTTTCCTTCTTCAAACTTTCAGTTTCTGGTTCAGCGATCAATGTCTACCAAGAATTTTACTCAAACCAAAGCAGGAGCAGTGTTTGCAAGCTACCTTAAAGTTCTACCTCTTCTTCTGATGATCTACCCTGGTATGGTCAGCCGAGCATTATGGCCTGGTAGGTATCATCGTAGATGTAACTGTTAGCACTGTTACCATCCCATGTTCATAATAACATTAATACTAATACTAATAATAACGATAACAATAATAATAATAATAATGATAATAATAATACTGATTAGATGATATAATAGTAATAGTAATAATAATAATAATAATAATAATAATAGTAATGATGATGATGATGATGATGATGATAATTAATGATAATGATAATAATAATAATATTATTATTATCATTATTATCATTTTTATCATACTTTTTTTTCCCATGAAAGCGCTTCTCAGTGAAAAGTATATCAGAATCAGCATCATTATTAGATAATATCATAGTCAGACATCAACCCGAAATCATCAACTAATAAATTATGCCCAACTTTGAGGAAAACAATCAATTTCTAGAATTCGGCATTGGCATTCTGTGACCTGGGTAGAATAATTACCATGATTTCAAAAGATAGGTGCCAATATACCCTATTGTATATCTCATAAAAATCATGTATTTTCAATCTTTGAAGTAGATCAACATTCTAATTGAATTGCATAACTAAAAAAAAAAAAAAAAAAACGATTTCCCTTTCTTCAGTTACTACTTTAACATTATTATAGGAGTTAATGAGACAAATTTCCTTCTGCTGTTTTGTTTTGTTGACACACATTGGTTTCGAAACTTGCTTATGAAATAATATCGTATTTTCTACTGTTTTTATCACATAATGTATTTGTCATTGTACACTTCTTTGTTATGCATAATTCTGTTGTGACATTTAACTATTAAACCAATGTGCAAAGAATTTCTGTTATCATTACAGATGACTAAATAAATTCAATTCGAGTCAATTCAATTATGAAATTACTGTATCTTACTATTTCTTGTCTTGTGTGGTTTGATTTGGCGGCTGCAGTCTAGTTCAAGCTCTTCCTTGTTTTTTTGCTATTGCCACTCGCATGAAAACCTTCGTATATTTTTGTCCTTAACCTCAACAATGCGGCACTTCGTGTGATGTGTTGATCAAAGGAAATTAATGAGGTGAAAACATAAATATTAATGATGAAGCAAAATTACAATATTTAAGTTAAGAAATATTTTTGTTTGCGTTATATTTCCAGATGAAGTAGCATGCCTTGATCGTGATACATGTGAAGAAGTTTGCGGAAATCCTAATGGATGTACAGACATCGCATACCCACGACTGGTTCTAAGACTAATGCCCACAGGTAAAAGTGTCCGGGAATTGAATTAGTCGCTAAAAGTAGAATCATTGTGAAATCCAGTGAATATATTTGAAACGAATTTTGTTCATGAAAGCATCCACAATACCAGAGCCCCTATACAGTGCGTCCCAGAAAAAACGAAACCCAGAATTATCGATTTTTATCATAACTTAGTCACATTTTTAATTGATAAATGACACATATTTGGAAAGCTTAGATCCTCCTCTTTCATTTAATGCAACTCATTATGATGCATATTTCACGCATGAGTGATTTAAATGAATTTGAAGAGAGGAAACCAAAAAGTCATTTGGCGGACGGTATCTGAATTTCAAAGAGATAATCACATTTCTAGAAAGTCGAGTTTCTGTCCTTTCATATGACACCTCAATCAGGAAAAATAAGCAAGGAATGACAAAGTTCTGTTTGTTTAAGGTAGTGCTTGCATTTCCATAATTTTATCAAAAGAATTCGTTTTCACTGGCTGGCTGCCGTAGCAACAAGCAGAATTGACAACAGACTTAACTCCATTTCGTTGACAATCAGCTATGCATGAAGTCTTTCGTATACGACTGATTGTCAACGAAGCGGAGTTCAGTCTTTTGTTAATTCCCTTTCTCGCTACGGCAGGCAGCCAGTGAAAACGAATTCGTTTAATAACAATTATGGAAATGCAAGCAACACTTTAAACAAACAGAACTTTGTTATTCCTAGCTCACTGAGGTGTTATATGAAAGGGCAGAAACTCAACTATCTAGAAATGTGATTTTTCTCTTTGAAATTCAGATACCGTCCGCCAAATGACTTTTTGGTTTTCTCTCTTCAAATTCATTTAAATCACTCATTTGTGAATTATGCATTATATGAGTTGCATCAAAATAATGAAAGAAGAGGGTCTAAACTTTTTAAATATGTCTCATTTATCAATTATACTCGTGATTAAGTTATGATAAAACATCGATAATTATCGGTTTCGTTTTTTCTGGGACGCACTGTATAGAGCACAAATTATCTAATAACATAATGACACGTATATCGAGCTATTGGCCTCTCTGTTATGCCAATTTATTCCTGTCTGATGGAGCCAGGTTTACGAATTGAATAATAGAGTGGTGAAGTGTGACGTCATCAAAAATCTATTTTTAGAATTTCTCAATTTTTTCTTCATTTTCTGAAAGAGCATCTAAAATAATGTCCAGTTGTCGAAAATCAATTGAATATGTTAAGTATTGGCTGAAATATATCCATCTGAATAAATAGATGTCCTATAGGAACTCAGTGTTATTTGCTCTGGTTCATAACCATTAGGAGCCAGAGCATATAACACTGAGTTCCTATGGGGAGTATATTTATTCAGATGGTCATATCTCAGCCAATACTTAACATATTCAATTGATTTTCGACGTTTGAACATTATTTTTGATGCTCTTTCGGAAAATGAAGAAAAGAATTGAGAAATTCCAAAAATAGATTTTTATGATGTCACAGCTTCGGTACTTTAGACGAACTGAAGAATATTGCTCTAAAATCATGGGAAAAGAAACATTAAACTCGTTTTACGGAAGGACATCTAGACATTAGATAATCTGAAATGCTCATCAATTATCACCCATTTTAGCTCGTTTAATTTGATTGTAATATTTTCTTCTCAGGATTGAAAGGGTTAATGTTTGGAGCCATGCTTGCCGCCTTGATGAGTACGTTGACCTCAGTCTTCAATAGTTTAAGTACTCTCTTCACCATGGATATCTGGACAAAGATTAGACCTGTTGCCAAGGACAACGAACTCTTGATCGTTGGCCGGTAATGTTCTGATAAAGAATATTATCATCTTCCATCAAAAATATACATTACACATAATATTAGTCAATTCAGAGAATGGTTTTAGTTTTACAGTTCCTACATATTTCATTTTTGATGTTTCATTATGATTAAAGAGCGCTTTACATTACGGTTGAATCGTTTCTCTTTGTTTCCTACCATTTCTGGTGCACATTGTATTCCAAGAAACTATTCCTGTTAATTGTTAACCATTTTACTCCTCGTCCCGAATATCAACAGTAAATAGTATGATATTCAAACACTTGTTATCATTTTCTTTGAAGTTTGTTAAATATTATGATTATGATGATGATGACTGCTGCTCTTAAACATCTCGAAATAAAAAACAGATTATCTCTCAGCTGGATTTCTAAAAAAGTATGTTTCTCAAGTAACTGTTCAACTTAGTTGGACCCATATACCAGTAGTGTTGCATTTGAATTTTCGCTATGAATAATCTTCTGTTTAATTTTAATTTTGATACATAGGCACTTATTTTTTTATCTGTTATTGAGAATATGATTTTTGACAATTCTTTATTGTTGTTAAATCTATTTTCATACTATTTTATACTCAGTGCCTGTACAGGTGTAATGGCAATCATAGCCGTACTGTGGCTCCCACTCATCCAAGCTTCAGGAACCGGTCAGCTTTTCGTCTATATACAAGCTATGACGTCATATCTAACCCCGCCCATCTTTGCTGTCTTTGTAGGGGGCATGTTCTGGGAACGAGTAACTGAAAAGGTAACTAGCAAATATATTTATGCTCCTCCGCATTAATATAAATAGTCACATTCAAAAGGGGAGTCCACCATAACATTCATTAGGTTTTAATAGAAGCTGAAAATGAGAGGAACAGGTCAGTGGAGGTTTGAGCGAATTCCGATTAAAAATTATGAATTATTGAAGATGCGATCAATCAAATACAAATTGGCAGCACTGTCACGTATTTTGCGAGCTCCTCTCCCTTTATTATGAAGTTTTATAGCGATATCTCAAATGGTGATTTAATTATTGCCTATTGACTAATAGTCACTATATTCACATAACCGCACATTGACAATATTCTGTATTTTGTTTAATACATATAGGGAAATTCTCCCGAGACCTGAGATTCCATTTGTGAGTTACTGAATTTCTCTCAAGTTGTATTCGCTGCACTAGTAATAAACTTGTCTTTGTGCAATAATTTAATTAAGAGACTTTGCGTTTTGTTAATAGTCCTTCAGCGTTTATGTCTATTTTGACAGTTGTCAGAGCTCCTATAGAGGTTTTACAATTATGTTCACTCTTCTCTGGTTATCGTATATTTGACTAGACCGAAAATTTCTGTCTCTTTCGTTCCGTTAGCCTCTTATTTGGGTAAGGTCGGTTCCTCTCTAAAAGGCTAACGAACGAAAGAGACATAAATCTTCAGTCTAATATTTGACCACCTTCTTTATAAACCTTGATCACTCCATGCAGGGTGCGTTCTTTGGTCTTCTAGTTGGTGTAGTAGTTGGTGTCCTGCGCATGATCCTAGACTATACCTACCCAGGACCAGGATGTGGACAGATTGATAACAGACCAAGCGTCATCACAAGCTTCCATTATCTTCACTTTGCTTGTGTTCTCTTCGCTATTACTCTCATCGTCATCATCATTATCAGCCTCTTCACCCAACCCATCCCCAGTGAAAAGGTAAAGAACTGCTGATTTCAAAACATTGGATTTCATATTAAATATTGAAATAGTAAGAAATAAATTACACTTGACTTTGAGTCCTTATCAGGGCATAACATAATTTAAATTTATTTTAATATGTATAATAACAAACCATTTTAATCAATCATTTTCTTATTCATTACAATTATTCATCCCTTCGTTCTTAGTTTATAAATAAACAAAAAGTATTTCATGTTTAAAGGAAATGCAACTACATGTAGTTCTGTGAAGTTGTATCATGAAGAACGTAAAACTGATCGGTGCATTTTGTTTACAAAGTACAGTTTACATAAATATTATAGACCTATATTGTCCACTTTCATCTTGTGCTTTTTGTTATACAACGTTGCAAATATTCTTTCACACTTTAAGGTAAATATATCGAAATGTAAGGTAGTATTTATTAATCATGATTATATGTGGCCATTACCTCAAAATATAATAGCTGATCAAGCCATGTTCCTATATTTTAGAGATTATTTTAGGAAGCTCATGCTAGTGGTCGGACACAATGTTTGAATACTACATGTCATATTATTAGGGAACCTTCTGCATGAAGTTCATTTATTATCTAAGGCACTGTCTATATTTTAGACATCAAATCTAGGGAAGCTCAAAATAGACTTAGGGGGAGGGGGAGACAAAAATGACATTTAATTACAAAAAAGGGTATTAACCAGCTTCCATCTTCTTTTCTCTTGTTTAATCATGATGCTGATATTATTATTGCTGATCCCTACAGCTGGTACGTCTAACATGGTGGACCAGACACAGCAAAATGCAACGGGAACCAATGGATGATACCTACAAGCCTGTTGAAGTACCACCAAGCCGTGAGCAAATGGAGCTTGAAGATGGTAATCAGAAATCAAATCTGCTCTTTCATTTTTACGATATTCATAAAAGCTCCAGACAAACTTTTTCCCCAACTTTGAAAATGTTTATCTGCATCAATAAATGAATGATGATTAAACCATGAGGCATACAGAGAACAATAGTATATGTTTTTAGAAGGAAATATAAAGTATTTTTATTATCTAAATATTAGATTCAATATTAGGCTCTTTTGTTAGTTCGTTTATTAGGTTAGATACTTCATTTCTTATCGCATCTTGTGCTCCTTTATGATGTTTTAATGATACATATACCTTGTTTTCTTAAAGGGTCGGCTTCTTACAAGGATTATTTCCTTTTGGGCCACTGCCTTCCTCACTTTTTATAATTCATCTTATGTATTGTCATAAATGTGTCTGTTTATATATGTATTTTTATCTGTTGATCTCAATAAATGAAACTGAATAAAAACAATTTAGAGTAACAAAAAAATTGACATAATATTTGATATCACAGTAATAACATGCCATTCCTTGATATCATCTTTTTTTTCCCAGTTGAGATCAGAGATCCAACTTTTGCACGTCGAGCTTGTGGGATACTATGTGGGATTACCTCAGGCAAGGCTCCTGATGAACCCAGTGAGGAGGAGATCAAAAGGACCACATCTCTTGAAGAATCACCCTTCTGGTATCGAGTCATGCTTGCTAATCTCATTATCGCCATAGGATTTGGAATCTTTCTCTTCGGGTTTTTCGGTTGATGACTTCCAAAGTTATTTTTAACATGTATATAGTTGAACTCATTTTCTCAAAAAAATTCTCATAACATATAGATCTTATGATCTAGTAGGACTTCCTGTAAGATAATCTTGTTTTTAAATCTTTTTTTCTTTTGAGATTTCCTTCAATTATTGGGGTATCATACTCCACTAGAAGAGAGCTGGATCATTTTTGATCACCCTATATATTCAAGAACTATAAATTAAAGAATAGGGGTAAAACTGACTGCGTGATCTCTTTCTGAAGATCCTTTCCTGCCTTTTGTAAAAGTTTTATATAAAAGAGGGATATTCACCCATCATTCTTTGTGAAGAGAGTTGCTGTGTAGGTGCGGTGGGGTGCTGGGATATAGGAAATTCAATAACAATATATCCAATCACTTTATCAAAATGAAGACCACAATTTGGATTTTATTTATTATATGCCAGGGAGGGAATATTTAACAGGGTAAAAACATTAGAAGAGGTGTCATAGTCGAGCAGTTTAAACACATTTGACTGTCCCAGAGTTCAACTTCAAGCCCCATTTTGGCGATAATGTACCTTGGTAAGACACTCATCTGCATATGCCTCTCTCCACCTTGGTGTAGTAAATGGATACTTGGTACATGTAGGAAGGACTTTCTATTGATAGGCTGTTGGTAGCCTACAAGGTCTGACAGGGTCGTATTTCTATTGAATGATTTCACTGGCCTTAAAGATACACATATTGGTTTCCATAGAACATGTCGTGAGAGTGATATAACAGGGTAATAATTGCAGCACCTTGAGCAACTTGTGCAGTATATGTTAGTTCTATACAAGAAGCCAATATTTATGACTATCCTTCTTTTTTTTTTCTTTTTTTAATGAAGGCCACTGTGCAAAAGACTGATTATTAAAAGACTGCAGTGTTTGTTGGTGTGTAGATGGATCTGTTGATGATTTAACATCAACAGAATTATCGTCAAAAAGTTTGCAGATGTATACCAAGAGGAAAATCTGTGAATATGAAGCAGCAACTGGAAATACAATATCCTCTTTGCAAAATATCAGTCAAATATGATGAAAATATTGAAATTGATATGGGACTTAACTGGGTTGTATCATCAAATCTGAAATGTAATCTGTATTCATTTAATTGCTGTTTCTTTTGTTTTCATGTTACTAGTAAATGCTTGTAAAAACTGATCTTAACTGTAAAGGTTTGTGTTTGACTCTTCAATGATGTATCTCTTAAACATGGACAATAGTTGAAACAACAATTGTTTTTTTTTCAAAATGTAATAGTTTGCTATTACTATGTAAGTTCATAAACATTCATAAAACTGAATATGAGTGAATACTTACAAGTATAAGTGAGAAGAGTGGGCGTTGATGAAGAATAGGAGGAATGAAGGATTAAAACAAAGGGCAGAGGGAAAGAAAAATAATGATTCAAAAGAGAGAACAAGACCTGATGAGAAAAGAAATTAATGAGAAGAGGGAAATGGAGGAAGAAAGAGAGAGAAACTCAATCAAAGTTCAAATCTCTACAAGTCTGCAAGTTTGATGATAGCATTTGGGGATACTTTTTACAGTAATGCGTACAAATATTGAAACTTACTACATTTTAGTTTACTATAAAAGCTCAATTTTTGCATGATATCCATTGATTATTAGACCTTCAAATTCATTTCAGACTTGGATCTACATCACACTAAAAATATAATTTTGATAGGTCTATAACTTTTTTTACAAGGCCTTCCAAATAATGAACAAATGAACAAACTGAATCTATACACCAGAGGAAACTGCTAAAGGATTAATACCAAACTTTTGTCATTTCCTTTTTTTTTCTTTTCTTGGTTGAAAAGTAGGGTCCTCCTGATTGCATACCATCCAGTGTGAATTCATGACCCAATCAGCTATAGAGACAGTCATCAATCAACTCGGGGTTTTTACTGCCCAATAATGAATGTCCATTTGGAAACTTAATTAGGAAAAATAAACAAATTACATTTTATTTTTCATTGTTTGGCTATTGTAGTTGTCAGGAGGTCATAAGCAGTGGTCTTATGAGGTATGTAACTTCATGACTAAAATCTTGAGTCATTAAGTATGAATAAATTAATAGAAAACAGGGCCTTGTATTCTAAAGAGTTGCAATGATTCAAATTAATCCCAAATGTCTACATGAGATATAGGAGTTGCGATGAATTTTAAGTTGTGATTGATTTGGATCTATCGCAACTTATTATTAAACACAGCCCAAGTCTGTTTTTCAAATCTTCATTCACTCAAACACAACACATATTCAAGCATTTCTACATGTATATATAAGATGACACTTTATTTCATAAAATGTTCAAGGCATCAATGAAATCATTTTTTTATCTAACACATCATTAAAGGTTATATCATACTAAAATAATCACTATGAAAAATTTACACCATTGATTGTACATGAAAAAAGTTTAAAAAGGGCCGTTTAATTGTCATACCATGAGGTAAATTTATTAATACTAAATGGCATGCCCTTGTCCTACATAACTTTAAAGATCGGGCGACGTCCAAATACAAGTTGATACCTGTACTCGTACTTTGTTATTCAAACATCTAAATATGTTTTGATGTTTTTAAATATTTTTTCAAGTAATTTTCTCAGAACTGCTAAGCTCTCCCCCTAAAAAAATGCTCCACATCTCATTCATTTTGAGACACCATCTGTCAATCATAAGTGAGCTAACAAGAGACAGTGGTACATGTATGTAGCTTCCTCCAGCTCAGCACATGCTCACAAAAGGATTGCATGCTTCCATACAATATCTCCCCATTACCCTTCTTATCCTGGTGATGCTACAGCACGTCTGACATAGCAACTCCTATGTTAGTACTGTATGGTCTATTGTAAACAGGTGGTCAGCTCTGCTGAAGCTACATACCACTATTTCTTGTTAGCTCTCTAAAGATTGACAGATGGTGTTACAAGATGAATGAGATCTGGAGCATTTTTTTTAGGGTGGAGCTTAGCTGCTAGCAGGTCTGAGAAAATTATTTAAAAGTATATGAAATATATTTAGATATTTGAAGAACAAAATATGAGTTGTACGCCGCACTGCACATCAACAGATATCAACTTATATTTGGATGTCACCCGACTTTTAAAGGCAAATGTTTTACAATGCTCCTTTTTAGATCAGAATAAAATAAATTTCTTTTTATTATCCCAGCAGGAAACATGATATACATGTATATGTACTGTAAATGTAATATCAAACTGCATGATTCATTGATACATAAAGACAAACTTGCTTTTGGAAACATTTCAGTGCATTCGCTCTTAAAACTTTGGGATCCTGCTTTATACACAAACAAAGACATCCCCCAAATGAAGTCGTTCACTAGATCAAATCTTTCAGAAGCAAAATGTACAAGATTTCATGGGGAACAATAGTCTATTGATCAAAGCATTTTGGGTATTGGAGCAGACTGGTATGAGAGAATTTAGGGTTTTTCCCTTTAGCTGGAGGGCCAGTGAATTTACTGTGCCTTCATCCAAAGGGAAAACCCCTAAATTTCCCTTTTACCAGTGGATCAGTCACAGCAAATTTCTGGACCGTATTAGAGTCCCAGGTTGTAACAATGAATAATTCATGGGGTGTACTCAAATCATGTTTAAATATCAAGATATATAATGGCAAGTAATGGTTGATTTTAATGTTTCATTAACATGGAATGTTCAAAGTGAATGCCGAAAATCTACCAGAATTTGTCCAAGTCCAATACAGGTATGTACATGAAGAAACAACCAATCAGAGGTTTAATTTCAAAGAAAAGAGAATAGCTATATTGTAAATCACACTTGATTACCACTACACCATTTAATTACTAGCCATTCTACTTGCAATACCTCAACAATTCTCAAATGATGTTTTAATCTTTTTATATAAGACTTGATGCTTATATGTGCATGGAACACCAGGGCCTTGTTGCATAAAACTTTAATACCATTGATGGTAACTTTGCCATCAATGGTACAGAATACCATGGTAATAGGGCTCAACAGCCAATCAAAATCAAGGTTTCCATGGTCGTTACCATTGATGGCAAAGTTACCATCAATGGTAAGCTTTGTGCAACGGGGCCCTGGACACACAAGATCTATACATCCAAAATAACAATGGGCTGATACGTACAGACTATATAAACCTCAAGAGTCAAGCGAATGAACCCCTATACCACAACATTTTCACAACACTTCCGGTAGAACTGTCATATGAAGCTGATTTACAATGACACTGCATACTTCAAACTACCTATATTGTATAGTGTGTGAACATCGATAGGGTACATTTGACATCCATAGTACAAGAAACCTACCAGTATCAACATAAACGTATTTATGCAGACAGATAGCCAGTAATCCTTAGAAATAGCTATTAATTCATATCAAGAGTATGTTTGTACACAAAGATGAAACCGATATAATATAGCACAATTGACTAATATTGCCTACTACTATTCTAGCACACTCACTCATCCACATAGGGATATGTATCACACTGGTCATGTGAGTTGGTCAAGTATGGCTCTATAACAAACCTCTTCACATCTGTAAATAATGCTTCCTGTCTGATGTACATGTATCTTCTTTCAGTATTGAGCATTTTCTTTACATCGATTGCCTCTTGTCAATATTAACAACTATAAAAAGCCAGTGCATCAGACTGAAATATAATATTGATGCACTCAAAATTTAAAAATCGCCACTTAAAATTTTTTTGGGAAAACTAGTTGGAAGGAGGAAATCTTGCGTTTTTTTAAAAGTGCAATTCTTTCATTCAAGATTTCTCCAGCCTTACCATTTAATAGTAAAGACTACTTTCAGTCCATACTGAATAACTTCAAAGAAAGAAAGCAAGGGTCCTGAGGGAAGCTAATTCAATTCAGCTGCATCCATCCTTTATTTCACAACAACTAAAAAATAATACTAGTACGTTCCCTCTTGAGGAATAGTCCAAGCAAAGGGAGAGGTCATAGGTCATGGAATCAGCTTCCATTTGATAGCACACTCTAGTCTTCAACCATTGGATGAAAACAAAAACTGAGCTTTAGTACACATGATGACACAGGAGTACAAATACATGGTTCTTCTAGAATACTTCACAAAAATATTGCAATCTAAGGTTTAAATATATATAGGCACATACAGTCACAGTACTTAATTCTATTCTCTACATCATGAACACAGGATGAAAATGACTTACATGTATCTTTGTTTGTAGTTTTCATTTTTACAGGGTAAAAACTGCTTTTCAGATTGGCCATGTTAGGCAATAATATGATTAATGATTGAAAGTACAGACACTTTAATTGCTAAGTTCTATATATATGTACATGTACCAAACAATGATCTCAGGCACACTAATAATATACTCAGTATCACATCATCACTGCATCACCCGAAAGTTTGCTTTTTTATTACCTTATGGCTGAAAGGTATTGAGACTTTCATCAAATTACATTCAGGCAGAGATTCCTGGACCTAAATTGTACATGCTAAAGCAATTAAACCACTAACAGTTTATACAACAGTTTATGGTCTAAAATAAGCGCAAAATAAGCACAACACAGTCAGAGGTCCAATATTAGACGGGCGCAAGGCAAGGTATGGTTATTTCGCGCTAATTTTTAAACCATGGGTTATGTTAATGAGAGTTTAAACCATGGCTTAAATGTAAACCTCCTTTGTGAATTCGGGCCAAATTGTACATGTTAATTCAATAAAACCACTAACAGTTTGTACACTAAAACCAGTTACAGTTTATACAACAATATCATGTGTCTACCTAAAGGACATACAAAGGCAATAGGAATTTTGGAAATAAATATTCATAGGAAAAGATGCGAGCACGTTGAAAACTATCTTTCTAACTAAATGAGTATCATTTAAAAATAAAAGGCATTATGAAATAAAAGGCATTATGAAGAAAAAGAGCATTCCATGTGTCCTTCTTTATCAATGAATCAATGGGAAAGGGCTTACAGTGTGTATATTTATGCTTTAAATTATAATGACATAAATAAACTAAAAATGGAATACTTCTTTAGTACAAACAAAAATGTTATAGTGTCACACGCAAGGTCTTGGGTTTCATCAAGAAATTTAAAAAGAAAATTTGGCAAGATTACATGTATATGGTCAATAATGCTTACAAAGTCTATCAAACAATAACATAAGACTTTATATTTCAGTAATGGCAAGTGTATTACAGAAGAATTTAAGATGCAACATAATAGAAAATAAAACCTTATATGAACAAGGCAAGCTGTATGACAGCAGACGAGTTGTAGCAACTGGGAATTAGGAGCGGTGTCTACTGCCAAGATTATGTTTACACAGTACTGTGCAATAATTGTGGTAAACTTGAGGTAATATGTGCTGTTCAGAGAGGCTGATATCACACCCACCCAACACCATGCCGTGGGCACTGATTACCATGAGCAGAGGTATGTTCACAACTATCGGAGTAAACTTGATCAGTCATTCAGGTAGGCACAGGAAAGGATATTCATCAGATTAAACCCAATCATCCCAGTCTGTTGAGGGAGTGGATCATACTTCTATCAGACTAAAGTACTAAACTCCTATCGGAGTAAACTTGATCAGTCATTCAGGTAGGGACAGGAAAGAACATTCATCAGATTAAACCCAATCATCCCAGTCTGTTGAGGGAGTGGATCATACTTCTATCAGACTAAACTCCTATCCTAGCCAAAATGTCATATTACGTATGAAAACCAATCGCCTGCCAATCAATGCCTCCAAAATAATTGACATAAACCTGCTAAGCAGATATCTTAAACTTAGGGTAAAATAATAAGCTAAAGGTGTCAACTGAATACCAAAGTTGGCTAAGAAAACTAAGTAATATATTTTTTTAGATAACTATCGAATTGAAAACCTGCCAAGGTGCTTGTCACTGCCTACTGCCATCACTTTTGAACTCATCTCAATTAGATTTGCACTTGGCCGTCATGTAGAACACAAAGAAAAACTCTCAATAACTCAGCTACACTCCTTTTCTCAACTGAAAACAGGCACGTATATCAAACTAAAACCCTGACAATATCAGGTTGACAAAGTGTGACATATTTTGTGCAAATCATATGCACACATGGAGCTCAAAGGAAAGAATTAACTTTAGAGGAAATGTACATCACAAGGAAACAAGCACTCAACATTAGTGTTAAACCTTAAAAACATTTACGCAAATACGCTGTTAATACACCAAAACATACATGTAGAAAATGGAAGTCAAACTGAAAATGAGAAGATCGAAAGTATGCTTTGGCTCTGTCTTATAACTACACAAGACAAACGTGACTGCGTCTCCTACATGTATATGCCTCCATCCTAATTTTAGTAAAAGAAATGGATGGAATTATTCTTGAAATATCATGATGAAAAAACCAAACATATAATTACACTTCAAGTAATAACTATGAACCTGGACCTTTGAGGCTTAGACCTAATTATTTAAACAAAATCTAATTGGATCGTCCATGTTTGAAGCTCACACCTCAACAAGTTCCTGACATATTGTGATAACAAGGCTAATACCTCGATTTAAAAAAGAATTGACCTCTATGACTTTTGGCATTCAAACCTACTTACCAAAAGTTTCAAAATGATTGATACCTTAAAGCCCCACTGTCCTACTTGTAGCTACTTGCTCCCTCTATGAAGAAAACTTCCTTAATCGGTGCCTGTTGGTCCCCCATGATCCTCTTTTTCTTATGTTAGTTGAGAGCTGAGTTAATGAGATAGCCACTTGTCAGTGACCTCGCTGTGTGGTCTAATCCCTTCTGGCCCAGTAGTATTGACGGTCTTTAAGATACCACCTTCCTCACCATGACAGGTGTCTATAAGGATATCCTTTAAACAGTAGTCTCGATAGAAGTCCTAGAAACTTCACAGACTAAGTGCTTACAAGGCAAACAATCCTCGTGAATGGAACTTAATTTTTGACAGATGTCTGCCACAAACTGAGGCACCTGTTGATTTTGTCCTGCGAGTGCACGCTGTATGTCGTACACTTTAATACTGTCCTCTTCTGCATACAACTGGCTATCAATAGCAATCATTTCCTCAAATAGAGGTGAGCCTGCAACATCTGTGAGTGAAGTGACTTTAAGAACCTGACTTAGAGCTCTTAGTAGATCTCCTTCATCCTGATTGATACGCCCAAACAAAGCTTTAAGACTCAGGGAATCCATTGGATTATTTTCTATATGAGTCTTCAGATTGTGTAATGAACAATTACACCTGTTAACAGCTTGTGTTTCATCTGTTAATGTTTTAGTGACCTCATGATGTTTGGGGTAAAAGGTTGTATCACCCTCCTGAGTACCTACGACAATATGATACCTTGTTGATGGTAGCAAGCCAGTAAGAGTAACTCCCTCTGGTCCAACAGCAATGGCATCTTCTCCACAGTTACAGTCAAGCTTTACAAACATATTACTTTCCTGTGTAGTGATCTCTACTGATGTGCATCCAGGGATGATCTCTGGACTTGTGGGTGTTTGAGGCGGGGTCAGAGGAAACTCATTGCTACCTGCTGTGAAGGAAACAATATTACCATTAAAAAAACAAGAATATATTAGTAAAATAACACTTTCTGTCTTCCTGTTTTTAGTTTGACTTCCATAAATAATGAATATTGATTTTTTTTTCAATGATAAATATCAATGAGTTTCATTTTACATCTGGCCAAGACAAAATATGACCAGGCACCACAAAACCACCCACAAATCACCTGGTATGATTTTCAGTTAGAGCTTCATAAAGTGAGGCGTATTTGGTCTGAATGGTCAAAATTTGTTTTTTAGTATTAATAACTGGGAGGACCAGGATTACCCCCTCCTTAATAGGAAGTCTCTTAGAAAAGACTGAAAGATGTTAGTCCTTTGCTTGCTTACTTACAAGCCTCCACATTCCTTTTCGGCAGTCAGGTAAACAAACAAACTAATCAACCAATAGTATCATCATTTTGCCACTCACTTGAAGAAAAAAAAATATCTTGCACATCAATATTTCAGGACTCCTCAATCCTCCCTCTCTCTCACATGGTACATCTGCAAGCCTACTGTATAGCAATACACATGTTTGTAAAAAAAAACATAAACATGAGGCTTCCCCCACAATGCACAATGAACATCAATAATTCCAAGAATGATGAAGATAGTGTGATCTCAGTTGTTTCATTGACATGCTTATGTACACTACTACATCTTACCTATCATAGGCTCACAGGAGGAGGATGTAGGTACTGGCTTTCGACGCCTGCGTTTCCTCATGCAGAATGCTGTAACAATGGCTATTATAAACACTGCTAGAACTCCCAGTCCCACTCCAACCCATAAACCCGTATTACCAGGAGGCAATGCTGGACCATCTGAAAGAAAACAAAGACAAACGAAACATCTACATCTACTCATTCAATATACATTAGTCATACATACATGTTTATGTATGATGGAATAAAAGCCCAGAAAAAAAACATGTAATACAAGTTATTGTAAGTGTACCGATACTTAAAAGTGCAATTTGTAGGTTTTGCATGTTGCAGAGGTTTATTTCATAGTGTTCATACCATGTCAAAGAAAAAGAAGAACAAACTGATCAGCAATAAAATTGAGAAAAACTTAATTTGAGTCATTTTGGGTACAAAGACAAATTTCAGAGAAACCTTACAATTTTGCCAGTTTTGAGTTTTCTGAATATCTAGGGATCAATTTGTTTTCATTCAAACTTTATACATTTCTGTCTCATACTTTTCTGCTTTCATTTAGTTACTGAACACAATATGATTTCACATACCAGAGGTATTTGATGGTTTTGTTGACTGATAGTTTGAGGTAGTCAGAGATAATGCCCCTTGTGTTGGTGTTGATGATCCACCTTCATATGATGTGGATGGAGCTAATGTTGTTGTATCTGAAGAGTAACAAGAGCAAACAAAATATACATTCAAAATGCGTTCATACAAGTATGCTTATTATGAAAAGAACATAAAGATGAAATAAAAATGATCACTACCATACATGAAACATGAACCCCTTGCAGGTTTAACAGAATTTGGATTGATTGGACCATGGAATGGCTACCAAGATCATCGCTGAACTAAAGCTGCTTTCAAGGTTTTCAGCAAAGCAGTGATTACGTTACAATGCTAACAAGAGTACAAATCTTGATGGATATAAATGACTGTCACATGAAAGAAGGGATGAAAAACATACATGTACTTGCATCTAATATGTAGTTTTTGTGCACAAAGCAATTTTAAGATGGTTAACAAAAGTAGCCCTTGCTCATACATGCATGATTAGTCCTAATTATATCAATAAAAGCAAGAGAGCATCACCTACCAACAGGTACAAGTATCAAGAGATTTGGAAAATAGGTAATTCATTCTGATAAACTCTGTAGTGAAATGAAAATATGACGAGTCTAAATGCATACCTTGAGTTGTGAGAGCAGCTGTTGTTAATTCACAGCTAGTATTAGGAGCTGGTGAGATTGAGTCGCTGATCTCTTCTGGACAGCGCCATGGACATGGTAATTCAGCACATTCATCTGGGAAGGATATATCCGAGTTCCTCAATTGTTCAAGATTGCACGGGGAACAATATTTAATACGCCCTGAACTGAATTTATCACAGTATTGTCTGTAGGAAACAGGGGGAGAAGGAAATAAATCTATGTTATTATTCATAACAAATTGGAAATCGATAACACAGAAACTACTGCAAAGAAAAATCTACTGATATGACTATAAATCTAATTGTAGGAAGTCTTCCTACCTATCATAAGAGTATAGGTTTGATCAGACACATACATGTATGCTTCGGTAAACTGAGTATTAAAAATGAAGGACAATTATGCGCATCCTACATACATGGAAGCGTATTCACTATTGCTATGTGTTTTATGATAACAGAAATTTAAGGCATGTTACACTCAACATCATCACTTTTTTTAAACACCACAGTTTACCACTTCATATCTTGTTTGTTTGTTTGATTGATTTTATTTCTGCGTTCAAAAATATACAAATTCAAATTCAAAGTACAAAATTTCGAACAATAACAAATACAATGAATACAATGTTTACAAAAGTAATTAAATGAAAAATCATGTTCAATTATATCATTCGATAAACATGTACGAAGCATACAATAACATAAGAAATATGAAATATTTTCAATAAATTAGAGAGGTAATTTGGAACGCAGGAGACCACCATCGTGAGCGGTTAGGCTGGAGATGGATGGCGGCCTCGTAAAAAGAATTGGCGACATAACTCTCTTCGAAAAACTGAGTGACCAAGAGGGTGCGGTGCAAGTGCAGGTGCAGTGAGCAGTTGCATGATAAAGAATAAATAAGTCACGGTTTTGTTATACTAATTTAGAGAGGGGGAGCATATGATTGTATTATTTGTCGTTTAAGTGTAGCTTTTAAGGAGTAGATGGTTGAACAAGACTTTATGCTGTCAGGTAAATCATTCCAAATGTCCGGGCCAGAATGTCTAACAGATTTGTGTGTTATTGATAATTTGGGGTTTGTAAGATGGAAGTTTCCAGATATGCGAGTAGAGTATGAATGAACGGAATTATTAAACCTAAACATGTTATCAAAGGATGGTGGAAGCAGATTATTAATGTACTTAAACATAATAACTGCTACTTGAGTAGTGTTCAGATCGAAATTTTTTAGTGTTTTAAGTTTATAGAATAAAGGATCAGTGTGAGCTAAGAAATGCGAACCTGTACAAATACGTATGGCTTTCTTTTGCAGTTTGAAAATAGAATTGATTTTTGTCGAACCACAATTTGCCCATACACTATTACAATATGTTATATACGGGAGAACTAGCGAATTATATAGTAGGAATAAGGTTGCATGGGGTAGAAGAAACTTTAACTTGGAGATTATTCCAATACTTTTGGAAATGCACAATGTAACTTGGTGTAAATGATCATTCCAAGTCAAGGTTTCATCTATAAGAACACCCAAAAACTTGGAATTAGTTTTCTTCTCTAGTAGCATACCATCGATTTTAATATATATAGGTGTTTCTGTATTATGAGAATGATGTTTAAAATACATGAAATGAGTCTTTTTTGTATTAAGTGAAAGTTTATTGGATTTAAACCAATCTGATACTTTGTTAATTTCATAATTCAAAGTATTGTTTAACGAATTAAGGTCTTTATGGGAATAAAAGATATTTGTATCATCGGCAAATAAGATAAAAGAAAGAAGGGGGGATGTATTGATAATATCATTTACATAAAGAAGAAATAACAGTGGACCTAAGATGGAGCCTTGAGGAACACCGCATTGAATTAAAAGAGGATCAGAATCATTACTATTAAATGTAACATATTGTCTTCTGTTTGTTAAATAATCTTTAAACCATAAGAGTGGCTGACCCCGAATTCCGTAATGACTGAGTTTGGAGAGTAGAATAGCGTGATTGAGCGTATCAAATGCTTTACTCAAGTCACAGAATATACCTATAACATGCTCTTTGTTAGCTATGGCACTTGTAATTTTGTCATAAATTTGAATTAATGCTAAGTCAGTTGAGTAATTTTTTCTGAAGCCATATTGATTTGAATTGAGTATTTTGTGTTTAGTGATAAATTTGTGTAGCCTATTATGAACGATCTTTTCTAAGACTTTAGATATACTTGGGAGTAGGGAAATTGGACGATACATTAGTTACTAATTTCGTGAGGATCATCTTTTTTGAGAATGGGGTTGACTTTAGCTAGTTTTAATAAATCAGGGAAAACACCTTGCGATAACGAGTGATTAAATATGTAAGTTAAAGGCTTTGCAAGTGGATACATTATTTCTTTTAGGAGAGACATACTTATTTTATCAAAACCGTAAGATTTTGAGTTGTTAAGAGATTGGGTAATGTTAATAATTTCGCTAGGATTTGTCGGATTTAAAAAGAGGGACTCTTGGTTTTGATTGGAAAGATAGTCTTTAAAGTGTGCGTGAGTTCTATTAATTTTGCTGGCGAGTTTAGGGCCGATATTCGTAAACAAGGGAAACGCTCTCGGCGGTCTCGCCTGCATAACGCAATTCAATATGATAAACCAGAACGTCAATGACGTAGCGCTCATCCGCATCTCACAACAACAAATATCGTAAATTTTATGTGGTACACTTTTGAACTGGTCAAAAAATAGAAATTTGATGCCCTGGAAGGGACATAATTTCATTTCATTTGCATAAAGTACCATAAATAATCAATGGAGCAAAATCTCACAATTCTGTGTAGAAGTTCATTGTTCCAAATTTAGCTCTACCAGATAAGGCAAAATCGGTCAAGAAATGAGGGAAAAGAAGCAATTTTTGTTATTTTTGGAATAAATTTGCATAAATTACCATAATTAATTAATGGAGAACAATTTCAAAATTCTGTGTGGAAGTTTAGTGTACCAAAGTTAGCTCTACGATATAAAGCAAACCAAATCAAAATCTGTCGAGAAATGAAGGAGAAGAAGCCTTTTTTGTGATTTCGAATAAATTTGCATAAATTAGCATAGATAATGAATTTCACGATTCTGTGTAGAAATTTTAAATCCCCTCCTAGCCCTATCATATGAAACAATCAGAATCAAAATCTGTTGAAAAATAACGAAGAAGAAGCATTTTGAAAATCTTAATGTTGATGCCACAACAAAGTCTAAGTTTGTTGACCTTAAATGGCCTTTGACCTTAACTTAGTGACCTGAAATTCTACTCACATGATTGGGGAGACTTGATAACCCTATAGTCCAAGTTTCATTGACTAAGAACTTATACTTTCAAAATTATATCAAACATTCAAAAACTTAACCTTAGGTTAAGTTTTCGATGATGATGCTACAACATAGTCCAAGTCTGTTGACCTGAAATGACCTTTGACCTTGACTTTGTGATCTGAAATTCTACTCACATGATTGGGGATACTTGATTACCCTATAGTCAAAGTTTCATTGACTAAGAACTTATACTTTAAAAATTATACCAAAAATTCAAAAACTTAACCTTAGGTTAAGTTTTTGATGTTGACGCCGTCGCCGTCGCCGCCGCCGTCACCGGAAAAGCGGCGCCTATGTCTCGCTTTTTGCTACGCAGGCGAGACAAAAATGAATTAAATGAATTTGCATGAAGACTAGGATCATGTATTTTAGTGCCATTTAATGTGATATTATCCGTGGGTGGGGGATTCGTTTTTTTTCCCATTACCTCTTTGATAATTTTCCAAGTTGCAGTTGTGTTTGAACTGGCCTTTTTTATTTTATTAGAAAAATGCAATCTACGGGATGTACGGATAAGTTTTGTTAATTTGTTTCGATAAATTTTATATGTGTTTAGGTTAGTGTCAGTTGGATTGTGTAAATGTAATTTGTAGAGGCGATTGCGTGTTTGTATTGATTTCAATAAACCTTTAGTTATCCAAGGATTCCTGGGTTTATTTCGCTTATTACTCATTTTGCCTAAAGGAATATTCTTTTCATAATAATATTGCAATTTGTTACTAAAATGTTTATATGCAGTATTGACATCATTTACACTATATACCTCAGCCCATCCCTCGAAAAATAAATCCTGTTTCAGCAATTCTATATTACGTTTGGATTCTTTGCGATATATAAGCTCATCAAATGATTTACGGCCAGATAGTTTGCATTCACAAGTTAAAAATATGGGTAGGTGATCCGACACTTCAGAACACAATATTCCACCGATGGTTTTGTTGTTATGTACGTTTGAAAAAATATTGTCAATCTGAGTTGATGAATGTGGATTTATGCTGGTGGGTTTATTAATAATTGAAAAAAAGCCGTATGAATGCATCAACTGCATACAATTGGTTGAGTTACTGTTATCAGATGAGGGTGAGAAGTTGATATTAAAGTCACCAAGGATAAAATTGTGTTTATTTTCATCCCCTATTTTATGAAGATAAAAATCCAGTTCGTCACAGAATAAATCACAATTAGAATCAGGGGGTCTATAAATCAAACCTATGATGACGTTTTTGGCATTTGAGTTATTAATTTCGATAAATAAAGATTCAGCTTGTGTTAGTTTAATATCTGAACGGATTTTGAAGTTTATATTTTGTGTAATATAAAACGCAACACCGCCACCTCTTCTTCCTTTGCGGTCCGCCCTAATCAACTTATAATTAGGCAAATTGAACATATCTGGAGAATTCTGATGTAACCATGTCTCACTTATTCCAATGACGGAAAATGCAAAATTATTTAAAGAGTGTAAAAGGTTTTCAACGTATTCGAAATTTTTGTTCAGACTTCTGGAGTTTATATGTAAAAGTGAAATATTGTCTGGTTTGTAAGAAAATGAATTTTTGAATTCTTGGGGTGTGTAGTATTTGCTCTCGTTTATATCGTCGACAAGAATATCGGGAGTGTGCGCGTGCGAATTCATTTAACGATACGTATTATGTAAAGTACCGAAAATTTGGAGGATGAACAACTGCATGTGTGATGCTGGTGCGTTTGTGTGTGTACGAAGTGCAAGTGTGCGGGTAACTTCAAAATATAACACAAATAAAAATACAATAAGACCCATCTTGGTCACAGTTACAATAATTGCTTAGGAGCAACAGAGCGGAGCCCGACCGCCCGAGTAAAGGGTGTATTTTTGACACGCAAAATAGAGGGGCTGGGAAGAAACAAAATGCTTGATAACAATAATGACAAATCGGAGTACGATTATTAAATGGTAAAGAGGGATTTGACATTCCCGCTCATCAAAACTAGTTCAGTCTATAACAATGGATTTTGTGATTGACACAGGAGTTTTGCAAAACAAAGAGATTTGTTGTGCGGAGGAGAAAAATGTATGCATGTTAAAGCAGACTCTGAGATGATGCTTAATAGCAATAACGTCATTTCGGAGTACAATAATATTAAATGGCAAAGAGGGTTTTGACATTCCCGCTCAAAAAACAAAAAAAAAGTTCAGTCAATTACAATATAACAGATAGACTCAAATTTTTGGAATGCTATACAGATAATAATTATTGATAAAGAGTGAGGACTTCGGTCTTGATAATCCCAGTCGTCAAGATCAAAGGATAACGAATACTTGTCTCAAGCCCATTTGAGGGTATACATTCCTGCATGATACAAAGTTCTACTGCATGTCCCCTGGAAGGAATACAATCATGACAACTTAGGATTAGTGACAACCGTACAATTCTTTCAAGATTCAAATGCTTTAATACCCATTTGGACAATCGAATTTTTGAATGTGGCTTAGTGATCGAGGACTCTCAGGAGAGGTGATGAATTTATAACATGTATAAGGGCAGTCAGTTCTCACACACTTTGAAACAGTTACAACATATTACAGAGAGCAGTATAAATCTGTTCCAAGTAGGATGTACATGAACAAGCTCTATTATTTTCTTGACAGATCTCAAAACTCATCCATTTCTTTGATTTAAAATTTGATGACATATATTATCCAATTCCTCCATTTGTCAAAAAAGGTTTACTTATATTATTGCTATGATAATTAATTTCTCAATCCTACTTGTAGTTTGTACTATTTTCAATTTACAGAAAATAAGAATAAAGTGTCAACTATACAGTTACACCAACAAGTCAGTGCATTGATCAATATGAGGATATCTACTCCTGTATTGGAAGTTTCCATTTTAGTAGATGTAACTTACGCGAAGCCTGGAGTTCCTCTACATGCAGCACCTTGATTTGGGTCTGGACCTCGCCATGGTAACCATCCAATGGGACGACATGTAGCAAGCTAAATAGAATACAATGAAGAAAATATACTCATCCATACATAATAATAATAATAATACTCAGTTTTTATATACCGGTAGCGCTTATTAGAATCACTAAGCGCTTCCAAACTTAGAGATTATTACCCCGGCGCTCTAGCATTCCAAAGAATTAATTCCTACCAGGTACCCATTTACATCACCAGGTACCCATTTACATCACCTGGGTTGAGTGTGGCAAATGTAGATCAATGTCTTGCCAAAGGACATTAGTGTCACGGCGGGTCTCGAACCGCAGACCTTGTGATCGACAGTCCGGCGACTTAACCACTCGACCATATAAAACCTTTTTGTTTTGTAGGGGGGGGGGGGGTGGCATGTTGAGTTTGTTGATGCTTTTCCTTCCGTCAGCACTTACATGTACATGGTGGATGAAACATATACCGATACCAATGATAAAGGAGAGAGGACACAAGCATACCTCCTTGTTTTCTACAAAGTGCAAAACCCAAAAAATAAAAAGGTTAAATTCCAACGTCATTTGAAAGACAATACTAATTTAGAGCTTCTCTCAAAACGAAAGTGTTTGAAAATGGCTTTTTGTGGAAAAATAACGGCCATTAGTTGTCGAATCAACATAAATGATTGCAATCACTTAAGTAATAGTCTGATTTTCAGACCCTTGTACCGAATGGTTGTACGTTTTGTGCTGCACAAAGATTCAATCAGTTTAATTTTGGCCATTACAAGTAGTGGATTATTGATGTAGACAAATGCTATTAAATGTACCTGTCACAGCTCATTCTATGTATGTTATTACCAAAGAAAGAAAGATGTCAGTCAGTCACTCAATAGTGTCTGACAGGGAAGTCTAGAAGGTAAACAGGTTTCACAGATAGGACATACCTGGCATATTCATAATTCCTGCAAAGTTCTATAAAATTTGATGTTGGATGCAAAAGGGACATAGTACATGTATCTTTAAGCAATATAAAGTTTGCTCCAAAAATAAAGGAAAAGAGCCTAAATTATATTGCCCTATTCTGATTCTCTTCTGCCTTATACATTCTTTTTATTTCCCTCATTCATGACCATGATAAGTAGCTTGTTATGCTAAGATGAGGGTGCGTCTATTATTAGAAAGTAAGAGATTTTCATTTTTTGACAACCAAGCCTTTTCATGAGACCAGTCAGGATCTGTAGTACATGTATGTAGGCCTACATAAATCAATCAATTGAGATTCAGTAACATGTACAATGTTGACTTGATAAGAATGAACATACACAAAATACAATGACCACTTGATCTATTAATCTTGAATTAATTAATCAATGATATTGAATTGAATTGAAAATGGTTTATTAAAAACAATACATAGCAGCCCGAAATCTGAATTGCATATCGATTTACATATATTATAAAATAGCAGTAAATTGCATTTGAGTTTTAAAAAATACATTAATCTTAACAATTTGATAGCATTACATAGTTCAACTTGTTCAAGTCTGTACATTATGAGATATTGCTAATTCAAGAATAAGGGTACTTCAAATAATGTACATTTTAAACAATAAACTGTTTACGGTAGTTCTTGGACAGGTGCATGTAAACCCGTGAGAAGATTTAAACAGATTAAAATTTCAACTTCACATTACCGGTAATAGCTTCATTTTCTATCAAGAAAAAATAATATTCAAAACAACATAAGGAAAAGGTTTCAACTTTCAACTACTCTACTGAATTTTAAAAAAACACAACAAATCCATGACACAATAGATCATTTTTAACTAGCAATTTGTCATTATTACTAGGAAATCTAGAAATTCTTAACATAATATAATTTTGGAATCTGTTATTCTGTTCACCATTTTAACAAGTTTTAAAAGGTAGACAAAATCTAAGTAGCTGTAGGCCTCTATGTACAATAATGTGTAGTGAACTTACTTGGAAGTTGAACAGTAGTGTAGAAAATAACAGGTAGTGTGCAGACATCACATCCATTGTCTTACTATAATCCTAACCTGTAGATGAGAAAAAAGAAATGGGAGATTAGTGAAGGTATTGTGGTCTAGAAGATAAGTACGGTAACTGGATTTACAGATGTGTATTAAGTTTCACACCACATTGCAAACTTGGAGACAGAAGCTGTGACATCATAACAATCTATATTTAGAATATCTTAATTTTCACCAAAGAAGCTTGTACATGTAAGTTCCATTCGTTACCATTTTGTTATAAGTCCTATCCCATTTAATTAATTATAAAGCCATTTGAAAGTATTGTACAATGTAGCATAACTAGTCCAGTAATTTAGTAAGACGTAGAGGGCATTATAGTTAATTGTGAAATATATATGTGTACATCTTGAGATGTCAGTCAGTCAGCGTTGAGCTGTCGTTGCGACAGGTACGTCACAAGGAACGAGATAAAGTTACTTGAACTGCAGATACTGTGCAAGTGTTGTTTCTTGAGGTCCTGTCAGACATTCAGTGATTGCGGGAGTAAGTGAATGAGAGCTAGTCCATGTTTTTCTTACACGATATACTTTTGTGAGAGCCCACTCAGAGATAGTTGATGAATGATTGTTGAGAGCGTGGACCGGGTTCTGAGAGACTGCAAGGCAGATTACTACCCTGGCAGAGCCCGGTTACGCCACTGTATCATACCACAGGCTTTGAAAAATGTTGCGTTAATGTGCTGGTGTAGACAGTGTTGCCTCTTTTACTACACAGCCAGATAGTGCAGCTATGTGTGGTTCCGCTGATCATGCTGGGATTGAATCTGGCTCCTGACCGTCAGTTTTATTACAGACTCACCCATACTAGACGGTTATTTCTGTCTTACTAGAGTCTAGATCTATTATGGTAGATCTACTTCCCATTAATGTTAATTGTACTTGTAGATCACCTAGGCAATATAGACTAGGTCCTACTCCGGGAATTATTCAGGGCTGTTTCTGTTTCTGTTACGGTTGCGTCGGTAGACTCATGGTTAACTGTACTTCACCAACGTTTTGATTTGTATGGTCACAGTTGTGCTATGGAAGGAGAGGTGTTTCACATTTGAAGTTTCTGCTTGAAGACTGCACTGGAGGTAGACGTAACTGTTTCCTCTTTGAGTAGGTTCCATTCTGCTGCTGTCCTGTTGAAGAATGAGTACTTGTGCACGTCCTTCTTAAAGATAAAGACCAGTTATGGTCATGCGATTGCATTGTGAAAGAAAAGTGGAATCGATCAGAAAAGGTTGATCATCTAGCATATAAGTATTGGTGTGTACTGCAAGGTTCTGGAATCATCAAAATGATAAGAAATTTGGCCCAGTCTTTGTAAAGTTACATGCACTGTACACAGAAAGATGTATATGGGACTACACACACATGCACGTGCGTGTATCTCTCACACACCAATAGATAAACTAATTTACCAAATATATCAATTAATAGGCAGTTTCCCGGCAAATTTTTTATCATCATGTATTAGTCAAAAATATTCTTTCACATGATTGGTAATAAGAGCTTCCATTTCATTTTTTGAAATTGGGGCGTTTCCAGTACTGATTAAAGGTAAAGACCAGTCTTGGAAACGCCCTTTAATCAGTACCCTCTGGATTCTTTTGCTGTTTCCTCTAGTTGTTCTTCCCCTCTGATGTTGGTTTGAATGTATGTGTCGGCCTTGATTCCCACTTCTCCGTTTATGATCTTGTACAGGAGTTGAAGTCTAGCAATCCTCCTTTGATTCTCCAGTGAATCCCACTGTAACTCCTTGATCATTTGGGAAACACTGCTTAGTTGTTTGTAATCATTCATGCATAAACTAGCGGCCTTCCATTGTATCAAATCAATGAGAAGGATGTCCCCTTTGCGGTACGGGTCCAATGAACCACTGGCGTACTCCAAGATGGGTCTGACCACTCCAGCAAAGCATAGAGAGTCAATGCTAGTGCGTATTGACCTTTAGCACTGCATACCTGCTGTGAGGCAGGGACCTAGAAGTCTATACACAAATACACACACCACACAATATCGCATAGACTGTACACAATCATGTCGATGCAGCTGTAAGCAAAGTTTGACACTAGACTTACAATTTGAATTTTTAAATTATTCTTTTTAACATCAATAAGTTTTAAAAAATGTATTTTACTGCTATTTAGGTGTCATTAATTGTCACTAAAGTACCGATTTTGAGTGAAATCAGTTGAGTTTTGTACAGTGGTGTTTGAAATGTTGAGAATCAAAAGCACAGCTTTTACTACACAGCCAGGATAGTGATGCTCCTATGTGTGGGTCTGACCAGCGTTTTGTATGCATTTTGTATGGCCTTGGTACAGAACCAGAGGTTTCTTCTTAGGAAGCCAAGCACCTTGTTGGCTTTGGAGGTGAGCTTCTTGAAGTGAGTGTCCCATCTCAGCTTGTTGTCGATTTCCACACCGAGGTAGGGATAAGAAGACACTTCTTGAAGTGGTTGACCACAGAAGGTGTAATTCCTATTCGGTGGGTCCTGATTGTTGGAGATCTTCATGACCGTACATTTGGCTGGGTTGAAAGACATGGCCCATTTGCTCTGCCAAGCTTCGAGTTGGTGGAGACCCTCTTGGAGGGTATCCAAGTCTTCTCTGGACTTGCCGTTTGTATAGATGATACAGTCGTTGGCGAAAAGTCTGGCAGTGCTGCGAAGATTGTCTGGCAATTAAGTCATTGATGAACAGCAAGAACATCAGTGGGCCGAGTATCGTTCTTTGCAGTACGCCTGACAAGACTTTCTTAGGTTTTGATGAAGTGCCATTGCAGACTACCTTCTGTGGGTGACACGACATTTGCTCCTGCGACAATTGCTCCGGGCTTTATTTCGTCTAAGATGTAGGGTTAGGGTTAGGGTTTCAATAGGGTTTTATGTTAGGTTTAGGGTTAGGTTTAGGGTAGGGTTAGGGTAGGGTATAGTGTTGAATCCAGGGTTGAAGTTAGCCATTCGATTAGTGTATGAAATTTACAGCGGAGCAATTGTCGCCGGAGCAAATGTCATGGAATCCTTCTGTGTCCTTGCTGTGAGGAAATGTCTCAGCCACTGAAGTAGTGGACCTCTAATTCCATGATAGTCTAATTTCCCAATCAATCTTTCATGGGTCACCTCGTCAAACGCCTTGGCAAAGTCAAGGATTGCCATGTGGGTTGTTTCTCCATTCTCCACATTTTTAGTCAAGTCATGGGTAGTAAGGATCAACTGTGTCACTGTAGAGTGTTTTGCCCTGAAACCATGTTGGTTATCCGCCAAGATGCCATGGGCCTCTAGATGTTTCATTATGTGAGAGTGGATGATATGTTCCAATACTTTTAATCCCTCACAGGATTTAAACTTTTTACTTGCACCCTGTACATATATGCACAAGGATCCTGGCCGGCAGGCTTCTTCTTCTTGGAAGAAGAAGAAGAATATCTTGCTGATCACACTTGTTAGAGAAACTCCCTGGTAGTTGGCAGGTTCTTCCTTGGGCCCTTTTTTGTAGATGGCACAGACATTGGCATCTCTCCACTGAGAAGGGAGAACTCCTTCATCCGTTGATTGCCGAAAGATGTCTGTCAACACTGGAGTGATTTCGTCTGCACACAAATGTAGCATCCATGGTAAAATACCATCTGGTCCAGGGGCTTTGTTGGGCTTGACCTTTTTGATCTGCTTCAGAACACCCTCGTTCGTTATAGTCAAGGTTGGTATGTCAGGAACACTGCTCCTTCCCAAGTTCGGAACATCTAATGTATCTTCGATGTTGAATACACTAGCAAATTGGTTGCTGAGAGCCTCTGCTTTTCATTGTTAGAAACCTTCAGATCAGCAACACCAGACTCTTCCTGTCTCATTTTCTTGACAAACCTGTCAACCCTCCCGCATTTGGAGGGAGACCCCCGCCACCATGCCTTCCTCCCGCTCTCCCGCCAACGATGTAGAATCTCCCAGTTTAAGAAAAAACCTCCCGCCAAACCGTACCGTACTATTGACTTTTAGTATGCTTATTCAGCGGCTGGCTGAGTCGTTGCGAAATTTTTGCTCAAAAAATGGACCCCCCCCCCCCCCCCCCCTTATGCTATGGTCACATTACCCTTAAGTAGCCTGCTCGGCGGCTGAGCGACAAGTTTTTAACCAATTCTGCCCGGCAGCTGCCCGGCCACCGAGCGCGAGCACCCAGGCACCGCTCATTTTTAGGGCATCGCTCAGTCGCCGCTGAAGTTTTAGCGCGGAGTTAAAATTTTGGCGGCGCCTGCTCACTTTTCACTCACCGCCCGAAATATGCTCGGTGCCTGGGCGGTCGCCGCCCGGGCACCGACCTAATCCCTGGGTGATGCCTAAATTCCAGCAGCGACCGAGCAGGCTACTGACCGGTCGGTCGCTGCTCTGATTTGTGACCATAGCTTAGGCCTTACTCAGCAGCTGGCCGAGTCGTTGTGAAAATCTCACTCCAAATCCAAGACCAAGAGTCCAAGGCCAAGCACTAGCAGCTAGCAGTTTCCCAAAGTTGACAGCCCCGATTATTAATATCCTTAAAGAGTAAATCTAGAACTAGGGTCTAGTCTAGATCTAGTCTAGTCTATAATTAATTTTTTAAAGATTTAAAGACAACTTGTTTGCATGAATCCACAAATTTATAATTAGTCAACTCGTTTTAATATACAGTCTGCAATAAGACTAAGAGTTTGAGGATTTCTGTGAGAGAAAAATACACTCGAGTTATCTGCAAAGAAAATGAATGATAGATCTACTTACCAAGACACCAAAATATCACGACTAGATCTAGACCTAGGTCTAGTATGATTGATGAACACACGAACTTGAACTGGAAGCCTGACTGCTCTAGCTCCAGAATCTCTAAATCAGTAAATGTTTTGTTTTGAAGATCAGAGAGTGGCGTTGGCACGCGCACTTCTTTCATTGAATTGATCGTACAATAAGATAGGCCTACTACTTTTGTACATATAGATCTACATGCAGCACGCGCCGCCGCGCTGCAAGCGATGTGTTGACGGGGAGAGTTCTGTGGGAGATATGATATGTATGAATGACTTGCGCTTTGCATGACCAAACCACATCTGACCGCTCAATTCAATTCAATTCAGAACTTTATTTCAGACTCAACTACACAAGGCAGAGGTCCATAAAACATATGTTACATAGATATATAGGGAGTATAAACATGATGAGTATAATAACAACAAATCTATACAAAGAGTAGATATAACTAAACTATACTAGGCCTACAGTACATGTACGTACAAACAATCTAAACTCTAAGAGTAACATGTAACCTGCAAGGTTAAAAACATAATAAACTAACTAGCTGTACCTGTAACTGTAAGATTAAAATAAGTACATGTATAACAATCAATAACAATCTATTGAAGTTGTATCTTGTAACAATCTGTCTCTGTTCAACTAACCAGAACGATAAACTTATAATAAATAACTATTATAAAAAACAAACAAACAAGGATACTGGATCGTGGAAACACTAGCGTAGATCTAGGCAGGATTTTTTCAAGGGGGGGGGGGGGGGGTAAACATTTTTAAATCGGGCCGAAAATTTCGCAACCACTCAGCCATCCGCTGAATAAGTGGGGGAGGGGGTAAGAGGACCCTTTTTTTTTTTTTTTTTTTTTTTTTGGGGGGGGGGGGGGGGGGAGGGGGGGTCCCCTAAAAATCGCAACGACTCAGCCAGCCGCTGAATAAGCGGAGGGGGGGGGGGGGGTGGGGGGAGGGGGGGGGGGTAAGAGGAATTTGAAAATGGTCATAACTTTGTCATAACTTTTTTTTTTTTAAAACACGTAAGGGGGAGGTTTTGCTACAAAATACACGCATTAAAAAAAAATGAAGGGGGGTTTAACCCCCCAATACCCCCCCCCCCCCCTGCGTACGCGCCTGGTAACGGCAATAGGAGTAAGAGATTAGATTTAGATGTATTAAACACTATCGTATGATATTTAACTTAAAGAATGACTGACATCATTTGAAAGGCGGAGATCTTACTCTTTACTATCTCATATATGTCACACGCCAAAGCAATTTCTCTGGGTCTTGCTGTTTTAGATTGAATGTAGGGCTCAAACCAATAGTTTATCCGCATTATACAAACAATATGGGCCAAAATTCGTTTTATATTTTGAAGGCTTTTAAAACTATTATATGATATTTTCACTAAATAATGACTGATACCATTTTAAAGGTGAGATCTTACTCTTTACTCTCATATAAGTCACACGCCGAAGCATTAATGTCCAGGTTTTACTGTTTTAGATTGATTTTTACCACGGATAAGCTATTTGAACCTTCGGTCCCCACTCAAATTTCCAGATTTTTTAGATTCTTTTTATTGCTTCCATTTAAAATAAACAAAACATGACAATTTATGATATTAAACGTATGACAAGATAATATAACATGACAAAAATATTGATAATCATAACTATAACTTAAATGGATGTTATAAAAAGAAAGCCGGCTAGGGCGTAAAAAAAAACTTCATAATTACTAATAATAGATAATTAATAAATAATAGCCTATAGATCTGCCATTATGGCTGTGTCAAACCAAAGAGATATTATCTCCCTGGTCAAATTAATATAGATCGAGTCTATAATGTTATGAACCAAAGCAAAATTGTAATAGTGATTTTCTATATAATATTGAAATCTATATAATTGGATGGTCATATCTAAGCCAATACTTATTATATTCGATTGGTTTTAGACATTTGTAATTTTTAAAAATGCTCTTTCGGAAAATGAAGTTCAAATTGAGAAATTCTTTTTTTTTTAAATAGATTTGTATGATGTCACAGCTTCGGTATACTCTGTTGTAGTCTCATGTTGTAGACATATTTTGCACGACTTACAAGGGTTTGTGCGGACTGCAAACTTATAATTTAACATATGAAAACATGTCTCCCTATAATTTTCTTGATTATATAGACGGGGGGCCGGAATCCCACTATACCAAGTTCATAAATCCATATTTAGCTATATAGGCCTAGGCCGTTGGACCAATAGAAATCAACACTACATCAGGGACCCGTTTTACAAAGCCTTTTTTCAATGGCAATTCAATGACAAAATTCAGTAACAAATCTGCCGATAACCAATCAGAAGCAAGGATTTCTCTAGCCTTTAACAAAAGCTGTAATTTGTCACAGATGACAAGTTTTGTGAAATGGGGCCCAGGCCCAATGGTTTCAATAGGGATCGAAAGCGGTTTATTGTACCATTAGAAAATGTGTTGGACCATTAAATATTAATATTAGAATACATTAGTTTACATTTCTGTTGGACCATAATTATAGGAAACCAACAGAGCAAAATTCTAGTAGACCATTATAATCCTACATTTTTTTTCTAAAGGGCTAGCAGGAAACTATTCAAATAGAAATATTATTCAAATGGAATAAATCTAATCATAGCCCTATGATATGCAAAATAACATAGGCCCCATGAAGAAAAGAAAGTCATATTCTTCATAATTTTGCATCTAAGTATACCCAACTGAAACAATTAAATACCCCAACTTTATGTTCTTAATGTAACTATAAACATGGGGGTCACAATTTTATGTCCAAATTGTGAACCCAATTTGCAAACAAGTGTTTGTCATAAAGAAATTAAAATTCATATTTTCCCTATACATTTGCAACTAAGTTTCCAAATGAAAGTGTTCAATCCAATGTTTTCAATGTCAGTAAAAACTATAAACACATTTTCAGGCACTATACTCACCACTTAAAATGGCTGTCAGTGGTTATCTTTATATTATAAAGAGAGTCACGTTCATACTTTTTCCATCAGGTTTAATCCAGTAACCTTTTTTTTTGTGCATTAAAAAGAGGAATCTAGCAGGCATCCCCATGACTTAAAATGTCTGGCATTGCCCATTCATGGTATACAAGGTTGTGCTGAACATTTTCCACCAGGTTTGGTCCTGTTCCTTTGTCCGCTGATTTACCTCAATTTTGGGCCCCCTCAGGGTTTTGGGGGCCTCCTCCTCCCCCCCCCCCCCACAAGTGTGAGCACTTCACACATTCATTTCCCGATACACTATTTGTTCATGGTCATTGCTGTGTGCATGAAATAAAGTCACTTTTTTTCACTCGGCATACCCCTTCTGGCTTCTGCTTTAGGATATCTCCTAAAAATTGTCATCAATGAAATGTCCTTTAGCAAATTAGCAAGGTATACCCAAATTAAAGATGCTATTAAATGTCTAAATAGTGATACCTGACTAAATTATTTCTAATCACTTGCAAAATCTTGGAGCAAAAAAGGTTATTTAAACCTGCTTTCATTTTTGATGATTTTAAACTTGAGGAATATGGTCAAAATCTGCACCTTCTCTTTTAAATGCAAAGAATACAAATGAATGTTATAAACTTATGACACAATGAAGCCATATTGTACACAATGTTTTACAATCTTCTGCTATATGTATTTGATTTCTTTCTTCATTTACAATTACATAATTCACAATTGTTCATGTTTGTTGTATAATACACATTCAATCATATATACGTAGTTACACCTACTATTGAGAGTCAGAACATATTCACTTATTGAATTTGAGAAACAAATATAAAGGTACAAAGCAAACATAATATGCAACTTAATTTAACAAAATAGCACCTTGCACGTAAACAATAACTAACAAAACTTTTAATCTCACTGAACTAAGGGTAAAGTTCAAAAGAATTGGTATTAATTGCACAAAAGTAAAGCACATTTACTTCAGAAAAAGCCTACTTTTACTGTGGCAAGAATAAAGTAACAAAGAATATCAGCATCTAATTACAATATGTTGTGGTAGTAACTGGTAGTATTTGGATTTACCATGGGCTAGTAACTCCATGGATATACAATCTCCTTTTGAAGCCCTGTGCAAGTATTCAAAGCAGATTTCAATATCGTCTAGGCTCACTTCCTATGCAAAGATTTCACAAGAGTTTCTCTTTCATAATCTTCGGTATTTACTAAATAAGCAAATCCAGCGAACTTGTATCACATGTATAATATTGAAGAGATGTGTCTTGAATAGAAAACCATAACTTTTCTCCTTTCTCCTTTTTTGTTCCTTGAAAAGATTGAAGAAATGGGTCTTCACAAAATATATAACCCTAGTTTTCTTTATCTTTGCTCCCTTTTCTCCAGGATTGCTTCACAAATTGCTTCTTTTTATTTCACTCAAGTGAAACATTTTCTTTTTAGCTTCCATTACTGCTACAACACAGGAAAAACAATTTGATAAATGACTCAAGAACTGCTGCTGCTGCTGCATATACTTTTCTGTCATAAAGTGATGCATGAAAATACCACAGGGGTACACTGGTAATATAAGGCAGATAGAGAAAAAAAACATCAACAAAGTGACTCCTAGATTATTCAACACTCCTGTACAACTACAATTTACATGTAATTGTTTGGACACAGCATTAATGTTTGAATAATTCACTCATGAGAATACACAAAGATTCCTACAGAAAAGGAGTTGCCTGTATCATAGTGTAAAAATTAACCTACAGTAATTACAAGCACACATGCATTTACGCTTATCCAATGAGTAGTACTTTCAGATGCTGCTGAAAGTAAAAACACATTTTCATATTTTTACAAATAACAAGACGTTTCATATCTTTCTACCATACTCTGAACAGTATAGGAATACTCCAAAGTTACATCACAACTCTAAGGATGATCATGCAACTCATTTCACAAGTATGAATGAGATCTATACTTCAGTCAACACTATACTTTAGTGACTAGCAAAAAACCCTCTACAAATGAACTTCAAATACTTACAATCTAAGTTTACAAAACACTGTAATTTCTACTTTACTCAAGCTAATGAACATTTATCAAAATATATTGCATAGACAATAATAGTTAAATCATCAAAGAATGCTTCTTTGGTGCATGTGGAAGTAACAGATACTGAATAAAAGAAGATGTGACCACTCAAAGATACAACAAAGGAAGCTAAATAAAGCCTGGTGAAAGTAAGTACATACTGGTTGTGGTAAACACATGTACATTTCTGGTCATCTAACTTGAATAAATACTGTAAGGTACTTAATCAGGAAATCCAATTACAGTCAAACCTCAGATTTAATAGCCACCTCTCTATAAAGATCACCTGCATATAGGGGTCGTGAACTTGTATCGTTTCCCACTAGTAAGAAATATGTGTTGTAGAACCTGTCTAGAAAGGCCACCTGTCTACAGTAGCCAGTCTTCAAGGTTCCCTTGGAGGTATTTATACACAGGTTTCACTAGTCTTCTTTTGCCCATTCAAGTTGTCTTAAATCTTGGCTCAAAAACTACTTCACTCAAAAAAACCAAAAAAAAGAATAACTTTGGGGTATCCCTGCATCCCTAAGAATTGAAACACTGGATGTCAGTCCTGAGCTTTTAACAGTAGAGTGGTGAAGTGTGACGTCATCAAAAATCTATTTTTGGAATTTCTTCATTTTCCGAAAGGGCATCAAAAATAATTTCCAAATGTCGAAAACCATTTGAATAGGTTAAGTATTGGCTGAGATATGACCATCCGAATAAATAGATTTTCTATGGGCCAAACTCAGTGTTATAATGCTCTGGTTCATAACATTACGAGCCAGAGCAATAACACTGAGTTCCTATATTATTTTTGATGCTCTTTCGAAAAATGAAGAAAAAAATTGAGAAAATTCCAAAAATAGATTTTTATGATGTCACAGCCTTGGTACTCTATACAGTGAGCAATAACCAATCATATGTTAGGAGCCAGAAGGGTGTTAACCAGAGTTAGGGTCCTTCTGGTTCCAAATGGATGTGATGAACTAGACAAGAGGGACATGGAACAAGACCCCCTTCTTCAGGTACACACACACAGACAAATATTTAGTGTGACTACCCGACAAGGCAATTGTTATGTAAACAGGATATCGTTTAATGTTATGAAGCTATCCACTAATTCAACTGTTATATTACAGGATATGGTTTAATGTTATCGAGCTATCCCACATTAAAGACTAATTCATCTGAATCACAATGCCTTATCATTGAGGGGAAACAAGAAAACATTTTTAGATTCCAAACTTATTAATCAGTATGAACAACAATAAAACCTAATTTTCAAATATTGTCAGACCAATACATTGTGTTTAATTGCATCACGCCATGGTAATACTATTCAGTTAGACAATCCAAAGATTTTACACATTAATATTCCTGAAGTACATAGTGTTACAATTTAAGAAATTGACTAGTGTTGCCAATTTGAAGGGAGGTTAGAGAGAGAAGATCTTGTACATTTTAGCTTGACAGATGAGGTTACACAGTTACTCATACAGCTAACTGTAAAATGTTATATATTCATTGACAACAATTTAGTATTGGTTTCTACATACCTGAACTCTAATTCTATTATAATTTCATAAACACTTCATATCACATATGAATACAGACTAGGTCCATTTCCTAACATCCACTGCAATATTATACAACTGACCTGTCTACCAAATTATACTGGCTAGTTGCTGCTACAGAAAATTACATATATCTGTTCTAAATAAAAACTTATGATGTGACACCCATTAATTGCATAGTATAAGTGTACGGTGTCTCAAACATTCTACATAAACTCACATCAGCTGAACTCCAGATACTCTGTCTGTACATCACAAACGAACCCTCAACCAGTAAGCCTCACTTAAAAAATGGTTGAACAAAAGGCAATAAGACATACATGTACACATAAAATATATTTACTTACAATGAATATCAATATATTCAGGATCAATTATAAACAACACAAACAGAAATTAAAATTCTGCTAATTTTTGTGCCATGCATTTCTTGACATGAATTCCTAATACTAACATGTACTTGAAGTAACGTGTACATCATGCAACAGCTATCATGAGGAATGGGCAATAATGTAAGTTTACTGCTTTTACTGAAAAGCATAAAGAAATCAGCTGGAAAATATATCTCAACTTCATCCTCTATAAACATGTCATCTAAGTATGTAAGATGTTTGCTTCCTATACCAAAGGACATTTACATTTTTACAACTGCAACAAATAAAAAACCAATAAACACAAATGCCCTAGCTTCTACTAAGATATCATCCAGGATAGAAAAGATTATCATATAATTAACAGCATTCAAACAATACATTTTCTTCTCAAACATGATAAAATAAACAAGAATTTGAATGAGACATTTGTGCTCATGCTGTGTACCAAGGAAAAGGATCAAATTTAGATTTGATAAAGTGAGTAAAGTTCAACTTTAATCCATGTAAGAAATACCCCATGCATGATAAACACTTCAAGAACACATTAAGATGATAACCTGTTTTGGAAACTAAATATTAAACACCATATATATATGCCTTAATAGAATATACCGTGTATGTCATAAAAGATGAAGGAATCGCAAAACGATGGTTTCATTCTTTTACAAGAGGAATGTTTAAAAAATTCTGTTAATCAATTATTAAGTTTCTATGTTAATCATAAAAACAAAAACAAAACAAGAAATGGACCCCAAACCCAGGCGCGGATCCACTGCCCAAACCCCAATACAAAGATGATAAATATTAAAAACACATCAAAGCATTACATAGCCCGATGGATAACAGTTTCTTGTTACTGATTAACCATTTTGGTCCAAGTTATATCAAGGGAATCAATAGCTTCTTCAGGATGAACATCATATTCAATGAATGAGATGTGATTAGTAAAAACACAAAAGGAAACAATACTGGTGGCAGTTGTAACTAAGGCAAGAATTTGTAAAATAAAATTGCACTTGATAAAGTATTTTATGATCAAACCAATAATTGTTTACGAGAGATGTTGTCATGACAATCATTGCCCTCTCACAGGAACAAAAAGCTGGATATCTTCTCATTTAATACTGAGAGCTCATTTAACAAATCAATACTAATTACAGTATGTGGCAGTGAAAGAAAATACACAACTTAGATCTGGAAAGCTCCAAAAGAGCTCTAGTAAATTGAAAAAGAGCTCTGATAAAAATTAAATATAATAAAATACTTAAAGATAAAGTTGAGTTCTGGTCAAGCATTTGCATTGTGAAAGAAACGGTGTGGAATCGATCAAAACAACTTGATCATGTAGCATATAAGTATTGGTGTATACTGCAAGGTTCTGGAGTCATCAAAATGATAAGAAATTTTGCCCAGTCTTGGTAAAATAACAAGCACTCTACAAAGAAAGATGTATATAGGACTACACAAACATGTGGCATAAAAATCAGGCCTCATTTTTAAGCTGTTACTTGTCATATTTAGAATATGAAGGCCTTTGAAGAGCCATGCTTTTCAGGGAATATTTTTTTCTCTGATGTTCTTCCATACTTACATAATAATGCTCAAAAATTATTTTTCACCTCTCCCCAGAACTCAACGTTCTCTTTAAACATATCTGTGGGAATATCAAACTTAGACATTACCAAACCCTCCTAGAGCTCCCACAAACAGAAAAATATTTTTACACTGGTCTATGTTGTATCATTGCACATTTCATCTCTTTTATAATGTAGTAAATATACTTTTTTTTAAATATTTTATAAAAGTTTAATGCTAATAAAATGTCTTCTGTTTTCTTTCTTTCTTTTTTTCACATTCAAGGAGGCATGTGGCTCAGTGGTACAACAGTGGTCTTGTAATCGGGAGGTCCCGTGTTTAAAACCAAGTGTATGTGCTAGCGCCCTTGATGTGTCATCTTCCCTCGAAGATGACTTAAAAGCTGTAGGTCCCCTGGTTGCTTACTTACAAGCACACACATGCTTTCTTAGCAATCAGGTTAAAACAAACAAGACACCATTTCATAACATGGCACATAGTCAAAGTCTTGGTCAAGGAAAATTTTTTAAAATGTTGGCATTTTTGGAGTGCATTCTGAGCCTCATTTAGTGTGATTTCAAGGATACACTATTGCACATATTTTCAATATTATTCTCATGAAATAAAAAATTAATTTGCATAGGGCCATGGAGAATCTAGCCTTGTTCTAGAGAATGAAAACAAAAACACTATCCACTTGCACTCAGGGCTTAATATTAAAATATATCTATTATCTCTACATTTTTAACTAATTCTGTAATTTTCTCAAAAAGGTAGAATTAGACTGATGAACAATATCTGGACAAAAATCTTCAGATACAAAAGGCAAGAGAAATAAGGTTTCAAACAAAGCACTTCACTGTTATAACTTGTACATGTAGCTCTTGTATAATAGCAGATTTTATCAACATTTTTATTGACTGCCATTTTCAAGAATTTTCAATTAATGTCTTTAGAGAAAGGACTGGCCGGTAGCTCTCTTATGCTTTAGTTTATATGAATAGCTCTATCCTTCATTCAATAGGCCTTTTTCTAAATGAACCAAATTTAATGCATACGTCGTTGTGATGTGCCTCAATAAAAATTATTTTATACACTGTTACGATTAATTGTAGAATAGTCAAAATTGCATACATTAGATGTTGCTAGATAGGGCAAACATCACAGCTTACCCTACCTAACAACACATAATGCAATTTGCTTTCTGACAATTGAGATATAATTATTTGTAACAGGTGAATTGAATTATTCTTATCGGACACTCACAAAGTTGTAAGCATTTGGTTAATGGCCTATAATACAAAGCTTTTGGATTTTTGCAGATACATTGTCTGTGTAAGATTGAGTATCCATAATCTCTCTTTGAAAGCCTCAAGCAATGTAATTTTGACTGCTCATATAACCTATATTGAGACAAATTTTACACTACAGTTTTATGTGTTTGAATATTGTTATTTACAGTGAAACGTGGCTTGTAAGATGAACACAAATAATTGCAGTAATGATTGCACATTTTTATAGGCAGTAGAGTTGAAATGATTGCTTTTTCTTAGTATGGCAAGACAAAACATATTACAATAGATTTTCTCTAATTATTACAGATTGTTTTCTACTTAACAATCTTTTCTATTATCATTTTTACTTATATGCAAAGTGATCCCTTAGTATGGAAGGGATACACAATCAGCAATAAGCTAGATGTGTTAACTGTATTAGTGACAATATATTTCAAATTAAACGGTTTCCGTTTTCCACAAGTCTAAAATAAAATAAAACTGTAATTGGTCCTCATGACACACATTTAAAGTATTTTTACATTGATCAGTCTATTTTTCGTTGACTAAATAAAAAATTAATTAAATTAAAAGAAGGATTTACAAAATCATGAACTAGGACAAAAGTAAAAAGTGGTGGGGTTCTGCAATGCATATATGAGTACTTGCATACCTTGCATATTAAACAGCTTAACATCAAGGAAATAAAATCAGTTTGACACAACAAATACAGGACACTTTCATATCACATACAGACTAGAGTAGAGTCTCTGATGATATCATCAGGGCCCCGTCTTACAAAGAGTTGATATCAATCACAACATATTTGCGATTGATATCAATCGCAGCTATGTACTTCAGAGATAGGAGACTGCAGCCTTGCAATTGATTGGAGGACTTGCAATTAATTTGGATCAATCATAACTCTTTGTAAGACGGGGCCCAAACATGTCAACCTTTACACCATGTACAGACTAGAGTAGTGTCTTTGATAATATCATCAGATATGTCAACCTTTACACCATGTAACGACTGAAGTAGTCTGTGATGATATCATCAGAGTTCAATCTTAGACTAGCCTCAGAAAGTTTGATGATACTGTCATAGAGATAAGCAATATACAGATGAAGTGTATCTGATATCATAAGAGATTTCAAGCATATACTGACGTTCATGTAGTGCCTTCGATGATGTCATCAGATCTTACCAATAACAAACTGTAGAGACTAATGAGATGCAATATGATGAGCGAGAAGAGTCAGCCTTTACAGCATGTTGAGACTGACGTAGTGTCTTTGATGATATCTTCATGGTCATCATGTCTGATCTCACCATTTCTAACATTATTGGTTAATTCAACTGCAATATCGAGGAAGAGGCGATCCACATTGTCTGACTCTTTGGCTGAAGTCTCCAGGAAACGCATCGAGTGCGAATCTGCAAAGCTTTGCCCGTCTTCTTCATTCACCTCCCGATCTTTACCAAGGTCAATTTTATTACCTGATATCAAACAATACAAAACATTAATTTAGCCACATTAATATTTTCTGCAATGTAGTGACTGGTTGATGAATGTACTTTATTCATCATATTTACAACACAAGAATTGATCAAATAAAAATGTCTTACATTTACCTAAAGCTATTTCGATTTTTTTTTTTGTGGTCAAACACGAATAAATAAATCATTTCCAAAACCCTTTGAGATATTGATATAAAACTTCATGGACTTCAGGCTCGGTCACAAACATGCTGAAGTAAATCACAGTAATAGTGGGGATGAATAGAGTTGCTGTGCTCAGAAAAGGTCCTATACATACTCACTTTAAATGTCTGTGTCTTATAAGATTTAAAACATGTATGTGGACAAGTCTTTATTCATTTGAGGTAAGGAGGTAAATACTTTCTCATAAAATAGACAAGCAACAACAAAAAATTCTGCCCTTTGAACACTTTGAATAAAACCAATGGTTCAAAGAGCTTTGATCATATATTCTTCACACTTTGGTTGCTTTCTTCGGCCTTCTGCACAGTAACTTGTTTGCCATACCAACATTTATGCACACAACATTAGGCAGTAGGGATTGCTTAGATCAGCACAAATGCTTTACAAACTTACACATTTCCAGTCTTGACTAGCTTCAATATAACCCTCTCAACACCATTATAGATCAATCTTGAACTAGAAACAGTTGAATAATCTGAAGCCTTTGGTATATGATCTATCCCATGATAAAAACAGTATGGCACAGGGAGATAATTGCATGGCATATAAGAGTTAATAAGACAGGACTTACCTACTAACACGGATATGACCTTTGGACTTGCATACTGCTCCACTTCCCTTAGCCAACTTGGTAGTGCATTGAAACTTTCTTTTGAAGTGACATCAAAGACTAGAACAAGTGCATCAGCACTATGATAATAGCTCTGAGTTATAGAACGAAATCTCTCTTGACCAGCAGTATCCCATATTTGTAACTAATAACAAGAAAAATCAAAGAAAATGGGAGTTCATGATTAAAAATGAAAAAATGAGGAAGATTAGTAAAAATGCAAAGTTAAATTCTACTTTTTTATAAATTACAGTAATGTTGGCATTCCTTCATGGTGTGGACTATTTTTGTCACATTTCTTTCTTTAAAATGAAAACACTGGTTTTGACATACCCGGTAATGAGAAATGTTCACCAACTTACTGTCCTTCCATTGACCTCATTGTTATTGTACAGCAATCTACTGCAATCTAAGACCTAATATCAAAGCACAATATATCATTGGAATACAGCCATTGTTTATCATTCTCAAAAACTATGGGATTTAGAAAATTTCCTGAAAATGACCCATCCAGAGCATCCACTGTGGATCAAGTTACATGTATAGAGGGATAAATGGTTGAGCATCATTCTCGTGGTTGGTAGAAGATCTTCTTTAGGAAAAAACAACCTTATATCAGGTTGCACATACAGTAAATGTTCTGAATTAGTAAGCTTATTTTCTGAACTCTTGATATGCTCAACTAACCTTGACTTTTTCACCACCGATTTCTATTGTCTTGATCATGAAATCAACACCTATAGTAGCACCTTGTCCTGGTGGAAATAAGCCCTGAAACAAACCAGTAACAATCAATATTAGTCGTCTTCAAGGAACTCAGATATGGGGTTCCAATGTGGCTGTCCACAACAACAAAATGAAAAGTTTAACATAAATTATGAAATTGCAATACAACTAGTTTATATATACTCCCAAGTCCCAACAATAAACTGTGTATTTTAATTGGAACAAAACGACACATTGAGACAAAAACGCCATCTTATTGGGATACTGATGTGTTGCCAACTTAAAGATTTAATGGTATTGTAGCCCAAGGTAATCAAGTTCCAAAATACTAAGTACTAAGTTGGAAAACCAATCATTGTACAGCCATGAATAAAACGAGGATTCCTAAAGTGCTGCAATTAGGTTCATGCAAAGTCATTGAAACAAAACCAAGCAAGCAATCAATCCTTACCTGTGTAAAACGTCTGACAAGGCATGTCTTGCCAACCCCAGCATTGCCGATGAGAACAACTTTAAAGAGATACTTGTAGTCCTCCATGTTACAGGACGATCTTCAGCAACCTTAGATTGGAACACACTTTAGGATTGATGATCTGAGGTTGAGAACAAAAGTTACTATTACCAGGTAGACAATTATAAAACATGTTTGTCACCTTTGGTAAGAAAGAAGGGAATGTGTGGCAAGGGTCACCACAGAAGTGTATGGGGAAGTTTGAAAAATGTCATCCATGTTCTGTGGATGGAGCAGGATCCTGCCCCCCCCCCCACTCTTCTTATTTAGGGTACGCATATGCTTCAAGTTGTTCCCTCTTTTTGAAAGCACCTCCTATCTGAGGACTGCCAACATATCCGAACCCCTCTTTCGTGGGCTTTTCCTGCCTTGGAGACCCCCCTAAATCATACAAATGCTCAATGTACCCCCCTAAATTTGGAATAATTTCTCAGGAGTCCAAAGAGATGAGAGAGAAAAAGAAAAAACACCCCCTTTTTAAAGAAATCTCTGGGTGAAAAGTTAATACACCCCTTTTTTTACAATTCTCGGGCCGGACTTTGTCGCACGAAAAGTACCCCTTTACCGGACATTTTGGTAATACGCATGGGGTCCGTCCGTTCTCGGAGTGGGGGGGCCGGGAGCAGGATTTGATGATGGGCTTGCATTTATTGGTAACATGGGGGTCGTTTCTCAGAACCGTCATAACTATAAGATCAACGACATCTCGCTGCTGTCCACGATGTGTTTCACAAAACTGTCTTTGCCAAGATGAGCAACATCTTCCAAACCTGTCATATCGGTTTAGAACGAAATCTCAAGGCAACTTTAAGTTAGTCTATGGGTAGCAACTTATTTCTTGTTATACAACGCCTACTAAGATTCTTGCAACCTCATTGGTCAATTCTTGATCACATGACATGCGCTAAAAGTACCATTGAACGGCATCATTCTCCAGCAGTGCAATTCCATTTGATCCTTTCGCACCATTGCACTCTGACGTCACTAACCATGTACAAAGTATATGGTGAGCTAAGTGACGTCAGAGTGCAATGGTGCGAAAGGATCAAAAGAAATTGCACTCCGCGTAACAATAAACATAAAGGTTGGTACGCGCGGCGCATGGTACCCGCGTGGTTTGCTGCCTGCTTAATAGTGCGCGCTCACTATCAGCAATTTCATCAATTGAAAACAAACAAAAATTCGCTGAGATTTAGGCCTAGGAAAACTGTTTTAAGCCCGTTAACGTCTGAGGTGTTGTATAAAACAAATAGTGAATGGTCTTTATTCGTGCAATGGAACAATATTTTGCATTCGTTGAAAGATGAGACGCTCCATTCAACTCTGCTGCGCCTCGTTGAATATAGCGTCTCTTATCTTTCACCTCGTGCAAAATCTTGTACCATTGCACTCATGACCATTCACTATTTGTATAATATTCAAGCTCTCATTTCACAGATCGGGGCCCTGTCTTACAGAGAGTTGATATCAATCGCAACTATATACATAAGAAATAGGAGACTGCAAACTTGCAATTGATTGAAGGACTTGTGATTGATTTAGATCAATCGTAACTCTTTGTTAGTATAAAAGCATTATACAATTGTACAAACTGTTCTTATAAGGTTTTAATGCCTAAACGAGTAGAGAAGATAAATAATATTTGTCCATACATTGGTCTACCATAGAAAAGTAGCTAACGGTCGGACAGACTGTATTTACAGAGTCATGAGAATGATGACATTTTTCATTTAGGTATTTCTCTCAGAAAGTTTCCACTTTCGAGCATAACTTTCAATACAAATCATAAAATATCTTATTTGTATTATTATTTTGAACTTGAAAGAAAATCAGGGTCTTCTTTTGATTGGTTACGAGTACAAAGTCAATGTAAAATGCATCAAGCAAATCATTGCAGAATCTGTTTTTCGCATCGCCAACGCGCCGATCAAAAATATAAAACATCTGCGAGAATGCGGACAATCCTTATTTTTGAGGATGCATCGGTCCGCGTTTACGAAGACGATACTTGTTCAGGCACGTAGCAAGGGGAGGCGGAGGGGGCAGTCGCCCCCCCAAAAAAAAACCAAAAAGGGAAGAAAGACGAAAGGAAGAGGACGTAGGAAGAAAAAGGAATAAGAGTCGAGAATGGTACAACAAATCGTCTTCTTTCTTTAATAATTTAATGAAACGTCAGAAGGGGAACTTGATTAGCAAGGGAAACTTGATTCAAACAAGGATAGGGTCGAGGACTGTACAACGAATCGTCTTCTTTCTCTAATAACTTAATGAAACGTCAAAAGAAACTGAATTTAGACAAGGATTAAAAGAGTCCAGAATGGTCCAACGAATCGTCTTCTTTCTCTAATAATTTAATGAAACGTCAAAGCTTTCGCGCTTTACATGGGAAGGGGGAAACTTCCCCCTCCCTGCACCTTCCCCCCTAAGGAGCGCGCTATGCATGCTCTGTAAGTGATTCATTGGTCCGCGTTTAGGAAGACAATCCTCGTTCAGGCGCGTAGCCAGGGGGGGCAGTTGCACCCCAAAAAAAAACGACGGGCCAGCGAATCGCCTTCTTTCTCTAATAATTTAATGAAACATCAAAGCTTCAATCATAGCGGGGAGGAAGGGGAACTTGATTCAAACAAGGATTAAGAGACGAGGACTGTACAACGAATCGTCTTCTTCTCTAATAATTTAATGAAATGTCAAAAGAAACTGAATTTAGACAAGGATTAAGAGTCGAGAATGGTCCAACTTATCGTCTTCTTTCTCTAAAAATTTAATGAAACGTCAAACTCAAAGCTTCAGCGCTTTGCAAGGGAGGGGGAACTTCCCCCCTCCCTGCACCTACCCCTCTACTCTCTAGTGAGCGCGCTATGCGCGCTCTGTAAGTGATTTGCAAGCTTTGCGTGCTCACTATCGCCCCCCCCCCCCTCCTAAATTGAAATCCTGGCTACGAGCTTGTCCTCGTTTATACAGACGATCCTTATTCTCGGACCAGCGCCCCTGGCCCTGTCAAACTTGCTGATCAGCCACATTGTATTCATTAGATCTATGTGCATTTTGTGTGTAATTTGTGTATCGACTATTCATGTGTGCAATTGCTGCCTCTTAGCACGTAGTGCAGCGCTAGAGGTCAATACGCATTAGCATTGACTCTCTATGCTTTGCTGGAGTGCATAAGACTGGAGTTCAATTTCGGTATAATAACATTACAAAAATTAAAGCATGTGGGACTGAAGTCGTCTACTGTATGACCTTTCCAACTCCCAGTCCCACTCCATTCGGTTAAGTAAGTGATTAATTTTTTAAAGAGTATACATTTTTTTAACACATCGAAAGTTCAAACGGATTTAAAATTGTTCAAATTACATACCCACGTATTTCCAGGTAGAAAAACAGTCACTAGGACCTTTAATGAAATAGGCGGAGGCAAGCACTTTTTTGTCAGACTACACTCAGCATCGCTCAGCATCTCACCAATGCAGATACCGTCGCGACGTCGCGTATGTGTAAAACGCTGTGCTGGGAAACGAAGATGCAGCAGTGAGAGAGAGAGAGCTAGGAGCTAGGGAACGATAAAAAGAGACACGAAAACAGTCAACAAAAAAAGGGAAGAGAGAGAGAAAAAAATAGGGAGAAAGAGAAAGCGGGAGATCGAAGAAAAAGAAGATGAAGAAGAAGAATGAAGAAGAAAAGGAAAAAGATCAAAGTGGGATCGGGAGGAGGAGATATTGGAGGCCGGCGGAAGGAGGAGGGAGGAGCCAGGGGAGGAGCAGGGAAAAGAGGAAGTAGAAGAAAAATGAGAAGAATTTGAAACTTTAAAAAGAAGAAGAAGAAAGATAAATAGAAAAAAAGGAATGCTAGAAGGAGGAACGAACTAGGAGGATCGACGACTCGCCGGAAGGAGCTAGGCCGGAGCAGGAATGATCGAAGGAGGATGACACCATATGATCCTCAGAAAAAAGGGAAACTAAATGATAAGTTCATAGAATGTTGAACCGGAGGAATGTGAAGAAAAGATGAAGATCAAGAGAAGGAGATATAAGATCAAAAGAAAAAAAGAAGAAGAAAAACAATTCGAGGAGGAGAAGAAGTATATGAGCTTTACTGAGAATAAGATGATCAAAACGATTAGGAGAAGGAAAAAGAAAAGAAAAGAAAAGAGTATTAAAGAGGGGAATAAAAATAAATGTACGATGTAAAGTACACTGTACAGGCCAAAGGAAAAAAATTGGACATGAAGATGGAAAAGGAACAACTTGAAGACCAGAGGACAGGAGGATCAATCAATCCACTAGAAGGAGAAGCTAGGGAGAGCTTTATACAAGGATAAGTACAACACGTAAGAAGAGCTATATATGAAGAAGGAAAAGGACAGAAAGAAAAAAAAGCATGTAGAGGGAGGTAGGAGCTCAGGGATAATAAGAATTAGGAGAAAACGAGGAAGAGGAAAAAAGAAAGAAAAGGAAAATAGAAAGGAAAAATTCAAGAAAATTCAAGAAATGCAAAACAAGAAGGAGAAAGAGAAGGAGATCAAATAGTAAGTTCAAGGATGAGAGGAAGGGGGAAATGAGATATACATAAGGTGATCAATGTAGAAGAAGTAAAAAACAGGAGGACGAAAAGAAGAATAAAAACAAGAGGAGGATGTGAAGAAGCAAAATTGATGATGACAAACAGAAGGATTAGAATTAATGAGAATGTGGTCAAAAGAAGTAGGAAGAGAGGGAGGAGATAAGAATGAGGAGAAAATGAGGCTGAAGAAAAGGAAGAGAAAAGGGAGGAGAAAAGAAGAATGAAGAGGGGTGAAGGGGAAAGAGGAGAAGGAAGGGTACATTAAGAAAAAGAAGAAACCAGAGGAGATGGAAATTAAAAAAGATATCAAGGGAGTAGAAGAGGAAGAAAAGGCGGATTGGATGAGGACAAAGACGAGTAGAGACTAAGTGAGATGGAGAAGAAGTACAAGGAAAGGAAAAGGAGAAGAAGGAGATCAAAGTAGCAGAAAGATGTAGAAAAAATGAAAAAGATACCAAAGAACATGGAAAGCAATAGAAGAAGAAAAAGAGGAAGAAAAGGCAGATTGAGGGAGGGCAAAGAGGAGTTGAGATGAGGTGTAGAAGAAGATATCAAGGGAGTAAAAGAGGAGGAAAGAGCGGATTTGAAGGAGGACAAAAAGGAGTTGAGACTACGGTAAAAATGGAGAAGAAGTACAAGGAAAGGACAAGGAGAAGGAGATCAAAGTAGCAGCAAGATCTAGAGAAGGAGAAAGATGTAGAAAAAAATTAAAAAGATATCAAAGAACATGAAAAGGAAAAAAAAGAAGAGAAAGAAGAAGAAGTAGAAGAAGAAGTAGAAGAAGAAGAAGAAGAAGAAGAAGAAGAAGAAGAAGAAGAAGAAAAGAAGAAGAAGAGGAAGAAGAGGAAGAGGAAGAAGAAGAAGAGGAAGAAAAAGAAGAAGAAGAAGGGGAAGAAGAAGAGGAAAAGGAAGAAGAAGAAGAGGAGGAAGAAGAGGAAAAGGAAGAAGAAGAAGAGGAAGAAGAAGAAGAGGAAGAAAGAAGAAGAAGAAGAAGAAGAAGAGGAAGAAGAAGAGAAAGAAGAAGAAGAAAATGAGGAAGAGGAAGAAGAGGAAGATGAAGAAGAGGAAGAAGAAGAGGAAGAAGAAGAGGAAGAAGAAGAGAAAGAAGAAGAAAATGAGGAAGAGGAAGAAGAGGAAGATGAAGAAGAGGAAGAAGAAGAGGAAGAAGAAGAGGAAGAAGAAGAGAAGAAGAAGAAGAAGAAGAAGAAGAAGAAGAGGAAACCCAATCTGACATACTTATGAACATTAAGCACAAATGAAATTGTGCCACCCTACCCCATCAAGCTGTCAATTTTACCCCAAAGGCACTTGAATAAAGCAAGAGAATTTAGTTTTCACTTGTCTTCACTACACTCGACATAATAAAGTAGACAGGATGATTTCATATACACTGATCTGTGCTTTTACACAGCATTATGATTTTTATTTCTAATCATAGAATTAGGCCAATCAGGTGCAGGAATAGTTTATTCCTAAAGCCCCTCTAAAGTGTTGGGAGCCCAAAAAATTGATGGCAAAATTTAACTTTTTTGTATGATAATGTAAAGATGTCATTTAAGATACATTTCTGCAAGGATTTTTTTGGGGGATCTTTGCGAAAGTGTGTCTTCTTTGACATCCTCTTTCACGTTATTTTGCAATCAAATTGTTGGCAAATTTGGGGCAACCAACATTTTAGAGGGGCTTTAAGGGGAGTACACAGGTTCCCAAAAATGTCTGAGATTTTAAAAAAATAAACAAAACTTCAAACAAAGTTTCATAATGTGTACATATGTAAAAGTGTAAATATGTGACCAAAAAAAAGGTTTCCACATTTTTGGGCCGTGTCTTCAACACCTCTGACAAGGAAAATAAAAACAGAGAAAGAAAAATTGTCATATTTGGGGACAGCATTTTCTCTTTTATTTTTTAGAAAATCATAAGAGACCAATGGCTTAATTGTAGCACCAACTCTGAATAAGAGCATAAATGTATTATTAAAGAGAGGGTAGATGAGCTATGTCTAGAGTTATAGAAAGAGATTTTAGTAAACATTTGCAGGATGTAAAATAAGATATTTCTTAAAATTTAAGAACACTTCTGATAAATCAGAGTTTGTACAAAACAAAACTCTTCAATTAATAATAAAGTAATAAAATGCAACATTTATAAAGCTATAAAACTAAAATACTGTATACCGGTAACTTTCCTTCAAATGAATCTTTTCAAACTTTAGTAGGAATTCCCACAAAGTTTCAGGTTTTCGCTCCAAAGCAAATTAATGCCACACATATTGTTGAAGTGATTATTACATAATGGGCAAGCCCAATGTATTTTTGTCACTTACATTACCACTATGATCATAATTCATAGTATTTGTAATGATTCTAATAAGTCCATAGTGCTACTGACATTCGATCAGATCAGACCCAATTTTGTTTTCTTATTCTTCGCAACATATGGGACGTCAAATGACCGAATAACTTGACTTGCTATTTGCCAAAGTAACAATTCACACCAGTATAGTAGTCTTAACGAACATTATAATGTAACAAAATAGTTCAGTTTTCTCTTTCATTATGACGGAACTCGAAATATTTTTTCAAATAGTTGAGAAGAAGTACATGTACATTCTGAGAAATTTTGCACAAAGGTCTATATTTATCTAATAATTTTAAATGGGAAATCAATCTAGTCTACACTATTGAACAAATAATAGTATCCAAATATACTCTTGGCTGGCATGTAGGTAGAAATCTAACTTCTAACATCATCTGATGAGAAGAGCTACTCAATCCATTCTCTTTAAATCATGAATAATCAGATTTACGGCTGCTGGTGAAAAATACTATGGTGAATTGATACCAATGTCTACACAACTATCGCCAATCTTTTGTTAAAGACTGTCAATACTACTGAAACAGAAGGGATTAGACCACACAGCAAGGTCACTGACAGGTGGCTATCTCATTAACTCAGCTCTCAACTAACATAAGAAAAAGAGGATCATGGGGGACCAACAGGCACCGATTGGGGAAGTTTCTATATAGAGAGAGCAAGTAGCTTAAGTTTAAAAATTTAAAAACTAATATGTAGATTGATTACATTTTGGATCATGGTAATAACCTACGCAAGAAAATCAGGGAGGAATGGAATAGTTTTACTCTATAAAAAATACATTGGCTTCACTATAACTCAATGATAATAAATTAAGATTTTTCAAACTTTCAAAGGAAGGCAATTATTGTGAAAATCCATGTTTGTACATGTATCAAGCTCTGGGGCCGTTTCTCAAAACCATCATAAGTCTAACTTCTTGACTATTCCATTGGAACGTGTGTTAATTCTGTAACACGCGTTTCAATGGGTTAGTCAAGAAGTTATACTTTAGACAGTTTCGAGAAACGGGCCCCTGATGTCATTATGAGTGTAACATGTATATCAATCATACAGCGTGTCTTTCTAACATCTCCTGGCCTCTTCAATGACTGTATTTAACAGGAGCTAAACATTGTACCGGTAGTTCATCAACACTCTATGCTTTTTTAGTTTTGGTAATTATTGCTACCACAACTATGGTATTTAGCCATAGAGGGCAGCACAGGCCATTGGTATATTGGGCAAAGGCACTTCCGGTTCATATACACATACAATGTGTTAAGAACTGGAAAGTCTGATAAAAATTATAGTTTCGGAACCAATCAACTATATTTGTTATGATGGTGCCTACATAGATCTCATCAAATCATAGGGGGAGTTAATGAAACCTGACAATAGTTCATTACAAGTCGCTACTACTAGACATTCTGCATAGAAGCTGGAAGAAACCTTGTCTTATCGTCTTCCCCAGTTTCAATTATGCACATGTGTTGACCTGCACAGTGTGGAAAGAAGGTCACCATCTACTGTTGAACGTCATATTTGTGGTAGACTGGTAGAGTCGATGCCCAATCACCCTTGCCATATTTGCACTTTTCAAAGACCTGTCTTTGAAATTGGTTCTTCAATTTTTTCAGGTTTGGTCTTTTCAAGATCTTCAGACTACTTCAGCACGTTTCAAACTCCTGTGTGTCAAGTCAACTCTTTACTGATTCCACTTGTTGCAATGATAATCTCATTGACACACTCTTCACTCTGGAGACACACAGGAACTCCATCTATCTGCTCTTTTCTTTTCCTTCTCTTCTTTTCAGCTCTTCCTTTGTTCAATCGTTCCTTTGTGTTCTTTTCAAACTCTATGCTCTGTTTCATCATGACAAGCATATCATCAAGCTGTTTTTCCAACTCCCGTAGTATGCGCTGGTTATTACAAACATCCAACAGTTGTACAAGTGAGTCTATTTTGGCTCTGCACCTTTCTGCAGTTTGTTGAACGGGAGTAAGTCTTTGTTGTTTCTTTGGAGGGAAGCATTCAACAAGACTCTGGAGAAAGAAATGGAGAACACTGCTTTTTATTTGACAACCAAATGATCATAAATCACAAATATTAAACAAAGGCAGGTTGTTATGGATACTTATTATACCGAGTCTACATGTATGTGTACAACAGAATACCTTCCTCTTTCGTGTCCATCATCTGATCTCAAATGTAATAGAATACCTACATGTATATACATTTCTTGCAGGTTAACAACTGATGTATTAGTTGTAAACCTGCAAGTATCACATATCAAAATCAAAATTCAAACTACATGAAGGTTTGGATATAGTGCTTTTCCTGGTTATGTTAATGAAATGCTTATGTACTTTTTCCTATCCTTAACTTATATCCAAAAGGAACAAAATGCAATTTGACATGTACCATAAGGCAACAAAACATGTTCTTTCTTTTAACATTTTAGAGAAAATTACAAAAGAGCATTACGGTATACCTGTCCTAAAGGATGTGTGTTCTGATGTTCGTCATCTGAAGGAAGTGAAATATAGATCCTATGTTCTGTTTCTATGGCTGCTCTTTGAAGTAAATGCTCTCGTAAAAGTTTGGTCTTGTCTGTCATTCTACTTCTCGTCATCTGGGAGACCTGTACAAGTAATACAAAATAATAATAATAATAATAATAATAATCTTTTAAAGTCCACTCCAAATTTTATTAAGTTAAACCGAAAATGGAAATTCTTTTTGCCCAATTGATCGTGAGCCCGGCAGCCACTGAGCAGCGCCAGGTCAGTGTTGCTCTATCCCTTATTGTTGAACGCCAAACAAGGTAGCAGCAACTCCCGTCTTTTAACGTCTTTTGGTATGACGCGGCCGGGGTTCGAACGCGGACGCTCTACTGATTGAGCTAACACACCGGTATGAGAAATTAGCATCATATTCCTCACTAATATAGATCATTTAGAACTTAGAACCATCCAAAGTCCATTAATACAGCAAGAATGTAATGGTATTACCTGGTACTGTGGGAACCTGATGACTTCTGTCATAACCATCATGGCTGGACATCCAATCTTCTTTGATCTGTGGTTCTTCTTTCTTTTTCTATCTAGTCTGTCAACCTTAAGGAAAACAAAACAAATATTCAATCCTTGATTTGAGATGGATGATGGAATGTTCTTCCGTTCTACTATACCAACACATGGTGTGAATTTTCACCATAGAAACTCAGTGTGATATGTCTATAAAAGATAAAGTTGAGTTCTGGTCATGCGGTTGCATTGTGAAAGAAACAGTGTGGAATCAATCAGAAAAGGTTGATTGATTTTTATGCTGTTACATGCCATATAGAGCCATGCTTTTCAGGGAACATTTTTAATCTGATGTTCTTCCACACTTGCATAATAACAATGATAACGGTCACAAATTATTTTTCATTTCTTCCCAGAACTCAACCTTCTTTTTAAGGTTTAAAATGTTCTATTAGTAGGGATTCATATCAAATATTATTTGATTGATCATCCACCCTAGTATACTTGATAAATAAAAAAAATCACTAGCATCTTTCTGAGAATCTGAGTTAAGGTTCACAAGTTTGTTCTAAAAGCCATCAGTGTTGACAAGAATTTTTTCATATTAAAAAAAAAAAAATGTCAATAATTAGAAGCAGAATGATATGTTACTACTATGTTTATTTGCAAATAACCACATACCAGGTATGCTTGTGTTTATTTTTATTTCACAATATATAATTAGAAAACTATACTTTCAAAAATATATGAGATTTGGTCAATTATACTTCACCCCTGCTTTTAAGATAAAGATTCAATGCAATTCAGTAAGATTCGATACAAGCAACAAGATAACTAAGAAAACAAAGAAATAGCAAAATTATTCAATTTTCAAGAAAATTTCTTGTTATGTCATCTTTATGTACGGTTTGAAGAAAAATTGCTCTTATGACACTCCAAAGTTAATGATCTTGTTTGAAATATATAAGATGTTTTTTCTAAAAGGTTTGAAAGTTCATCAAGAAATGTTTTTTACTTGGCCTACTTAACAACATCAAAAAGACTTTTTATAACTTAAGATCATAAACAAAGGAATCTCAAATTGGTCAACTGATAGTCACAAAGAGTTTGAAGGTTGTTGAACAACTTACCTGTAACTTTTCCTCTCTTAAAGCTTGTTGTGAAGACTTATGTTTATTCCTTCCTAAGAAGCAAGTAAGAAAGTACTTTCCCATAATCATAAATGGTACTCCATCGCAAGGAATGAATTTCCCATGTTTGTATCGGACAAATGCCAACTTGGGGACATCTGTATGATCTGTAAATAAAGCAGAAAAATAAAAAGAAATGATTTTACAGACAAAATGTCATTTAGCTCTTTCTAATCATTTAAAGATAAACTTGAGTTCTGGTATAAAAAGAAAATGAATTCTCACAGAATCTAACAAAACTTACACTGAATGTTCAAGATTACAAATAAATGTCATGTGCCAAACAATTTTGGAAGAAAATGTATACTGGCTGAGTAATGAGCATAGAAAGATAAGGAAATCAGGGTAGTACTAGCCCCGACACCATGTGTGTTGTCCCATATACATCTTTCTGTGTAAGTGATTGTTACTTTACCAATGAATCTGCCAAATTTATGATGATTTTGATGACTCCAGAACCTTGCATTACACACTATTACTTACATGCTATATGATCAACTTTTCAGATCTATTCCATACCTTTTCTTTCACAATGCAATCGCAATACCAGAACTCAAGTTTATCTTTAATTTTGAAAAATAACATTCTGAAAATATCAATATATAATTGATGTCTTTTTTCTTTCTTTCTTTCTTTTCGGCTCATTTTGCTCCTACCTTGCACATTTTTTGATAGTCTTGCAGTTTTTGATTGTCTTGCACAGCAAGCTGCCTGCATGAGCATATCCTCATATTTGGGCAGCGAGATAGCCACATAGATCTAGATCTATATAAAACATCTTAAACAATATAAATTAGTCTTATTTTGCTCACGTTTATGCTTTCTAGATTTAGAACGACATTTAGACGATTCACGGCAATGAGATTTCTGAATATCCTAGCATTCAAGTGCAGTGAAGTGTCCAGATGTACATTATGATCTATCTAGTGTATTTTACTGAGGAATGTCCATTTTAACACATCAAAAATGTCACATTTTTGCTCCCTCACTTCACTCACAAATTTGCAAAACTTTAAATAGATTAATTTGGGCAAGATCGATCGAGGCATCATGTTCTTGTTTTTTCTGTGTTTTTTTGTTGATTATTTATTTCATCAGACCTAATTGTGGGTGCATGATTCTACTTTAAAGCCTTATTATTTCAGGCTTAGCCTAGCTCATCTCATTCTGATTTTGTTTAACTTTTCCTTGATCATGGCCGGTCGAGGCGAGGTCCTCGGCTGTGACTTGAGAAGCCTGTTGGGTATTTTATTTTCTCAGTATTTCTGTGTCCAAATTGTGAAGATGTATCATGTATTATTTGAATAAGCAACTTAATATGTGTCCTGTTTATATCCTTTATCTTACACACTGGAGCTATAATTACCTGACGTCTTAGTTGATGTACTGGTGGTGGTAACATTAGAGTCCAACATGAAATCCACGGCATCCACTCTGCTTTCGCCGGTGTTGGAAGGTGTTTCGACGCCAGCAGTTCCGGCGAACTGTGTCGATAGAGAGTCGTTCATGCCAAAACCCTTCCCCCTTCTCTCCCCCACAAACCGGAGGCCTGTGGATTCTTCAAAACATTGTCTAACTTGTTCAGCTTCTGTGAGAGTTTTAACCCAGCCTTTCAAATAATCTTCACTGACTGGGCACCATAAATCAGACCAGGGCAGAGATACGGCCCCAGGAGCCGAGTCTATTCCGCTGGCATCATCGTTTTCCATTGCTCTCCATTTCTACGTGCATGCATGCCGTGGGAATGTCGATCGCATATATCAACAAAGGCATGCGCGATATGCACTCGTTGGATCTGGCCGGAGGCATGCAAGACCCCCCCCCCCCCCCCCCCCCCCCCCCCTCCTCGTGCCTCTTTCTCTTGACTTTTCTTACACGCACAAACGTTCTTTCTCAAGTGCTTTTAAACTCCCTCGATACAATCTTCATTTCTCCCTACCCCCAAAAAACTCTCTCTCTCTCTCTCTCTCTCTCCCTCCCCCCCCCTCCGACTGTATATCCTGTAACAAAAAAACTATTGTTTTTTTATTGGTAATTGGGATCTAGCTCTTTAGGTGACCAGAAATGTTTCAACCATTTGGTTGTTAAAACATGTTTTAAATAAATTTTGTTTAACATTAATATTTATTAAACTTGTAAAATGTTTATTTTTTTATTTAAAAAAAAAAAAAAATGCAGTACCGGGTATAGAAAACAAATAAACCCTGCCATCTTTACGAGGTACTGGTTAAAACTACAGACTATTGTATCATTTACTATTGGAGTCACCTCTTGCCCATAGTTTCAACCAGAACCTCTCAAGACCGTATATATTTGTATTATATACACCTATATCTTTATTAATACCCTGTTCATATTTAGTTCCCCCCCCTTCCCTTCCTTGTAATATTGTTCCTGTCACTGCTGCTCACTTTGAAAACATAGTACAACTTTTTATGGTATACTTCAATACAATAAAGAAAAGAAACCAAAGTACTCGGTCCTTGTTAATTAGAAAATAGATTTAATAATTTTTCATCATTGGTTAATAATGTTAATGACAATTATAAGGAAGGAAAAAATTCTTACTAACAACAAATTTATACAACTATTTGTTTATTTTAAGACATAAAATGTGAAAGAATTAACAATAGTTATCTTAATTTGCATACTAAGGAAATCATCCAGTCTTTTTTCATGTTTTCGTCTAGCATGTTGCATTTTGTCAGTAAAAGGAATTCATTACACAAAATATCTGGAATGTTTTATAATTATCCCCCAAACCAAAAACAATAGTGCTTATGGAATTTTATCAAAACTGCAAAAGAGAAACAGTATCTTTAAAATACAGTTCAAATCATTAAATTTTGATTTAATTATTATTTACTGAGAATATTCATTTACAAGAATGTTATTTTAAATAAAATACTTGTAAAATATATATAAGTCACCAAGCTTTTTCAAAGAAAATATCAACCTTGCATTGTTTTTAAATCATCCAGTCTATTATTTTAACAATTAAATGACTATGTCAGTTCTATGTGGCAGTCAAACTGCACAACAAAATACTGTAACGTGACACTGATTCAAAAGAAATATAATCATATTGTACATCTTAAATGCTCTATATAAAGTAACTATACATTCATGTTGGTCAATTTGAGTTGATTAATTGTAGAATGATAGATCTTCCATTATACATGTATAATATCCACTGGTATAGACACCCTGCTTCATGAAAGTTAGTTTTCACTCTACACACATAAAATATGAAAGTATATATTAAGACTTGCACTTAGATACATAACTCACTGTAGACAATAACAAATAGTTGCAACCTGGTGTAAATTTAAAGAGAAGGTTGAGTTCTGGGAAGAGGTGAAAAATAATTTGTGAGCATTACTCATTCTTATTATGCAAGTGTGGAAGAACATCAGATAAGACATGTTCCCTGAAAAGCATGGCTCTTCGAATGCCTTCATATTCTAAATATGCATGTAACATCGTAAAAATCGGGGGGCCGGCTTTTTACGCCACGTGTTCGTGTAGTCCCATATACATCTTTCTGTGTGCAGTGTTTGTAACTTTATCAAGACTTGGCCAAATTTCTTATCATTTTGATGATTCCAGAACCTTGCAATATACACAAATTCTTATATGCTAGATGATCAACCTTTTCTGGTAGGTTCCACACCGTTTCTTTCACAATGCAATCGCATTACCAGTACTAAAGTTTATCTTTAAGTTTCTTAGCCACTGATTTTTTAAATTTTTTTATGTGGAGGGTCTTGATCTAGTGGATACATCACTGGACTGTGGATCACAGGTTTTTGAGGTTCGAGTCCTACTGTAGCACTTATGTCCTTAGGCAAGACATTAATCTAAATTTGCCACACTCGACCCATTGAGGTTAGTAGGTACCTGGCAGGAATCAATTCCTTGAAATGCCAGAGCACCATAATGACAGCCATCTAAAGCCAGGTAATAATTGTGGAGCGCCAGGAGTGTCAAGTTTGGCAGAAATGAACGCTATACAAGAACTCACTATTATTATTATTTTTGTTGTATATATTGTGCAATTGAAAACAATAGTCAGGTCTCAACATATAATTGTTGACAGCTGATCACACCAGCAATCCGTGTATGGACAGCCTCAAATAGACCAATCAAATTGGTTTGCTGCTGCTCAGATGATGTAAGGTATATCACTAATGTATAGAAGAAGAAAAACTAACTGCACATTTCTTACACATTTACCATAGAAAAATGGTGTGGAAGTGTACACTAGCTAGTAACATTATCCTAAATATTAGCAGAAATGTCAAAGAAAAATAGTTTCCTACAAAGTAATGATGTAAATGAATGACACTTTAGGTAAAATATACAATTACCAAATTATTAAGAACTATTGCAACTAGGCTTATAAACATTGTAAGCTTCAATAAAATCTATGAATATATGATATTACATGCCGCATAAATAATTTTAGAATTTACTTTTCAATTTACATCTGCACACACTGAGTGAGTACATCATATCAAAAGGGTATCATAATAAGATTTCTTTTTTTTCCTGCAAATTAAAAGTAGATGCATCTCTCAGAATATTTCCACATCTTATTGTAAACTATAAATGAAGATTGGCCGATACAATAATATATCTCCACTAATGACTGCAACTAAGTTTGCTTGTAAATGTACATCAGGAGAGAAATGTATTTCCTTCTTTTCATGGAGACCCAATAAAAAATGACATGTACATGTATTCAGCCAATCCAAAAGGAATATTGCACATGATTTGCGTTGTCAGTTTACTTGATTTGGTCCATTTCATGGTCAAAATAAACTAAAGATAACTATTTTGTCCTGTTAAAGTAAAATTTCACAACAATGACACAACAATAAAGGTTTCAAATATTTAGCTGTGCTGGTTTCCAAACATTTGGGTTTGATCCTATGTTGGTCAATCAGGCGTATAAATGTGGAAATTAATCCATATCTTTGTTTAAATCATAAACCAAGCATTACAAATACCTAAGAAACATTACAAAGTAGCATGTCATGTAAAACATGTATTCTGGTTTGACTTTTTATACAAACATGAGGAACTGAATATACAAATACTAGAACTATAGAAATAAATCTATTCATATCCTACAATTTGTATGCATGACAGAAAGTATTATAAACATAGTATCATTAAAAGGGATATGAACTTTCAACTTACTTTTTTTAAATCATTTTGTTGCAAATACATGTATAAGAAGAGTAGTGTATGAAATTTATCCCATTGTGATAAAATCTCAAATCAAAACCCAAAAGCCCTTGTACAGCAAGGGGTATACATGTAAATGCTATTAATGATCAGTTCTATGTCTGAATAATAAAATTGCTTGAAATAAAGTTATACCGTGCAAAAAATATTCCAATAAAATTCAAAACTGATTTGGTTTTGGATGATTGGTGTTTTAGAGATAGATTGGTGAGAGGATATTTTTATTAGTTTACTGTACACATGAATCTATGGGGAAATGAAATATGGAAATTAATAGGTTACATAAATCAGTAATATGGTTTAATAAGCCTAACTGTATGTGGTAACCATAGGTTGAGCCGTTGTAGTAGGTTGTCTTGTAGCTTGTATAAGATGATATCACAATTCAATAGGCCTTTGTGGTAGGCATAGGTTGTAGTAGGCCGTCTTGTAGCTTGTATAAGATGATATCACAGTTAAATGGGCCTTAATTGTGGTAGACATAGGTTGTAGTAGGCTGTCTTGTAGCTTGTATACAATGATATCACAGTTCAATAGACCTTTGTGGTAGGCATAGGTTGTAGTAGGCTGTCTTGTAGCTCGTATAAGATGATATCACAGTTCGATAGACCTTTGTGGTAGGCATAGGCTGTAGTAGGTCGTCTTGTAGCTCGTATAAGATGATATCACAGTTCGATAGACCTTTGTGGTAGGCATAGGCTGTAGTAGGTCGTCTTGTAGCTCGTATAAGATGATATCACAGTTCGATAGACCTTTGTGGTAGGCATAGGCTGTAGTAGGCCGTCTTGTAGCTTGTATAAGATAATATCACAGTTCAAAAGACCTTTGTGGTAGGCATAGGTTGTAGTAGGTTGTCTTGTAGCTTGTATAAGATGATATCACAGTTCAATAGGCCTTTGTGGTAGGCATAGGTTGTAGTAGGCTCTCTTGTAGCTTGTATAAGATAATATCACGGTTCAATAGGCCTTTGTGGTAGGCAAAGATTGTAGTAGGCTGTCTTGTAGCTTGTATAAGATGATATCACAGTTCGATAGACCTTTGTGGTAGGCATAGGCTGTAGTAGGTCGTCTTGTAGCTTGTATAAGATAATATCACAGTTCAAAAGACCTTTGTGGTAGGCATAGGTTGTAGTAGGTTGTCTTGTAGCTTGTATAAGATGATATCACAGTTCAATAGGCCTTTGTGGTAGGCATAGGTTGTAGTAGGCTCTCTTGTAGCTTGTATAAGATAATATCACGGTTCAATAGGCCTTTGTGGTAGGCAAAGATTGTAGTAGGCTGTCTTGTAGCTTGTATAAGATGATATCACATTTCAATAGACCTTTGTGGTAGACATGGGTTGCAGTAGGCTGTCTTGTAGCTTGTATAAGATGATATCACAGTTCAATAGGCCTTTGTGGTAGGCATAGGTTGTAGTATGCCGTCTTGTCCCAGAAATCAACTCCCTTCCATCCGCACCATCCCTGTAGAACAATAAAAAATAAATGAATGCAATGTTCGCCATCCATCCTATACAAGTCTGTCTACCGTATCTTTCATATTAACATTTTGAAAATTCTCAATCTCTTTACACAAAATTGAGGGTTGTAATACTCATACGTCACTCATCCACAGCACCAGAGAACACAATATGTTTATTGCAGTGTTTCTCTAAAACTTTACATCAGACAATTTGAATAAAAAGCATGGAGTTATAAGTCCTCTTCTGTTTAAGGCTGATTTCTGATGGTTCGTGAATAAAACAAGACAAAAAAGACAATAAAACGTTGGGAAACTCTTCTATATATATGTATATGTACCTTATCTTGAATAGTCTTGATATCTTCACCTCCTGTATAATGAGGATCTAGAATAAGAAACTTGAGTTCACCAGTCTTCTCATTGAAATCCACGCCTAGAATGGTGTGAGCATAAACTCCGCCTCCTGTATGCAAATAAGATTAATACTTGCTTGATGTTTCAATTCAAATATCCTGATCTAGTCATAATTCTTTCAAAATCTCTCCAATTAACTCAACAAAATAGCAACTGCCATAGACACACATTACATTATCTAAAGAGAAGGTATTAAGTGGTTTAATTGAAAGAAACTGCTGAGAAGACCTGGGCCACAACAAAGTTATTTTCATATGTAACATAGTTCCAAGACAGGCTTGCAACCCTAATGTTCTTTGCATTGTTGTTTATTGGTCCAATACAAATGATAAATAGCACAGATCTGATCTCGCTTGAATTAAAAGCTCATTGAATATTTTATTACTAAAATGAATGAAAATTTTCACTATATAAATTTTACCTCTAATCCAATTAATATTTTCTTCCCAAAATCTTGTAAGAGTTTGTCATACCAATCATTACAGGGGTGCCTTGAACCTGGAAGTGAGCTGCTAATTCCCTTCCTTTCATTGCAAGCTCCTCACCATTAGGAACAAATATTATCTTAGATGTAACCTGAAATAAAATACACATTAACATTGTTAGAATGTTTTTATAAACAAATCATAAAGCTTCATCATGGTCATGCTACTCAGAAAGGTTTATTACTGTCACAGTACTAGTGAAATATCAGTTTCCTCTTGTCATCTTCTTTTTCAAGTACTTTGCCAGAGCCTGATGTTTGTGACTAAGTTTCTGCTAATCTCTAACCCCCATACGGTCATCTGTGCAGGATCAATAAATAAGCACGAACTAAAGTATTCTAAAAGCCCAAAGTCTCAGTGCTTGTTTATATTGATTTAAACATAGTGGTATTCATCAACCTCTAGTACATAAAAAGCCAACATCATCCTCGTGTTGGTAACCTATCTTCAGCTTACAGTTCAGTTAATTTTTCAGTCATATTTTTCAGTTATTACTTCAAGCACAGATTAAATTGTATTCTGATTGGAGATTTATATATCACAGTTTACCCTTTATCTGCTTCATTGACATAATACTGATCAATTCAGATTTTAGCTTTCACCAATGTTAATACACATAACTATCATTGTATACTCTGACAGTAATGTAAATAAAGGGTTACTGGGGCTCCTATTACATCTCCAAACATTCATCAGAAAATGTAACAAATAGTGAATAACTGAAAGCTTACCTCTAGGAGTTGATTTAAGACAGTGCTAACTTCAATTGATCCAATCCATTGCCTGGAACCAACAAACTTAGCTTGCTTGTCACCTACATCGACGAGTGCTTGCTGAATCTCCTTATGACTTGGAATGGAGAAGTCCATATAACCCTACAAGAAGATCAACAATCACTGCTATTAATTCCAGTCCCAAAGTACCCTTTCTCATTTCTTTCTTTTTTACACTCAAGATCCCAGATGATAAATGGCTTTTAAAAGTACATGTAATATAAAAGTGATTAAAATGGTGGCAAAATTTTTATGATATTTTTTTCGTTCATTTATCAATCTTTGATATTCAAAATTAATTTTATCCAAACAGAATGCAGATCTGAAATTAATCAGCTGTTAAGCTGTTATTCTACAAATTTGCTACAGTTTACAGACATTACAGTGTACAGAAAATGACAACCGGAATATCTATCAAATAATAACCATATTATTGAATAAGAAGTCTTCCAAATCTATGTCCATAGGCTATATTTAAACAAAACAAAAAACCAAAAAAAAATTCATGTTTGATAAGATATACCTATATCTTCTAATTATTACAAATAAATAAGTAAAGAACAAAGAACTTTTTGTTGGTCACTTCCACTTAATTTGACCAACATTTAAAAGAAAGAGCAGTATTTTATATTGAAGGCAGTGATCAATAAAAACAAACATTCCAGACAAGATTGATGTAGCAATAATGACACAAGTTCATAGCAACATTGAGTAATACAATGAGCTCAATCCCTCTAATATGAATCAAGATGATATAGTATGATATTATAGGCTAAAGTAACATAGTTACCTGAAGCTTGAACCATGAACATAGAGTCTGTAATGACCTATAAGCACATCCCCATTGATCATCATTAAACCTGTCCTGCATGTAATGATGATACGTGTAGTTCCCTTGGACTATCGACTGCTTTCCTTCTGGCACTGTCACAGAGATATAAAACAAAATAGTTTAGGTTAATAACAATAATAAATAATCATTATAGATCTTGTTTACACAGGGTAGCCTCTTCGGTATTAATGCTGTTCTCCCAATACGGCCCTGGAATCATATTATTACCCTGGCTTTAGCATGGTTACCGTGATAAGGCGCACAAGCACTCAAGGAATTTCTTCCAACAGAGTACCAATTTACTACACCTGGGTGGAGAAGAGTTACTATTTACAAGAAAGGAATCCGGAGTATGCTTATATTTTACAGTACCCCCCCCCCCCCCCCCCCCCCCATGAGTCATCATTCATTCCTACAGATTAGAACAGATAGAGCAGGAGTTTGGGGTATACAGTGTTGAAATTGTTCTTGATCTTGCTAACACCAATCTTGCCTTGCACAATGGACCAAAGACATGTATCATCAACCTGCATGGAGTCATTCCAAGAGAAACTCAAACCTCCTATAATCATAACATTTTCTCATTCATATCATTGCTGTGTGCAACCGAAGAACCCTAGTGAGATGATCATTAAATTATTTTGTTTTTTGCCTGGGAAGGAGAAAGGGAAATTATATATATATATATATATATATATATTAAGACCCTCAAAACTAATTGGGATTTACGAGAAGAACCCTATGACTCTCTTACACTCTATATCTCTATTTAACATCCCATCAGAGGGACACATTGTTTCCACTGATCCCTAGCCTGTATCAATAGGAGATGGAAGGAACATACAATACGAGCCATGATCAACCAAGCTACATGCAAACAAACAATATCATCATGTATTAAAGACAGACTAGCAGGACCCGTGGAAAATCCACGGGATTCTAGGAGGGGAGGGGGAGGGGGGGGGGGGGGGGGGGGGGGGGGGGGTAAATAGAAAGAGGCCTATGAGGTTATGTGCAATCAAAAATAATATGTGATTATTTTTATATAGGGTATAGACGATTTTTATAATATACCCTGTTTGACCATGAATGGCGACCGTCATACCCGTTTGAAAGCATTGATTTGATGCAAGAACTGTTTATCACTGAGTAAAGTATTCTATAGTATTCTAGTATTCTAGTATTCAGCTAATGAGCTAGGTTATGTTTTTAAACGACCCGGGACCGTCTGATTTTCTTGTGAAAACTTTACTTTGACAATTGATTATCGACATTCAGCATACAACTATACATGGCCAGAATAATCACAATCTAAGCTCAGGTTTCATACCTCTATAATCACGAAACTATATTGAAATCAGGGCAATAAGAGCAATTTCAAAGTGTTATCGAATGTCGAGTCTACTCTATGTAGCCCAGCTCAGCTCACACACAGTCACAGTTCCGACAGTGCACGGCAGCAGTGCATGTGGCGCAATGCGCTGTCCGTGTGTGGACTCGAGCCTCAAGACAGCCAGCTTGCAACTGAACTGTAAGTTACGATGGATTCCTTGTGAAAACTTTACTTTGAAGAATGATTATCACAATTCAGTAAACATGGACGGGATAATCACAAAGTTAGCCCTGCTTTCATACCTCTAATTCACGTTAACTATATACAAATCACAAATCACGGCAATCATAGAATGAAAGTCGCAAACCGACTGTGCGTGTGACATGAGCGTAAAATCATCTCATACACGTACAGGCATAGGCCGTCTGGCGTACAAAGCATACCCTATAGCAAGATCCATAACACGGGTAAGCCCAGCCCGTCAGAGCGTAGATTTACTACATCTCATCAACCGGGTGAGTCATCGGTTAATGTGTATTTCTCTGACACGCTACAAAGCATATCCTATAGTAAGAGGTCTAACTCGGGGTACGCCCCACCGTTTTACGATGAGATTTGCTACACCCGTTGATGCGAGTGGATTCTCGTCTATTATGTGTCTCTTCGTCTCTCTTTGATAATTAGACAAAGGGCGGGAGCACGCCTTGTCAACTCGCTCTCGCGGGTTCGTCGCCTCCTTGCAATCCACAACGCCCGCCGTGCTTTCGTCCGCCCGTCCTCCCCGAAACCCCGAAACCGCGTTTAACGGCATTGACGTCGATCGCGGGGTCGAGGTGGCATGCGGGTTACGGGAGACAGGCCTCGTGGAATTGTGCCACCGTTCCCGCGCCACGGTGGAGGCGAGCGGGGTCGGGGAAAGACGTTTTTGAGGAACCGTTTTGCCCCGTTTTAGACCCCCCGCGGCGATTTTGCGTATTAATAATATAGATGTTTTACTGACATTCACTTAAATCATCTGCACAAGAAAGATGCTCTACAGATAAAAGCAACCTCTATTCAAGACTCACCTCCAGAGGGCGGTAGACCAACGTGTGTATTCGTGAGATAGACTTGCTGTTTCTTCTCTTCCGGAAACATGTATGTATTGAGCCTTCTCAAGAGTGGCCTATCTTGAGGGAGGATGAATTGCTGATGAAGTGACTGCCTTGTGGTTTCTAAATGGCAATCACAAGAAAACGTGTTCTATAAGGTACAATATCTAACCTGAGGGAGGGTGAATTGCTGATGGAGTGACAGCCTTGTGGTTTCTAAATGGCAATCATAAGAAAATATGTTCTATAAGGTACAATATCTAATCCTGAGGGAGGGTGAACTGCTGATGAAGTGACTGCCTTGTGGTTTCTGAATGGCAATCACAAGGAAATATATTCTATAAGGTACAATATCTAATCTTGAGGGAGGATGAATTGCTGATGGAGTGACAGCCTTGTGGTTTCTACATGGCAATCATAAGAAAATATGTTCTATAAGGTACAATATCTAATCTTGAGGGAGGATGAACTGCTGATGGAGTGACAGCCTTGTGGTTTCTAAATGGCAATCATAAGAAAATATGTTCTATAAGGTACAATATCTAATCTTGAGGGAGGATGAACTGCTGATGAAGTGACAGCCTTGTGGTTTCTAAATGGCAATCATAAGAAAATATGTTCTATTAGGTACAATATCTAATCCTGAGGGAGGGTGAACTGCTGATGGAGTGACAGCCTTGTGGTTTCTACATGGCAATCACAAGAAAATATGTTCTATAAGGTACAATATCTAATCCTGAGGGAGGGTGAACTGCTGATGGAGTGACAGCCTTGTGGTTTCTAAATGGCAATCATAAGAAAATATGTTCTATTAGGTACAATATCTAATCCTGAGGGAGGGTGAACTGCTGATGGAGTGACTGCCTTGTGGTTTCTGAATGGCAATCACATGGAAATATATTCTATTAGGTACAATATTTATGAATGGTAGTTCAATAAACACATGGTAATCAGTTCATAGCATAGAGTTCTTTTTCCATTCCTCCCTTTCAGGACAAGAGTCTTTAAGGGCTGAATTTATTACATGTTGTTCTTCAAATTTGCGATTATAATATTTTTCTGTTATCACTCTATTGGTCCAATAAATTGTTATGTCTCTGAAAACAATATACATGGGTAAGAACTTTGTAAAATAGATTTTTAAATAATTACAAATTTTCATTGAAATACAATCATTTTTAAACATCTCAATGTGTTGCCAATTTAAGGATTTTAAAGCTTCTTTTCCTTTCTAAAATTCCTGGCATCAAACACAATATGGTATGTATGCAACAACAACAACAACAAAATGTAGTAAGTGCAAAATGTTTTGCTCTATCCTTTCATGCATCTGGTTTAAATATTTTTAGGGCTCTGATTAAAAAGTTATTGAGCCACATTACCTTCTCAAAGTATGTCTTATCTTTCTTACTATTTTATAGATTTGTTTTGTTTTTGTTTGTTTCATTCTCACACATGTAATATCTTACCCAAGTCTTGATCGCTGACTCCTGAAGGATAGATAACAGTCAGTAAATGTTGCAGTCCCATGGGTTTGAAATGGTGCGCTTCAGGCTTGCATATGTTATGTTTCTATTCATCAGAATTTACAAAAATATGGTGTCAGTTTTGAAAGAAAATGTTTTATTCTTAAAATACAAACTATTCAAGCTAACTACATATTACGTAAATACACCACTGTTTTTCAGCTATGATATATATATAATAATTGTTGGATGAAAGAAAGATGGATAAATTGAATGAATTTATATATTGAATAAATGTGGAGGTGTCATGGTATAGTCGTTTATTCACTTGACTGTCAATCTATGGGATGAGGGTTCGAATCCCAGCTGGGCACTAATGTCCTCTGGATAGACAATAATCCACATTTGCCACTTTTCACCCAGGTGTTAAATGGCTACTCAGTAGGATATGAAACTCATTGATCAGCATAGTGAGCATCTGTAAATGGCTACCCAGTAGGATATGAAACTCATTGATCAGCATAGTGAGCATCTGTAAATGGTGACTAGCTGGAATCCTCCCAAGGGAGTGGAGAATGTGCGTACACTGTGTGTGGGCGAGTTTGAATCTGATGACCTGGGTACTATGTCTGTTCAGCGCCTAAAGACATGGTCAATGTATTAAAGGGATTGGGTAACTTTGTCTCAGATTCTGAAACAAAATCCTGGATTTAGCTCATGCTGCAATGATAATTTGTAAGGAACCCCATGACTTTTACAAGCCGATCGCCTGTCTGATTATCAAGAATTTATGATTGGAAATCGAAACCAAATTTTGCATTTGCCAAACGGTTTTTATAACACTCCAGTCTATTGGGGAAAACAAGTATGGTAAAACCGGTCACTCAAAGATTTTTACTTTTTTGAGGCACTTCATGATAATTTTGAAGCCCAATTTTTTTAGGGCTCCAACATTACACCATATCACAGACACTGATAACACATAGGGCTGTGTATCTCAGATTTAACATTGTTAAATGATGCCTTCAAGCGCTATATAAACCCAAATTATTATTAGTGAATAAAACCAACCCTCTCATGGTGTTTTGAGGGGAGAACATTCATTCCTGGATGGTTTGGAATACATACAAAGGAAACAACCACAGCTTAGACTTATTTCAACCTCATACTCAGTTTTTCTACCACTCACTTCAAAGTGTCTAGCAATACATATCTCCATAGCACGCAGCTGTCTACACACTCCTTCAATGAAGAGAGAAGCTAGATGAGAGACGGGGGATGATGCGGACGCCATGACAACTACATCCAGGGGTAGATTCATAGCCAGATGATGCATCTCACTTTTATCTAACATGAAACAAAACAGCAATAGTATATCAGATAATGAAAATAATAAATGTTAACAAACCATTTGGCCTGAATTTACAAAGGAGGTTTGTCGACAAACCTAGGTTTATGTGCGTCATATGACGCGTTTCGATACGTTTTTTACAAACCTTGTGAATTTGGGCCAATATGTTGCTGAGAGGTAGAATCTTAAACTTGTTAAAGGATTTCACACAGCAATTATTTAAAAAAATTAACTTTGCATGATAGCTTGCATGAGAATTATGTTCATTCAACTCAATATAGCTAGAGAAAAAATGGTTTTCAAGCGATGCTAAACTTACGATCATTGTATAGAACAACAGGAATGTGGTTATCTTCTTCTGCAGTGAGTCCAGAGCCAGTCTTGAACAGTATCTTCACATCAAGGACCTGTTCACACAAACAATACATCTCCATTTCAAGAGCCTGTTCTCACAAACAATACATCTTCATTTCAAGAACCTGATCACACAAACAATACATCTTCATTTCAAGAACCTGTTCATACAAACAATACATCTTCATTTCAAGAACCTGTTCATACAAACAATACATCTTCATTTCAAGAACCTGTTCACACAAACAATACATCTACATTTCAAGAACCTGTTCACACAAACAATACATCTTCATTTCAAGAACCTGTTCACACAAACAATACATCTTCATTTCAAGAACCTGCATAATACAATACATCTTCATTTCAAGAACCTATTCACACAAACAACACATGTTCACATCAAGGACCTGTTAACACAAACAATATAAATAGATCTTCATTTCAAGAACCTGTTCACACAATACATTCAGTTCTGTAGCAGTCTTACTCAAATTACACTGCTTCACAGTGCTTTACATAGTTCCTGAGTTCATACCAAAAACAATATAAATAGTATATTCACATCAAGGACTTTTTAAATACTCATACTTTAACTCATACATTTAGATACCGTTTATAACAAGATCCTATAGGTACCAACGGGGTCCAGACAACTCGCCACAAAGACAACCCGCCCCAAGACAACCCGCCACAATACCCTGGACATCCCGCCACAATACCCTGGACAACCCGCCACAATACCCTGGACAACTCGCCACAGCCTTTTCGGACAACTCGCCACACTTTTTCCTATCATGATTTCTAGATCTAAAATGAAATGAAATTGTCATTTTTCATGATTTTCGTGCTTTTATAAACACAGTCATTACAAAGAATAAAGAATAAAGTTGATTTCCCTAATTGTAACAATAATATATATTGAAATGAAATTGTCATTTTTCATGATTTTCGTGCTTTTATAAACAGTCATTAAAAAGAATAAAGTTGATTTCCCTTGTAACAATAATATACTTTTGATCTAGAGGTCTATAACAGCTGCATTTTTCTGTCCCAGAATTTTTTTTATGGTAGGATACTGGAAGCACTGGCGTACTGATGGGGGGGGGGGGGGGGGGGGGGCAGTTGACCCGCGAAATAAAATTGGAATGTGGTTTATTTCTAGATTTTCTGGGTTAGTTTCGTCAGAGGCGGCATTCTTGGTTGGGGGGGGGGACACTGTGCCCCCACTTTTCCAGGTTCCCCTAAAGTGCCCCCTTATCCTTTGTACATGTCCTTTTCCCTTCTGATAATTTTTAATGGTAGGAATTCATGGAAGGATAGGCCTACTGGAAGCACTGGCGTACTGATGGGGGAGGGGGCAGTTGACCCGCGAAATAAAATTGAAATTTGGTTTATTTCTAGATTTTCTGGGTTAGTTTCGCACTTTTGCCCACAGTCAAAGGCAGCATTCTTGGTTGGGGGGGGGGGGGGGGGCACTGTGCCTCCATTTTTTCAGGTTCCCCTAAAGTGCCCCCTTATCATTTTGTACATGTCCTTTTCCCTTCTGATAAGTGCCTACTTTTCTTTCTCAGATGTTTTAATTATAATGTTACTCATAATTACATAATAGAACTTTTCAGTCTTTCTTCATTAGATTGTCTTTAATATTCATCATGTAATTTTTCAAATGGGACCTTATACTTTTAGCTCGCTTGCTCGAAAATCGATATTCAGTCCATCACACCAAATTGCGAAGTACGTTGCTTAAACAATATGTTGTTGATTCTTGATTCTAGTGATTCTTGTTGCAAGCGCAAGGAAAATCATCTTTATTCTTTAGAACAGCTCTCAAAATACTCACAATTTCCATGTTTCCTGTCATAACTGTGTTTATAAAAGCATGAAAATCATGAAAAATGACAATTTCATCTAAGATGAGGGATTTTAGATCTAGAAATCATGAGGGGAAAAAAGTGTGGCGAGTTGTCCGAAAAGGCTGTGGCGAGTTGTCCAGGGTATTGTGGCGGGTTGTCCAGGGTATTGTGGCGGGATGTCCAGGGTATTGTGGCGGGTTGTCTTGGGGCGGGTTGTCTTTGTGGCGAGTTGTCCGGGATTCGTACCAACAATGTTCAAAATCTGAATATGAATGACATCCTGTACCTGACCGTCTAGTTTAGTTTTCTTCTTCTTCTTTCCACCAGCCACTCCAAACCCATCATCCTCTTCTTCATCTTGGAGGTGCTGCAGAACATCTTGGATACGGTTGCTAGGAGACAGTGGTCCAGTGACTGTGGCATTGTTACTGGATGATGATGATGATGATGATGATGATGATGATGATGTGTTGGGTTGACTTCCAATAAGGATACTTGTTTGCTGGATGTGGTAGAGGGTTGTGGGGGATTGGAGCTGGTTTTTGAGGAAGTTATACTGTAGCAGGAATACATTTGGCAACTCTACAGGGTAACAAAAAAAAGGGAAAAAGGGAAAACAAAATTAATTACTTTCATAATTAGCTCATTCGTACAACGTATTCTGAACATTTGTCTTGACCTCAAAGATACAAAGCTTTTTTTTACAATTCTGAAATTTATTTTTCAAAGAAATTTAAAAAATACATGTTCGCCATGCCTTTCAGAAATGTCAGAATCCAAACCTTTAAATTAAAGATAAACTCCAGTACTGGTAAAAAAAAAAAATTTAATTCTCACAGAATCAAACGAAACTTACACTGAATGTTCAAGATTACAAATAAATGACATGTGCCAAACAATTTTGGAAGAAAATGTATACTGGCTGAGTAATGAGCATAGAAAGACAAGGAAATCAAGGTAGTACTAGCCCCGACACCATGTGTGTTGTCCCATATATAGCTTTCTATGTGAGTGCTTGTTACTTTACCAAGACTCGGTCAAATTTATTATGATTTTGATGACTCCAGAACCTTGCAGTGCACACCAATACTTACATGCTACATGATCAACTGTTTCTGATCCTTTCCACACCTTTTCTTTCACAATGCAATCGCATTACCAGTACTAAAGTTTATCTTTAATGTTAAATCAACCTTAAATAGATTTGAGTATTATTAAACAAAAGTACTTTTACATCTAGGACTTTTCATTCTATCCAGGACACTTCAATCTACAAAGCAGTTTCTATTTTATATTGCTTTACAGAAACGAATGAGCTGACAGCCTTGAATTTGACATAAATAAAGTTCAGACTTAAAAAGAAACTTTTTAAGATTCTCACCTGATTTATCCTTGTATGCACATTTCATACTGACTTCAGATCTAATTCTGAAGATCAATACACTCTGCTCCCAGCTGATAGAATCCGATACAATACTTAGATCACATGACCTGCGTTGACCAGTCTCAAGCTCATACAACTCTGCCTTCTCCTCAAGCCTCTCATCCTCTTCATTGGTGAACAAGAGCACTACTCTACCAGATGGAAAGAGTTTCTATAAGGAAGGAATGACAGAGTGAAATAGTAACATTTAAAATAGAGTTTCATGGACTACAAACTAATTTATTTATAAATAATCTGTATACAATATAACTAAAACAAATGAGTCAAACTGAATACAGCACAGAAAGATACTGGGTAAGATTCATTACATGTATACAGGAGCTAAATCTAGATGCTCTATGCAGACATTTCCTCCAAAAATTTAATATGTAAATAACAATGCTATCAGATTGAAGAGTGAGCAAAACAATATCATTGATGATTATAGGCAGTCAATGTAATTTTAAGATTAAAAACACTCTAAGTAAAAATACAAATTACAATATACATGTTAAATCAGTCTACTGAATAGCAAGTAAAGCCTGTTAGTGAATTAATCTATATAGGCTTTCTTCATGCAGACATTATTAACAACTAGAAATATCGCAATCTGTATTGCCGCGCAATGCGAATGTATCCCCCGGCAGTGGCAGCGATTTTGTGTCATCCTCATGTTCGGAGAAGGGACAAAGATCCTCTCTCCCATCCCTGAAACAAAAGGATGACGTAGAGATCACCACTAGTAGCTCAGACTATTGTCAAGACTAGGAGCAGCATCACCAAAACAATATGTGTGTAGATCAGAGTATAATGCATCTCTGTAGAAAATTTTAAAGAAACCAGTCAAGAAATGTGGCAGTTAGAGTGCACAAAAGACAGCCACCAAAATATGACCTTTGACCCTATAACAGACGGAACACAGGTGGCAGCATCACCAAACACTAAAGATGTTTCGATTGTACTAAGACACACATCCATACAACATTTGAAAGAAATCTGTCATGAAATATGACCTGCAGAGCGCACACTAGACACCCATCAAAATATGACCCTTTGACCCTATAGAAGACGGAACACCGGGGGCAGCATCACCAAAAGATGTAGGTGTGTAGATTATACTAAGATACATCTCCATACAAAATTTGAAAGAAATCTGTTAAGGAATGATGCAGTTAGACCGCAAACTAGAGTGCACACAAGTCACCTATCAGAATATGACCTTTGACCCTATAAAAGACGGAACACTAGAGGCAGCATACCAAAATCTATAGGCTTGTAGATTATACCAAGATACACCTTCGTTCAAAATTTGAACAAAATCCTTTGAAAAATGTGGCCTATAGAGCGCACACAAACCATCCACGAAAATATGGCCTTTTACCCTATAGAAGACGGAACACTGGGGGCAGCATCACCAAAAGTTATAGGTGTTGAGATTATACTACAATACACCTCCATTCAAAATTTAAAAGAAATCCATCAAGGAATGTGGCAGTTAGAGCACACACAATAATATGACGCGGCGGCGGACGCGGCGGCGTAACGCTGCTGAAAGCCGGGGGATACAATAATGGTGGGTTTCAGTAAGGCTATTACAAGGCTGCAGTATACAGTACATAAATCAGGACAATCAAACATAGATATGACAGTGTCTCACCTTAGCAATTTCTCCGGTGATCATTTCCATCACATAACTAGAAAGAGGAGTAGCGGATGATTGTGGAAGAAATAAACCACATACTTTCACTCCTAATATGAAGAAAAGAGAAATTATGAATCACAATTATTTCTGCATCAGTCTTGAAGAAGAAAATCTATTTTAAATATATATCAAGAGGATTTGAGAAATAAATTAACTTTGAATTAAATACAAAAAATTAAAGGAACCTCCATTATTTCCCTACCCAGTGGTGAAACACAAAAGAGAGAGCACATATTATACTAATATGTCCGATCCTTTCCTATCTGATGATAACTGATGATGCATAATAGGAGTAAAATATTGATAATGTTGGTTGGATTGTTGGTTTGTCTAACCTGACTACTAATGCTTGTACATAGTACCAAAGGTCCAACGACTTTAGGTCCTCTCCCAAGCTGGCGATCGCACATTTACTGTAACTGCATCTTAAGAATGGAACAATATCCCATATTTCATCAAATCATCTAATTCCACAAACCATTTTAAGAATTTGTTGAAAACAATTAAAACCCTTTTCATATTTCCTTCAATCTGTATTTATTTTAAGTTTAATTCAATATTATGTATCATTAATTTTGAACATGCTGTGACATACATGTAGCTTTACTACTGTATGTAGAGTATATTTTATGCTTGATTTTCATTATTATCATTATTTTCATTTTCATTATTAAGATCATGATGATGATGATGAAGCACATAAAGTATTACAATCTTTAATTAGTACTCACCTGCAGGAAGGAATGAGTTAATAATGATGGCCTCTTCTGACAGGTCTCTGCCTTCACCAAGCTGAGAACAGCTTAAGATCTTCTCTTTTCCCTCATCACATGATGAACCAATCAACACCAACGTCTTGGCAAAGTTAAAACTCTTGATTTGCTGTAAAGTTTTAAAGATATATATATATACCATAATAATAAATCGCAATGGGTACATGTTTAGATATATTGTTTAATTCTTGATCATTTCCACATTTCGAAAGTTGTTCCATTTTATTCTGGTTATCACAAAGAGACATTAGGGAACATTTTAAACTCTGAAAAGTGAAACTTTCTCCCTTTTCACAACAGCATAAATTCTAATTCCATAATAAACACAACAACTTTAGACTTAATTGTGAAGTAATTTTTTGTGTACAAATTTCACTGTGAAACTATTCAACTTTAAACGAAATTCCAATTTTAGTGTTTTTTTGTTATAATGACAATGATTTTCCTTGTTCAAGTACTCTCCTTCTCCTTCTTCTCTCCCCCCCCCCCCCCCCCCCCCCCCCTTTCCTCTCTCTCTCTCTCTCTCTCTTTTTTTTTTTTTTTTTTTCTTCTTCTTCTTCTTCTTCTTCTTCTTCTTCTTCTCTTCTTCTTCTTCTTCTTCTTCTTCTTCTTCTTCTTCTTCTTCTTCTTCTTCTTCTTCTTCTTCTTCTTCTTCTTCTTCTTCTTCTTCTTCTTCTTCTTCTTCTTCTTCTTCTTCTTCTTCTTCTTCTTCTTCTTCTCTTCTTCTTCTTCTTCTTCTTCTTCTTCTTCTTCTTCTTCTTCTTCTTCTTCTTCTTCTTCTTCTTCTTCTTCTTCTTCTTCTTCTTCTTCTTCTTCTTCTTCTTCTTCTTCTTCTTCTTCTTCTTCTTCTTCTTCTTCTTCTTCTTCTTCTTCTTGGTTTGGCATGTCTCCAAGCACGAACCCTTACATTTCATTTTGCCTTTTTACAGCGTTATCTCAATCTCTGTTCTCATCCTGCGTATGCCCTTTGTTCTCATAATTTTCGTAGATATAAGAAACTAAATCTTGATTTTCCTTTGTTTCTGACTGAATTAGACCCAAAGTTTTATACCAGCCTTCCTTGTTTCTATTCAGAAATTTTGCGTGCTTGGATTACCTCTGGAGCAAGCGTCGAGACATCGTCCTTTACTGTCAACCATGTGTTAAACATTCCCTTGAATTATTATAAATTTCTTCAATTTACACTGGATGGCGACAAGATCTTCCCTGTTAGACTATTTGCATGTGGAATCAAACTCGTCAAGCATCTTGTAAACCCGAACAACGGTACCTGGCTCCGAGCAGACGAGGTCGTCATTGCCTCCACTTTGCAGCGTCCGTCTTTACGCCTTTTGGAACTTGACCTCTCTCTACTTCACAAAGAGATTTCCGGTTTGTTTCCTAGATTCTTTTCGAACAGCGGACTAAGACTGTCAGCAGCTTCAGCTTATCTTCATAATCTGACTGAACCTGTTACCTCTCCGTTCTCGATCATAACTAAAGACAACAAGAACATTCTTGCCACGCTGACTAAATCGATATATCGAATCTTCAACCGTGCTATTAACTTTCTTCCTAGAGCTCAAGTTACTCATTGGCACGAGGCTGGGTTACTTTCCCCTTCTAAACTAATCAACTGGACTGAAATCTACTGCTATCCATCATCTAAGAAAGATGGGGACACTCAGTACAAACTATTACACAATGTTCTTCCGTCGCTTGCCGTTCTTCATCATCTTAATCCCGATATCTCCTCTTCATGTGGATGGTGTGGCAAGAAGGGAACTATTCTACACCTCTTTATCGAGTGTACTTCTATACAACCGGCCTTGGATCTTCTTCATCATCTTCTGTCAAGTCTTCTACCCGAAGTAAACATTGACTTTGACCTCTACTGGACTCTGGTTCCACATGCAAGAGGTCGTAACAGGGAGGCCGTGCGCCTATCCAACTTTTTTATTGTCATTCTTAAAAGCACATTATATTGGCTTTATCGTACCTCTCGTTTTCTTGATCCACTTCCTTTTTGGAAACTTAGAATCAAGAACAGAGTCATTCTTGATTATGAATTTCACAAATTACAAAACAATTTGGTGTTATTTCATAAGATATGGTCGTCCAATAATGTACTCTTTCTTTCAGATGATATTGATCTCACATGGTTGATTTAATTGTTGTTTGTGATAAGTTTGTCTTGAGAAGAAGCTCATAGTTGGTAGTTTTGAATTCCCATAATTTAATCGTTTTGAAACACTCTATGGATGTGTAATCATTTGTAATCAGTGTTTAGTACAATTTATGTTTTTTCTCAATTTCTACCATCGGAATTATTGTTTTTTATGAATTGTTTAATGGTTACTTTCTCATGTATTACGTACTACTTGTTGTTGATTATTGGTATATGATTCACAAACACTTATTATATTAAGTGCATCACTGTTATTTTTTTTTTATCTGTTTTAATTATTATATGTATTGTAAATAAAGTTTTACTTTCAAAAAAAGTCTTCTTCTTCTTCTTCTTCTTCTTCTTCTTCTTCTTCTTAATTCTTCTTCTTCTTCTTCTTCTTCTTCTTCTTCTTCCTAGTTTTTGTTTTGTTATCTCACTGGGTGGTTTCCTTCCTATTATTAAAGTATATTCTATATTTTCTATAAGATTATTCTTCATTGTATTCACATTTCAATTATAAATGGATTCATCATCACCATTTCTAATAATTTCTATTTATATGCTGTCCATTTTGGACATTTACACAGATGTCTTGTTGTAGGCCTACATTGATCATTTTGAGAATCCTTTTTGTTTTAAGTAAATTTAGTCTTGACTCATTTAGAATTAAACTCTCTAGTCTAGACTAGACCTAAGTAAGTTAGTAAGTAAAGTAAGTGACCAAGTCACCTAGACTCTACGTGGCCGTGGGTCTACCGTCTAGATCTAGAATCTAGATAGGCACATTCATGGGGCACTAGAGGGCGCTTTGCGCGCGTACGAAAATCTGAATGGCCTTGCTGCGGTGGGTCGGCAATAATCAGCCCAAAACATGGATATGGGAGGGTGGAAGGATATATCTTTTTTATAATGTTATCTGGTCTTACCCTTAACCATCCTATGTTTAATCTATGTAGAAATAACATGCGAGTACGATAAGAGAAACATCGGGCCCATTACTGATGCAACTTTTAAAATATTAGCCTAGAAATGACCACCAAACGGAAAAAATTGACATTTTTTCCCGACAAATCTACATAAAATCTGATTTATAAACAAGTCACATCTAGGTACACTAATACAAATAAGATTTTCTGAAAATTCAGGTATTATTTTTTAAGTTTCTTTCAAGTATATTTCTGCGCATTGCAGCGCCAATGTTCTTCACTGCTTCAAAATCACCCTTGAAATATTTTTTTTGCAACGAATTTGTTACGAGGTCCGCGAGTGTTCCCCGTTCCTTGCGTGTTGAAAGTTTGGTAATACATAGTTTACATTGACTCGCGCACGAAAAAATGGTCGAAAACAAAATGTCAAATGAAGAAATAAACAAGCTTTTGTATAGTTATAAGAGTTCTACCGAGGTTTCTTTGTCGATTTAATTTATTATATAGTCTCAATTAGAATTCAGAATTATCTCACTGAAAAGTTAAGAAACCGACGATGTAGTTATTTTCATTTTGCCAGCAGCCGATCTAGCGTTGTTTGGGCAAAAAGCTAGGCCGCTGCCTTCCCACCACGAACCTTTCCGAGTCCCGCTAAAATGGCGCTCTGCGGAGCTCCGAAGCTGCGTTGGTATCGCTGCAAACTCTCAGCCGGCTAGCTCCCCACGCCGGACCATTCGCGGTATGGCGAGAGTGTGTGTGTGAGGTAAGATTTTGGATTCGAGAACGCACGTAATGCAACCGTGCGCGTCATTTTCAGCTGTCGAATGTATACGACCAATTTTACATGTACGATTTTTAGTACAGATACTTGGTCAGTTTTCTTCTTATATCTTTGGTTTTACAACATTTAAAAATATAATTTCTTCAAATTTGCTCCTGACTCGGTTCAGACTAATTGTCTGATGTGTTTTCAAGTCAATTTTTTAATATATTTTTTTGCATGAATTTAATTTGCCTAATCTAGGTCTAGATCTAGATCTAGCTAGAATGTTCTGGGGTTTTGTATTCATCTCGCCAGAATCTGTAGAATTATCAAATTCAATAATTCAAATAAATATCTAGACTATGTAGCTGTAGTAATCCGAAACAGTTAATCGTTGAAGTTTGGTCATGTTCTATAACTTCTATTCAACTTGGCGGTCGTGCACCTGTACCTGTGCACCGATTGGTTTAACATGACGGTACATAAATTGCTATGTGTGGGTCAATAATTAAGAGCATATGGATATGCCAACTAGTAAACCTGAATTTATCCTTTAAAAAACAATTTCATAAGTCATTAATAATCATCCGACTGCTCATACACTTTATCTCAATAAAATTAAGCAAATATACCTCAATAGCTCCAGAGAAAGCTTCAACCAAAAGCACATCCATTATGTCGCTCAGAGATCAACTGAAGCTAGCCGCTTAGTATAAGTAGTATACGTCATTCGTTCTTCTCGATCTCATTAGTAAGCTCTGATTGCAGGTGCTTAGTTCAGCCCCAATGAAAAGTGCATCTGTCATATTTGATGTAAACATTATTATGTAAATGATTCTTAAATCGATATGATGTATTGGTTATGGATTTGGTGTAGGCCTATGTACTCCCCCCCCCCCCCCCCTTCACAGGATAATTTTTGGCAACCTTTCTGTTTGGCCCGGCCGCCCAGAACCATATTCTCCACTCAAGCCCCCCCCCCCCCCCCCCCCCGTCTCAATATTTCAGTAGGCCTAATGATTTTACACATTCCTTCTTTCTTTCTATCTCATGTCTTCCTGAATTGTATCTTAATAGGAATGCTGAAAGAATGATGATGATAATGATAATAGTATACAAATATACACCGTCTTGAGAGGTTCTGGTTAAAACTATGAGCAAGAGGCGACTCCAATAGCAAATGGTACTTTTCAAGTCACTGAGGCCCATAGTTTTAACCAGTACCGTACCTCGAATAGAAGGCATGGTATATTTGCTTTATATCCTGCATCAAAAATTTGTTTAAAAATTACCATTTTTGAGAGAAAAAAATAAAATTTAGTACCCCAAAAAATGTCAATTTTAAAAAATTTGTTTTTCATTAAATTAAGATTTGAAAGAGAAAAAAAAAAATCATTAATTTTTCAACTCCCAAATAGTACTCTCATATTATAGTACTTTTTCAGAGAATCCTTAAAATAGTTGAAATATTCCTGGTCACGTGACGAGCTCTCAACCAATCAAAAACCAATAAACTTTTGATGTATTGTATAATAATTATAATGATCGATAACAATTAATGTAATACACTCGTAAGATGAAGATGAAGAACTATTAAGAAGAACAAGGAGGAGAGGAGGAGGAAAAGAAAGAGGAGAAAATGAAGAAGAGAAAGTTCTTAATCAATACTACTTAGAATCATAATGTATTACAGTCCATTCCAATAATAAAGCTATGTCAAGACAACATATGTTCATATTCTTGATTTATACCTCTTTATTGATTCCCTTCACCAATCAAACCACACATGTTAGTGTTTGTCAACAAAACTACAAACTTTTGTGTCATCACTATCAAAAAGTTATTAAAAAATGATGAGTAAAAACGGCATTCAAAAAGGTGATGGATAGCACACAGTGTACTGTTAAAATATTATCTTCTACAATTAAGAAATATTTAGATTTTGAACATCATCAAAAAAAGTGATCAATCACCAGCTGCAGAACTCTCTATATATTTGCATAGTCAGGTTATGTTATTTTTTGTTAAAAATCAGCTGCTTGAATGTTGAAAATATATGGATAAAAGAGATAATATATCATAAATAGCAAGGCTTCATGACATTCTTGTCCAAGGTGATATTCAAAGAAATTATTCAAGACTTTGTTGAAGTTGGAAGTAGAATATTTGCCACTTTATGATTCCAGTATCAAAATCACAGGGAAACAAATTATGTAAAAGATAAATTTAAAAAAAATGACAACTCTTTTCAATAAATGGTATTCAATGAGCAACTAAGATTCCAGTTAATGTAACAAACTGGGGAATATGTCATGAAGTATGAATATCTAAAAAGAAACTAAAATCATATCTAAAAGTCTACAGTACAAGTTTGCTTTTGTTATACAAACATTTTGAAAATATTTTTTTGCAAAAATTGTTAATTGCAGTAAAACATTGTCACTACCTAACAGATGCCTTAAGCAAACATGAAAACAACGGTACCATCAATAAATTCGTTCACTGTGCTTCTACAGTAATGCACTAAATCAGATTGTAGCAAAATATAAAAGTACATATAACATATTCCAGAATATCCACCAGATTTGCCTTTCAGAATTGCTACAGATGTTTGTGCACTGACATCAAAGACTACAGATGCGACTACACTAAATTGCAAAGAAAAATACCTGTGCATCACACAATACAAGAACTACTACTGCAATAAGAACAAACACTTGAAAAACCCACACACATTATAAGACTGCACTGATTGAGAAAGACTGTCTAGAAACTACCTACTTCTAATCCACTTCATACAAAAATATTCAACAAAGTATTCCTTAAAAAGCATTTTATTGAACTGGATTGAAACAAAATGATTGTTTTTATCATAATATGTCGCCATACATACATTCTTAAAAAGCATGATTAAATCCTGCTTTAAAAATTCAGCTTTGTACAAGTCGCATATTGACATAAAAAGACTACTTACTAACTCGCTATACATGTATAAAAATCATCAATTAAAAACAGAATTTAAACTGAAGAAAATATATCATGAAAGGTTTGTAACCTTATATCCCTACAAAAAATTCATATACAGTCTACGCCGGTATCTGATGAAGAAACCATCATTATCTTCTTTGTTATTTCACAAACAAATTACGCATCTTGCATTGTAGAGGTACCTCTAGCTAGGTTTCTAGTTAGCTACAAAGTGGCAAAGCAGACATAAAGCAAATTTAACTTGTTATCGGTCATTTTTTAATTTTAAACTTCATTCTCAAAAAAATGAAAACCCTTCTGACATTTGGAATGTATCAGACATATGACTCAAACTACATTGTATGCACAATATATATACTACTCTGATTTGAATGGAATGAAGGAAGAATGTAAGTGAGAAAGTTATTGCATTAGACTTACACCAGGATAAGTGATATATTTCACAGTTGGAAGACACAGTTTAATCATTACAACTTAACAAATCTGCCCACACTAAACATTAATTAGTTGTATAAGCCCTGATGTGAGTGGAAGCTTAGGCTGAAGGACCCACAACAAAGGTACTGCTTCCCTTTAAGGCAATCAAGATGTCTGAGCTGAAGTTAGCAAAGAACCTGCGGTTGCCTGTCCTCTTTGGTACAATTCTCACTACATGGGTCACTTTCTCGTTGGGTTGGATCACTCTGCAAAGATACATATTAAGATATAATGTAATAGTTAGACAGAAAGAATACATCATGATATAAACATCACTTGCACTGGAAAAGATCTCTCTATAAATATAGAAATAGGGAAAAAAGTTTCAATAAGGACAAAATATTTTTTTTTTATCACATAGTTTGATCTACAGGAAAGTAAGCATTAAACTCTGTCATTTTGGAATACACATGTGCAGGCAAAAATGTGAACGTAATAAATTGGTAATGTTTTGTATTTCACTCATTCCTTAAACATTCCTTGAAAATAGCTGAAAGTATATTATTATTCCTTAAAAACAAAACAAGTATTGCCAAATGAAAGAGAATTTCAATACTTAATGAAGCCCTTGGGAAAAGTTTTTATCCTTGCAAGAATCCACTTAATAAAAAAAACACTGTACACCACTTGCCCATTGATCTTATGTACATCTCTCAAATATGTATTTTTAAGTTGATTTTCCTCAAATTCATCTACAATATACATTTTTCCTATCCATCTCTCTCCTGAAAAAAACCACTTCCCCTTTTTACCTCATACTTTCTCCAATCTCTCTTTCTCTCTCTCTCTTTCTCTCTATCTCTCTCTCCCTCTCTCTATGTTCATCTGTCTGTCTCTATCTCTCTCTATCTATCTTTATCTCTATCCATCTCTCCTTTTTTTTCTCTCTCTCTCTCTTTCATATATATATATATATATATATATACATATTTTATTACATACATATTTCCCTCCCTCCAGTCTTTGCTAATAATAATAATAATACATAAGATTTATAAGGCGCCAAATCCACTTGACAGTCAAATGCTCAAGGCGCAGCTTGTGCAAAAGATGAAAAATACATACATGATACATTTATACAAAGTGCGATAGGAAAGGTACAGACATGAAAGGTTATGGTAATCAATTATAAGCTAAATTAAACAGATATTTCTAGAGATTGTTTTTTAACACTTCAGCAGAACTGCTATTCTTAATCCATTGAGGGAGAGTATTCCACAATGAAGGCCCAGCATGAGTGAAGGTTCGCTCCCCCCACTTTGTTTTAACCCTAGGAGTAACAAGTATAAGCCAGAGTTTTGAGAACGTAGCTGTCTAGAAGGAAAGTGATGCTTAATCAAGCCGATGTTATACTGCGGAGCAGAGCCATGTATACAGTGAAATAAAAGCAAAATAATCTTGAAAACAACAAGTTTTTTTCTACGGGCAACCAATGGAGTGATTTGAGGACTGGTGTGATGTGACTGTACTTGTTGGACAGGGTCACGACACGAGCAGCAGCATTCTGTAATCTTTGTAATTTTCCTCCTATTATACAACCATTCATTTAAAAATAAAAAGACCAATCTTTCATAGACTCATACCTGAACTTATCAGCCTTGAATCCATCGATATCCGGTCCTTCAATGCGGAACACTCCATTCCTGATAGCCTTATCCAAAGGATTGGTGAATGTGACAGAAAGCCTCATAGGTTGACCAACCATCAAATCCTCAGTGATCTAATAATCAAAACAAAACATATCAAAAACCACATATTATTATTAGTATGAAGGGATTGGTGAAGGTGACAGATAGACTCAAAGGTTGCCCAACCTTCAAATCATCAGAGATCTAATAATCAAAACAATACATTTAAATTTATTATTTGTATGAAGGGTTTTAACCCTATGTTACGTGGGGGGGGGGTCAAGTTGACCCCCCCCCCCCCCTGTAGCAATTTAGCGACTTCTCCGGAACCGGGGCAGATATAAAGTTTTCCTTTCATGACTTTTTTCTTTCAAGTCTTACACATCTTTTAAAGCAGTTTTTTTGAAAATCGGACGTATAGTGACAACGCCACGTGACCTTTTGTCTTTGCATGTCAGCCCGAAAATTCGCTCATTTTTTAGATTTGTGTACGAAACATTTGAACATATCATTTTTCCTAAAAAGAGATAAAACATTGGTTACCGTATTTGGTCTTGTTTAAAGTTAAGGTGTTTGTTTTTGGGTCAAAATAGTTGAATTGTAGTTACAAATGAAATAAAACAACAAAAACAAAAAAATACATAAATTTAAAAAAAAATGAAATACATAAGAAATTATCAAAACAAGAGATAACATAAGGAATAACCTGGCTCTTCCAATTTTTTTGTTGGTATTATTATTCCAAATGGTCTAACGAATATATGCAGTAAAAAAGAACGTTTAATTATGATTTATAGGTAAAAATGTGAATTTTATGACCTTATTTGCATAAATTACCATAAATATGCAAATGAGTGATTTTTTCAAAAAATTGAAATTACCATAATATTCTATACACTTCACTTGACATGCATGCAAATTTTCGCGGCGATAGGCTATGAAACGGCCAAGATCCTATGGGGGGTCAAATTTGACCCCCCAACGTTCCAAAGATATGGCAAACTCTTGCGTACTACATGAGCCCTGGTTATGCTCGATGTGAACTTAGACTACAACCAACCAAAATAACCAGTCAAAAATTCAGTGTTCTACCTTCTATTCTGAATGTATCTTGAGAAGTAACAAAAACAATAATTCAGAATCTACAAGATAATTTAGCATCTAAAACAAAGGATCTAAACTGTTGTTGACAACCTTAGAATTTATGCTAGATTTTTAAAGAAGGATTCATGTGATTATAAGAAAGATTTCTTACACTGAGTTCCAAGGTAGGTTTGTTGAGTACAAAGTCTTTCTGAATGCTGAAGACTTGTTTAGTTTGAGTCACAGACGACATGATGAAGAAAGTAAAACCAGCGTACTCTGTCAACTCAGGCATGTAATCAGCAGCTTCTACTGTAAAGGTCTCCGTCTCACCTGAAATTGAACAAGTTAAGATGATTTTAATAAAGGCTTGTTCAGATATAGCACGGTAAACCATCACAAAAATGCTGCCATGTTTTCTTTTTAAAGTGTAAATGAATAGCAACTGCAGGCAAGTTGTATGATATAAAAATTTGAAGCGTATTAAACTTCATGTCATCAAACAAAAATTTACTGTAATTTTGCCGCATCATAACTGAACGAGCCTTTAGAATATAGTTGAGAGTAATAAGCACTGTAGAGAATAACAATGTGACAACTTATCTTTCAATAATCTATTATACCTTCCAGAATATAAATCAATGTCTACTTTGTACCTATCATTCCTCATCTTTTTATCTCTCTCCCTCCCTCTTCCTATCCCTCCTTCTTCCTGACCTCCCTCCTCTCTCTCTCCATCAATATTTATAGCTATCATCTCAAACTTACTTTCCCCAGCTCTCATGGAGAATGTCCTCCTAGATGAGTAGACTCTGGTCTCCCTCTCCCTCCCTCCCTCCCTCCTCTCTCTCTTTCTCTCTCTCTCTCTCTTTCTCTCCTTCAATCTGTCTATTTATCATCTCAAACTTACTTTCCCCTGCTCTCATAGAGAATGTCCTCCTAGATGAGTAGACTCTGGTCTCCCTCTCCCTCCCTCCCTCCTCTCTCTCTCTCTCTCTCTCTCTCTCTCTCTCTCTCTATCAATCTTTATAGCTATTATCTCAAACTTACTTTCCCCAGCTCTCATGGAGAACGTCCTCCTAGATGAGTAGACTCTGGTCTTCCTGACTCCTGTGTAGAAGACTGTACTTCCTGTCAAGGTCACAGAACCACTTCGGGTCGTACTGCTCTTGTTAGTTGCAATCACCTACAGCAAGAAATAAAAATATTCCATTGGAATTTTAAAGTTGATCTTAATTTCTTGTTATGGAATTTATATTTTACATTTTAAACAATAATAATAATAATAATAATAATAATAATAATAATAATAATAATATGTCTTGTTTACCCAGGGTAGCCTCATCAGTATCAATACTGTTCTCACTTTTCTCCTGCATTAACCGAGCTACATCACAATCCACTGACTGAATTGCCAATTTGCGATTCACATAGACTTAGTCATCATATATATATATATATCAAACACTTATAAATAATAAATTATAATTATTGGTCCGATTCATTTCAAACTTTGACCACTCCATATTCAGTATGATTAGTTAGTATGAGCTGTTTGTATGGATGCATACCTTGACAGAAAAGTCTTTACCGATCATGGTTCCATCTGCTAAGACAACCTCAAACTCTACGTCCTGCTTGATGTCTTTACGGAAGTTCTTGTTCTTTGCCACATAGCGACTAGCATTGTACACAGCAATGCGCTCCAGAGATGAACCTACATATACAAATAATGGAATACTATTCAACATGGTATGCTATCACATGACCTTGACTAGGTTATCCAAGGTCAGTGTCTTATACATTTTAGCAAGTATCCTAAATTGACCTTTGATCCATATGAGCCCTTGCTCTAGCCATTATTCAGCGTGTCCACACACAAAACAATTTATCCCGAAACTCTATAACGAAACGTCGTATAAAGAATCATAGTATAAATTTCGAAGTGTCCACACACAAAAAACGTCATATAAATAATCATCGTATAAATTCAAGGATGTCCATAAACAGAAGAAAGTAATCCTGAAACTCTACAGTCTGGTCTCCTTTCGCTCGAGGTCACGTTAAGCCCCGCCCAGTTAGTTACACTAGTTACACTCCCCCTGTCCACACACAACATTTTCGTGATTAGGCGTGATTCTTTATTGAGTTTCAGTTCGAAACGATGCCCAAACCTGCGTTTCGTTAGACTAGTTTCGTTATACGACGTATCGTTAGTGAGCGTCCACACACACAATTTCACCGTAAAACTATCGTGAAACGGTACCACTATCGCGAAACGGTATAGCTAATCACGGAAAATGTTGTGTGTGGACAGGGGGTAAGTTATTGATTTGGAATGACGATGTGTAAAGAGGGTGAGGGATTGGAATCTATAGATTACATAAACAAGTAGGTTTAAGATAAATCTGTAAATTGAAAACTTATGACACCCTATCATATATATTTGTCTCGATAGTGTTATGGTATATATATTTCCCAATGATTGTGCTCATGAATAATAGTAATAATGATAATAATATCTGCTACATTAATATACACACATCGATCCTAGGGGATGCCCAAGATATCCACAAATTACTATTATTATCCTAGCTTTAGCCAAGCTGACCTAAGGCACTGAAATTCAATTTAATTTAATAAACAAAATGCATCGCAGCCATTGGCTGAATTGGGCATTTCTACATCATACAGAAATACAAATCAATATATTAAACAATTGAAATAGCGTTTGTATTTACATAACTGTCTACAATACATAAAATTTCATTCTCAAACAGCAATAATCACTCTAAAACATATGTTGATGCATTTCGCCGCTTTGCCTAGTTTGTCTAATAAACTAACTTGTCATGTTATTGGTATGAGACATTAAGAAGAATGCATTCTTTACCTTCTTTATACTTGTATTCCTCTGTGATGTCCTGACGAGACTCAGCCAGGACAGCCTTGGTACTGATGTGATTCCCTACTCCTTTGGGATCAGTAGTAATCACTTGAGGAGCCTGAAAGAAAACACATATTCAATAGACATGAATTATTTTCAGTTTGCTAACTATGATAGAACAAGAGGCCATTCCATGAAGCTAGCCAAAATAAGAAGCCGCCTTGACATCAGGAAACATTTCTATAGCCAGAGAGTTGTAAGCAAATGGAACAAGCTGCCACAAACTGCCATTGATGCTCCCACACTTCTCACCTTCAGGAGTAATTATAACATTGGATATCTTTATAGGGAACATATCCAACACACACAATGCTCAAGGCGCTCCAATATTACCCAGAGTCTGCAAGATAGGCTACTGATTTTGGTGCTCACAGCATTCAAGGTACCTATTAAGCACCTGGGTGGAGAGTGGCAAATGTATATTAATGTCTTGCCAAAGGACATTGAACAGTGAACCATGTGTCTACAGTCCAAAGACGTAGTTTGAAAGAGAATGTGGTTCGAGCAAAAAATCAAGCAAATCTGAAAGGTTTCGCTGAAATTTATCTTGTTCCTTTGATGTTTACAAATTGAAATTGATGTATGTAACTACCCAGTCTTCATCTGGAGCTTACTAGCAAGACAATGTTAACATGCTCAAATCAGTCTTTGAATTGAATATCCTTCTAGGCCTTGGCAGACAGTATTTCAATAATCAAAAGTATAATCAATTCCTATAATATTGTGTGTTTTTTTAAATATATTATACTGTATATATATATATATATATATATATATATATATATATATTTTTTTTTTTTAAACTTGTAAATGTATGTTTATATTTCATGTATATACCTATGTATTTTTAATTGATTTGCTGGAATTGAAATAAGCGAATTCAATTGAATTTAAGGCAGATAGTAGTAAATCAAGAAAGAGAAAAGCTCATACGTGACGAGCGTTCTTGGGTACTGTCCAGTAGACGGTCTCAGCATTGACTTCGGAGAAAGCAAACTTGGTGTCGTAGTCTAGATACACATGACCTTGCTTGATAGCCTTCAAAGAAGCTGGTCCCATCCGGAATTCACCTGAAACAAAAGAACAAAACATACAATTAACTGTGCTCTACATTGACATATTTATTGCTACTGTCTTTCAGAGTTTCTCTTCAGCAAGTATTGATATACATGTAGATCACTTGCAAGAGATCCGGGAAAGAAAAATCTATTGAAATAAAGTGTCTTTTCCTACAGAAGCTAATAAGTCAACAGATTTTAATAAGCAGACTTTAGTAGGTACACTGGAAGCCTGGAAAGTGGGCAATGCATGCAGTATTATGCATTGTGTCATGTGACCTGTAATGTTTAAGTATGGAACATTTCTACAGAACTGAGAAGGTTAAATGATTTTATGTCGACAGCTTGTCTGGAATCTCCGCAAAATGCAAAAAATTGAACAGCGTCAATTTTTTTTTCCATCCTTTTTGTTTTGCTTCCATTTAAAATTATTTAAAATTATTAAAAAAACTTGAATTCGGCATAAATATTCATAATTGAATGACACACGGCCTTAAAACTAAAACAACAACAACAGAGGATACCTTTTAAAAAATCCACCTCTGGAGACAGGTACGCGATTCTGTTAATAGCATTAGTGCTATAATTAGATTATGGTGACTTTCTTCAGAAGTGTGTACCTGGGCAATTCCAAAAATGTCCAGAAAGTACAGTCGAACCTGTCTACAAAGACAATGTTGTTTGTTTCCCTTGAAAATGGTTTCTCATTGAAACATGTACTAAAAGAACCTGTCTACAAAGACCACTTTTGTGTTTCCCTTGGACCATTGCTAGAGACAGGTTTGACTGTAAGAGTATTTGAAATCCTGTAGAAGCGTGCTGATCTATGAGTTTATAGATAAAACTTGATTCTTACCGTGACTAGTTTCTTGAGGTGTAGAATCCAATGCTTGCCATCCTCCATAGCCCTCTGGCAAATCAGGTCGTGCAAACCAGACATCATTCCACACATGGAAGTTCCTGATAAACAAAATAAACAATTAATAAACATGCATCAGATTTGTACAAAGTTAGTAGGCCAATGCTTCAAAAACCAAGTTGATATTGATTATGCCATATACCATTAGTAGTTTGGTAAGGTATACTAAGTATACAGGTTTATATAGCACTTAACATGTCAAAGATGTCCTTTACGGATATATTGTCACCCCAGTCATCAAATTCAGGCTTGCCTGCATACAATGCATGCTTATTCTCCACTCCCTGGGGAGTAATCCAGCCAAGACCATTTTTACAGACACTCACAATGCTAGGCAGCTTACAATGACTTTCACAGCCAACCAAGTACCAACTTAACACCTGGGTGGAGAGTGACAAATGATGATTAATGTCTTGCCAAAGGTTGTTAGTGCCAGGCTGGGGTTCAAACCCTAAACCCTTGGATTAAGAGTCCAGTAAATGAATTACTATACCATAACACCTCCTCTATATAGATTGCTAACTTACCAGATGCTGTCATCATTCAAGTCTTCTAGAGGATCTCCTTCCTCGTTGAAGTGATAATCAAGAGTGAGATTAGCATCACTGTCATGGGCAGACTCAAAGTTTGTAATGGTACGGCATGGAATACCAAGGGTACGGCACACTGTATATACAAACAAAAGACATAGTATTTGATGAGTATTATGAGGCATTCTCTTCATATACAAATTCAACTCATATTTTATAAAGAAGTGCTTTTATTATCTCTGATTCGTATGATCAATTTTACATTTATGTCTTAATTTAATTGAAAATTTGAATGACCACTAACATTAAATTCTTGTTGTTAAAACCTACTTTTAGTGTTAAATTAAGTTTACATTAGATCCATCAAATATCTCACAGCTTACCATGAAATCATAGTGTTTAACAGGTAAACAGACAGATGATTAAAATAATGGATCCCTGACACTATGGATTTCAAGGGCTTCAAAATCTTTGCACACACTGAAATTTTAAACAATCTGAAAGTATACATTTACGTATAAAAGACAGATGAATACCATTATTTGTTAAATAACAATTAAGTAGTTGATACTAACATGTAGTGAGAAGACTTCCAAAGACCCAGCATTGTCCATACTCTACAGGAGTCTCAGTCTTCATGTATTGTGACAGGATAGAGATACTACCATTCCATGCGGTAGGTTCTACACCATCAGAATAATCACCACTCCAGTTACCTACTAGAACACCGTCATCATCCTGGGAGTTCACCTAATGGAATGCAACATGGGTTATGATTATGATAAATAATGGTGAAGAGTCTAGTTTTTCAAAGACTGATATCCATGGTTAAATAGGTACTTTTATAAAATGATGACATGGATCCTTACCAAATGATTGGTTGGAAGCGTACACGTGACCATGCATTTATTTAGCCTAACACGAAATTTAGATAACTACCAGTCATTATCCTATGGTAATGACCGGTCATTGGCGATCAAGTTTTACGATCGTAACCATTAAGACTTCATCGTTTTACTTTTACTATAGTTTTCTGCGTACAACAGAAAACCCAAATTATGTATTCTTTTATCAATATTTGTCTTCAAACACTTTTGGGGGAGGGGGAACTATGCAGAAGTATGTCTTAATAGACTCTTAAATGACATCCTCTTTCACATTTTGATACAATTAAAGTAAAATTTTGCCATCAAATTGTTGGCGAATTTAGGGCTCCCAACACTTTAGAGGGGCTTTAACACACAGATGCCAATCAAACGATGCTACAGCTAGTTTAGAGCTAGCTTGACCTTATGATCTGTTCTTTACACATAGGATTTAAAACATGTTGATATACTTACCAGAGCAGAAAGGACCCTGCAGATTTCAACAGGGCTAGATCGATGACGGGATGTCATTCGAGACTTCTTCAGCAAGTAAAGAGCACATTCTAATGCTACCTCTTCAAACTAGGAGATAAAGACAACCGATTGGCATATCGTCACCTTCTTAAAATAATGGCCTAAGTCACATTTTGAAGAAAATTATATATTTGCCCAAGCCATGCATCTCTTCGTGAGGCTATCCACCTTTGTAAGTGGCATATGTGCTGAATCTAACATACTCATGCTGCTTATACCCAGTTAGTATAATGGTCTACCGGTAAGTCAAGCGTGTGTAGGAAAAAATATATATTATTGAGTAAACCCAAAGTAAATGAGTCATCTAATCTTCTTATGAAAGGGATTAGATAGACAGCATTATTTGTATTTCAATAGTCACATATCCCCAAACCTTTCTGTGTAAAATGAGCAAAAAATATCATTTATTCTATGTTTGGTTCGGTTTTCTCAGTTTTTCTAAAATCTTGAAAATATGACTTTGGCCATTATTCTAAGCAGGTGACGATATATAGAGTGACTTTTCAAACCATACAAATATATATATTGTTATTTTAGCATGCCTAATGGTCCTTGATACAGACATTTACACAAGTTCAGTGGTGCAGGTATCAGCAGAGTCCAAAAGAGTTGACATGTGTCATGCATGAACACACAAGATATGATTAGTCCATTCATACTGCAGGCCAAGCCACAGATTTGGCGATAATAGGTCGTTATAAATGCACTTTTATGGCCTCAAGCCACAACTTCCATTACAGCATTCAAATTATACCTCACTATGACAACTATGCTACATGCTACAGCCAAACAAGAATACAATTTCATTACACTTCCAAACTGTAATAATAGGTGTGTAATCAACGTTGGCGGTAAAATCTACTTTCTGAATGTAATAGGATTATCAACTCTCATACCACAGGCTACTAGGCTAAGTGGCTGTTTAATCTACTTTCTGAATAAAGTATAGAATGATCAACTCTTATGTATACCACAGGCTACTAAGCTAAGAAATTCATCAAATCTACTGCCCCCATAGCCTTTATCATAAGAATGTGTATTACCTTTAGATAAACTTAAGCTACTGTTAGTTTGAAATATTTCAAATCTACATAAAAATATCACATTTCAAAAGTGCTTCAAATTCAAATTTGATCAAAAGATTCTATTCAAATAAAGGCCACAAATTTGTGACCGACAGCGCTATGACTGACTGCCCTAAAGTATCAAACTGTTCTTTTCTATAATCATATATGGCCAGATGCAGACCACCTTGTGTGTGTCTGCATCAAAAACGGATTTAATTTTTAAACATCTGTCACATCTGGCCACTGAAGAAGAGTGTGACACTAACCTGTTTTTGTTTTTTTCTTTATTTGGACAAGTCATCGCCCTTCGCCTGCCGGATGGAGGGTTTATAGGCCTTCTTTTGTTTGGGTTATTCACATTGGAATTTATCCCTACTCTGATTGTATTAAACCAATTATCACCAAGCATTCAAAAGGATTGTTCAGAAATGGTAAAGTAAATCGCCACAAAAAAAACACACCTCGTTTATTTTTTAAAGCATGTACCGTATTTGCCGGCGTAAAGGCCGCAGTATTTTCGGGTGAGAAAAAATCAAAAAGTCGGGGTGCGGCGTATACGCAACAACAACAAAATTCAGCGGTCAAAACATCACGTCCATTATTTGTAGGCAACTTCATACAACAAAATATATTAACAAAATTGACTTGAAAACACATCGGACAAGATCTTTTCTGAACCACGTCAGCAGCAAATTTGAAGAAGTTATCTTTTTAATCGTTGTGCAACCAAAGAAATAAGAAGAAAACTGACCAGAAACTCGTACTTGTAAAGTTGTAAAAATGTCCTTAAGAACACCGATGATTGCGCGCTGTGCATCTCCGAAGGTGCGTTGGATTTGTTAGCAACTCCAGCCCCGTAGCTCCCCACCACAGAGTGTGTGAGTAAGGTATGATTTTGGTACCTTACTCACACACTCTGTGGTGGGGAGCTACGGGGCTGGAGTTGCTAACAAATCCAACGCACCTTCGGAGATGCACAGAGCGCAATCATCGGTGTTGTTAACTTTTCAGTAAGATAATTCTGAATTATAATTGAGACTATCTAATTAATTAAAGCGACAAACTAACCTCGGTAGATCTCTAATAACAATACAAAAGCTTGTTTATTTTCTCCATTTGACGGTACGATAGGGGTAAGACCGGATAACATTATAAAAAAAAAAAACATCCTTCCACCATGCTTCCACCCTGCGATAGGTTGGCCATTCTGGTTTCTGTATGCATGCGAAGCGCCCTCTAGTGTCCCATGAATGTGCTAATCTGCCTAAAAATCGATGAAGATTTGCTAAATTACGATCATTTTTTAGGTAAACTTCCTGTAAATTTATAAAATGATTGATAATTTTGGTATTAGTTTGTAGGAGAAATAGAGTTCTACGGGAAAATTACAATTATTTTCTTTGGTCCGTTTTTTTTTTTTCCTTTTTTTTTTTTTTTCCCCTTTTTTTTTTTTTTTTTTTCTCTACGAAATGTCAAAGTTGGGGGTGCGGCCTATGCGGGGGTGCGGCCTTTACGCCGGCAAATATGGTAAATGAATGGCACCTGCGCGCAACAAAGATCCTACAAATATTCACTTAGCTGTGTGTTATAAGATACAGAAATGTGAAGCTTATTACACTTCACATCATCATTTTTTTTAAATGCCCCGGTTTTGCTGCATCATATCTCAACGAGCCTTGACAATATAAAGTTAGCCTACCTGTCCTTGGTACCATGCAGATGATCCAATGTTTGATGCTGTTCCATAGAAATAGGCACCATTCTCGTTCATCACGTATTCCTTACGCCATTTATCATTCTCCATGTACACATCGTCCTCTGTTTAAAAAGATAAAGAACTACTGTTATGCTATGGTCACATAACCCAAAAGTAGCCTGCTCGGCGGCCGAGCGGCGAGTTTTTAACCAATTCTGCCCGGCGGCTGCCCGGCCACCGAGCGGCGGCCGCCCAGGCACCGCTCGTTTTTAGGGCATCGCTCGGTCGCCGCTGAAGTTTTAGCGCGGAGTTAAAATTTGGGCGGCGCCTGCTCACTTTTCAGTCGCCGCCCAAAATACGCTCGGTGACTGGGCGGTCGCTGACCGGGCACCGACGTAATCGCTGGGCGATGCCTAATTCCAGCAGCGACCGAGCAGGCTACTGATCGGTCGGTCGCTGCTCTGATTTGTGACCATAGCTTTAGTGAAGTTTATATACTGTGTGTACTTTGTGATGCTGACAATTCCTCTTCTTCTTCTGTAAAATGTGTAACTTGCATCACAAGGAACTACTGTTACTCTGTTAGTTTTGTTTTTATACTGTGTGTGCGGTGTGTTGCTCATAATTCCTCTACTTCTTACTCTGTCAAAATATGTAACCTTCATCATTGGAAATCAATACACTGCAGAGGGGTTGGTGTTATTATAATTTTAGAATATAATTTTAATATAATATAAAATATAATATAGAACTACATGTTCGAAATTCATTTCACAAAAAGGTTAGCAAAGCAAGGAGTCTGAGGTACATTTCTTGATTCTGGAGGGAAAAAACGGGATAAGTCGTGCAATTCTTAAGTTAGGACAAAGAAAGTCCATGGTGAAGAAGTAAAAATTTTGCAGTTTTAGTAACGGTTTGTTAGCTTAGTTTCCAAGCTAGTAATTATCATATTACTATCAAATATTTTTAGAAGAGTTTTTAACAAAAACTTACTCTTGCACCATGGATTGAATAAGATGATAATATCATCTTCACACTCATAGCGATATTCGTCCTCTTCTTTAGTCTGTGCTGTACAAACAACCAGCTGGTATTCACCAACCAGAGCATCACATGCAAGGTGAACTTTCATGGTGACCTTGTTACCGCTTGAACTGACGACCTGCAGACCAAAGTCATCTGGTGGTGGAGCACGGGTCACCAAGTCAATTGGAACACGGCTACCCGACGCCACACTTGGTCTAGAACCTGCAACGCAATAAACATAGGATAAGTAATTGGTGATCAGAGATGAATTTAAAGACTTTTCAACCAGTCAGGTAGAAAAGATTTCCTAACCAATTTAATCTCCCCAGGGTACTCTGTTTTCTACTCACTAGAATGCAATTATCAAAGGTAAATTCTCATTCATAACCTAAGGTACTGGATTGTTCACTGACTATAACTCTAATATCAAAGCTAAACTTCATCATCAGTTTATGACTGCCAGGTACTGTTTTTTTCACCACTGAGAAAATAGTTATCAAAGGTTACTCAGTAATCAATCTGTCACTAGCTGTAAATCTCAGAAAGTCTTCTTACATTACAGATTACAAGAATTCCTTAAAACCAAAGAAAAAGCATTTGGCATATACGCTGACAAATCAGTTTATTTGAAAATCAATCCCTTTTACACATCCGCTGAAATAGTTCAAAGACAAAAACGGTCAAAATGACCCATCCTTACCCATAAGCAACTCTAGAGAAAGAGTGTCCTTTGCGCTGCTGTATGCCCGGTCAAAGGTCACACACATGTCCATGACCTGACCCCTGCGAAGAATCAGTTGATCGACCTCGTACGCATCTGTGTGATGGGCCTTCTTGTTAGCTTCAGAGCACAGGTCCACGGCTGTCACTTTCAACTGCTTCACTGTAAAGATATACAGAAATGGTTACAATAAACTAACAAGGTGTAAACAGTACCTTTGACATTTGTAAAGCTGTTGTGTATCTTTTTGGATATACAGTATGTGTCTGTAAGGAAAAAATAATAAAACTGAGCTGAACAATAATTTGATAGTGAAAATATTGGACAGAGGTTTACCCAAACAAAAAAATTCATTTCCATGATAACCACGTGATCTGAATGATATCCCCTCCTATTTGCTTGCTACCCCTTTTTTTTCTGTAACCTTGCTATTGATCAAATAAAACCAAGAAAAATGAAAAAGTAAATGTTAGATACTAGCACACACCTTACATGGACTATTAAGTTTAAATGTTGAGTACCAGTAAGGGAATAAAGAATAGAATAGAATATTGTTTTGAGAGAAACTGTCTCAAAGTAGATATAATTCTAATTGGTAGGTTGTTTAGAATAGTAAATGTAAACATACTAATGGAATCTTATGAGAAATCACATTCATTAAAAAGCATAATTCAAATGCATATTCATAGGAGTCAAGAGGAAAATATGGAGTAGTCATCCTGACCCATATGAATACTTGACTGGTGGGTTTCTTATTTTTGTTCCTCATTACCAAGGTATCATCGGGCTTTCTAACAAAGTCATTAGGCAGACAAGTAAAATGTAAACATTCAGTGCCTTCTTATACACTCTCCTTCCCATCTCTCAATCTTTTCTAAAATGTATCCTACCTGGTAGTAGAATGGTTTTATTAGAACAAGTGCAAAATGGTAGCCCGAAAGCTAAATTACATTGCAAGTTTTACAAGCTCAGTTTTAAAAAGCATTTCAACAAAACTTAGATATAGACAAGTACAAATAATACACAGTAAAATAGATCATTACTTATTCCATACTTATGATACAAATAGAATAGATTCCTCATTATTATTATTTTTTTAATCATTGTTAAGTGAGGAATATTCATATTTTAAATAGAAATTGAGGCTGATTAATTGAGTTATAACAAGTAAATACTAGAGATTTGTTACTGTTGAACCGCAATAAAATGCAAATTGAATGTCTATTGATAATGCTACACAATATATGAGGATTTATCATAGAAACATGATTAAACAATAAAGAAAGAGAGAGAAAGTGTCAGGAAGAGAACGATTTAAAGAGAGAGAGTTAAGTTAGAAAGAAAAAAAAAGGAAAAAATGTGGAAGATGAGAGAGAGAGAGAGAGAGAGAGAGATAGGGAGGGAGCGGTATAAGAAGAATGGAACAGATGGAACTGTGAAGAAATGGAGAATAGGAATGATGATGATAGTAAGACAACAAAGGGAAAGCGATTAGAAAGAAATTACAAAGTAAAATATAAAGTATCCTACCTGTCTCCTTGGCCTTCTCAATAACGAGTGGTTGAGTAGATACATTCCTTCTGCCTGCAGCTGGTACCAGTACAGAAGCTTTCCTGACTGTGTACGGCTCATACCGAGCTGAGTAACCAAACCGGGATGGAGTACGAGAGGTACGGGTGGAACGTCGAACCATGATGGATGGATGTTATACTTACCTGTATTGATCTGGGACAAGAGGGAGAGATAACAACAGGCATAGACCATTGTAAGAATACTTGCTTGAAATTACAATGTACTTCTACTTCTACTTCTACGACGATACTCAGCAGGATCCATAAGTCAGGATGTAGTGCTGAGGAATAAACTATCTAGTTCTTGGTCTAGATGCTGGGTGGAAGCGCTCCCTTGAAGCCCTCCAGTGAAGTAACTTGGCAAAGCGTTAATTTTTCGGATCAAATGGAGACAGAACACGGACATGCCATGGACATTTTTGGAAATTTTTCCTAATGGCCGTTAAATGTTTTTGCTGGACGGCCGGTCGATTTGAGTTCTGAGGACCTGTTGACATAGGTTAAGCGAGCTGGTCGAAATTCTCCAATTGACATGACCGAATTTCAGTGCGAGTCTCCCCCCCCCCCCCCCTGAATGGGGATCTCGTGTTGAGAAGTTTAGCAAACTTATAATGCTTGAAGAACTATTTGTAAAGTAGGGGGAAACCTCATTTTCATCATTGTCAAATGCATTTGGAAGAGATCGTCACCCAAAGTAAAAGGTGACTCCGGTAACTAAAGAATATTTTGTAAAGATGGGATCGTACTCAAAATGAAAAAATGGACAGAACAATGCATTTTCGTTTTAGCACGAACTACCAAAACCTAAAACCTAGTGACAAGTTATTCCGTTGACCTGTTATTTATGAATGAACTACAATACTTATTCAGTCTGCATACATTACTCATTGCTATGTTGGGCAAGCCTCAGATAAGTTCAAAAAGTATGCATAAAATTTGAAATGTTAGTAAAGCGGTATACTGACAGGGTACATAGAAATTGTAGGCATAGAGTCATTGTATATTTACTTAGAAAGAAATTACATTGTTCGTGAGTTAGAAAGCACATTAATAGTACATTCTATAACTGTACAATTCATGCTTGTGAAACTGCAGGACTTCTTTTGAAGGAATATAATTCAAGCTTTGGTTGCTCAGATGAAATACACAGACTTACATGTAGCAATACTAGATGGAAGTACATGTACACTTTCAAACAGAAAATAGACAATAAAACAAATATCCTCTCAGCACTTCAAATAACAGCCACAAACCCAATTTTACCTGGGTGTCAAGTTACATACATGTACGGACACACGTACATACACATTTAGATAGACAACAGGAAGATACACATTACAGATGAAGGTCGTGGGATGTATCAATTTGTACATATTGGTGTCCCTGGGAAGAAGATCAATGCAACATATTTGCTGGGCTTGAAATCTGTACATTTTACATATGATTTCTCTTCAATGCATCTGAAAAGGGAAATATAAGTAGACCTGAATCTGAATCTGAAAAGAAATACACTGCATAGGTATATAAATTACCTGTAATAATTCAATAGCCTGTGATTGCCTGTAATCATGACTAATGTGAATTGAAGTGAAATGTACCAGTACAAGTAAGTTATTGCACCATTGATGTACCATCTGCAGACCAAACAAAATAAGCGGTGTTTTATTGCGTTTTATTTGTGCATTCACATCTTCAAATGTTTGTCTTATCTTATCATTGTTATAAACCCAGACACAGTATAAATATGATTAAGAAATAAAACGAACCTTTCAATACAATAACTTCAACTATACAAATTGACCTTTAAAAGCAAACACAAAGAAGATCCCTTTGTTATGAATGCCTATTTACCCTAAAATTTGTTGAGAATATTGACAGTGCTTCCCCAAAATGGCAAAAACATTTCATAACTTTGATGCTATTGTGCAAACTTCCCATTTTTACTTATAATCAGACATTGTCCATTCAATGGAATGGTGTATGAGTACAAGAAACGTAAAAATAGACTTTAATTGGATGAAAAGACATGATTATCTCTACCAGTTAATCTCTACAAGAAGTATTCTTGATGTCTTTTGTAAAGGATCTGTTGCATCCCAAACGATTTAAAGCTTAAATGCATACAACAGTTTAAGAAAGAAAAACAGAACACAATTAAAATATTAATAAGCTATTAGAGTTGATTGTCTGGCTAAACAGAACACCTTTTTTCTCATTGATTTTCTCCTTTTAATAAACATAGATGGAACCTTACACATGAATTGCATGCCAGGGTGAACTCTCAGAAACTCAAATTCTTCCCTCACATGGGTATGAGATAATAAAGAATCTCACCCTTTTGACATTTACTTAGTTACCATTCAAGAGGACCAATCAATCTATTATGTTTGCTCTCCACGCTTTTTGTTTGTTTTTGGGTTCCATATTACTTCTTTCAACACGTACATGTACTGCAAGTTTAACTGTAAGTACTGTATACTGGCCAACGCTTATAAATGTACACACCAATAAGCTTTCATGTGGAACTAAATATGGATTTTTCCCTTTATTCTATTTAATCTTAAACAAATTGCAAGCATCTTACTCAGTATTATAAGAGTGGTATTATGCTTAACAATGTTCTTAAAAATAATATTTTTTTCTGTATTTATTTTTACCTTTTTGGGGTGATCGATCTCCCTTTCAGAAAACAAACCTCACCCCTCTTGCTAACATTATAAAAGCAACATTTCATGAAACCACTAAGTACAAGTTTGCCAACAACCCATGGAAATGCATGTATGTGTTTCAACGGGATGTTAATAAACTTGTACATGTACATGTACTTATGATGATTTTGTGAAATGATGTCCTAATTGCCTCTCATATTTCTACCCGACTGCTAAAAACAGACCAACAATGCCGGAACTAATCTGTACATCAATTTAATATTCAGTACATATATGCACAAGTATGATGCTTGCTTTTTGTACACAGTGTTTGATCCCGGGCCTCATATTTAAAGGGGTAACACATGATCGTTAGCGGAGTTGATTTTCAAGAACATTTTCAACAAAATATTATCTCTTTCTTGCCTAAAAACTGGTACAAAATGTGCTCTTCTTCAATATAACCTTATCTATTTGGCTCAAGGTGCTAAATTTATCTTACATAATACAAGTTCCTGTTCCTCTTCAAAATACATGACCTTTGTTTTCTGAAATTTCTTGCCCTTTTTTTTAATCAAATCAGTTATACATTTCTATGTTTGCAAAAATCCCTGAAAAATACCCCATTTTCCCGAAATGTCTACAGTAACTACATATATGTACCAATTGTACCATGCCGATGCGGACTTCCTGATGAAGATGAACCCTTACAAACACATTGATGGGTTTGTCTGTATGGGTCAGTGATTCTATATAGAGATTACCAGGGTGTTTAATAGAGCCATCACAGGAGATCAATGAACAGGATGGATTAATCCTCTCCTCCTTGAAATATTGACTGCTTTTTATTGATTGAGGAAAGGGTAGGAATTAGTTACCATCCACAGACATGGCTCAGTTTAATCCTAAGACTATACATTGAGTGCATGGGCATGTACATTGTACTTCAGATTTACTGCATCATTGGTGCTAAATTTACCTCACATAATACAAGTCGCCTGTTCCTCTTTGAAATACATCACCCTTTTTGTGAAACTTCTTACCCTTTTCTTCAAATCAGCACACTTGTCTATGTTATAACCCCCCCCCCCCAAAAAAAAAAATAATAATAATAATAATAACACACCATTTTCCTAATATGTCCAACTACTTTTCCTACCATACGGACTCCCTGGAAATTAAGCTGAACCCTCACAAGCATATTAATGGGTTGGTCTGCATGGGTCAGTGATTCTGAGATTACCAGGGTGTTTTTAATAGACCCATCTTTTTAGATCAATGCACAGGATAGGTGGATTACCAGTAATCCTCTCTTCCCGAAATATTGACTGCTTCTTATTGATTGAGAAAAGGGTGGGTAGGTAGGTACTGATAATAATACAGACATGGATTAATCTAATCCTAAGACTATAGAGTGAGTGGGCATGTACTTTATATTTACCATAACCCTGTACAAATAGTACATGTACAATACCTTCTCTGTCATTTCTTAACCTTAGGTGGGTGCACTTAAACCCAATTTCAATTGACATGATTAGGTACAAGGTACAATTCACTAGAGATTACAAGTACTTTGCTGCCTAAATGGACTTGGATCATGAAAGGAATTAATTGCTAGCAGACTTTCAAGTGACTTGTCCATGGAAAGTGTTATTTAAATTACAGGTAGTCTCCACAAAACAAAAGACTGATGTAATGGTAAAATCTTTCTAACAGTATTATAAAAATTATCTGGCAGATTGAAAAATCTAAGAAAAAATTTATCTCAATCACTGATAAACATCCATGTTTTTTGTTTTCTTCAGATGGCATATTGAACTGGGCCCTTGCTGATTTGTTTTAAAACCCAACCTATATCCACAATCAGAAGAGCTCCATTAATCATTATTATGACCAGATAGAAGATAGCATGTACATGTAGCTTATAAACCATAAAAGTCAAACAGATATTTCCCTCAATAAAGGTCCTCTCCATGATAAATGATCTTTAAAATCTCACAATACATGTCCAGTCTTCCGGAGCAAATTCCTTTAAAAATCAATAGTGTAGTGACCTATTGTCTACTAGTGAACTAATCTCCGGTCTGCCATTTAATGAAAAGGATTCTATGAGCTGAGACTACTGGATATTTTCATCTTTATTGTATGTACTATTTTATCACCTTCAAAGTTATAATAATGTCTTGTTTACCCAGGGTAGGTAGCCTCATCAAGTACTGTTCTCTCTGAGGGCTCAAATTCATATTATTATTCCAGCTTTGACCGAGATACCATATTAAGGTATCACAGTTCAAAGTTCAAAATTATTTATACATACATAATGTACCAGGAAGTGAAAACAAGCTAATTATACATGTGGCTGTTGCTTGGTAGAAAGACATTTTACTTGTATGTGTACCAGCAACACTAGTATACAATTGAATGTATGCTTGCATGTACATGTATGTTCTTTGCTATCTAATATACTTAGGTGCATTCCAGCTCTAGATTATTTACTTAAATGGCTATGTTAAGTAACCTTGTTTAAAGAGACAAATTTGACATTTTCATATTGCTACATGCATGTACTACTGTGATAGTTTTAAAAGGGTTTTGAATTTGTTTTCAATTTATAACTCATTTTTCAAAATTTGTTATTCCTTTCAACGTCCTCATTGTAACAATACTTTTTTCTTCAAATCATTAAAAACTAAAAGTGCACTTCCGTACCATTTTTATTTTTAATGAGCAGAATACAAATCTTGACTTGTAATACTATTTCAGTTCCACAAAATAATCTACAATAACATGTACACTATAGATCAACCATATCTAATAACTGTTGGTCATCACATTAAAATTGGAGTCTGCATGACCTCAATTGAGAACAAAACCACAACAAAAGTCAGATTACGATATCTAAAACATTTGATTATCACAGCAGTCAAAACATAAAAACAAACTATATATATATATATATTTATACAAATTAAAGCAAAGTTTAGTACCTTCCAAACGTCATGTTTAACCCATCTTTTCTTCAGTAGAGACTAGCACATTTAAGTTTCAATCTTACTTTCAACTTGGCTCTCTCCAAAAGTCAAAGGTCGATCATGAAAACTTCTAAAAGATTCTTGATTACCAAATCAGTCATAGTCACACTACTACTCATCTCAGTTGATAAATGGTAGGTTGCCTGAATAAGCCAGGCCTTACATGCTGTGGCCCTGACACAGATTTTGAAATACTGAGTTAAAACATGAAAGTTTCCTAAGTGAGGGAAAAACTGTAGAAGAAGAGCTAATTCAGTAATTGACAAAACAAGTTATCTTCTGAAGTTCCAAGACAACTCAGTTCAGTTTATGGTAGATACATGTAGATCTAGTCTCAATCAAATAGGTGTGTCAAAAAAATGAGCAGACTTTAAAGTTTAAATAAAGAACGTTCTTTCTTGAGTTTCTTCACATATTGAACGAGTAGAAAAATCACATGTTAGGCGAATCCTATAGGCTGTAGTCAGTACGCTACTACTCTCGACCAGCTCGACTGACCAGATCAGAGTGGACGCGCCAAAGCTAAGGGGAGCGGGCTAGACTCGGGGCTGGGCTGAGCTTCCCGATCATGGACACGATGGAAGGGGAAACGCGACGAGTTTACCTTACAGTAACAATTTTACTTCTAAAATTGCATCTAACAACCGAGAATAGCCATTAAAATTACATTAAAAGTAAATGTTCCTTACCTCTAAAATTACAATCTGATAATGGTGTTCAAGTCAGAGTCAGTAGATGAGAGCGGACGACCACTGTACCAGAGTTATCAAGCTTCCATTTGGCAAATTAGAGACGCACCGTACCGTACCGACGCGACGCGGCAAAAAAACACAATTGCACCTATTGTTAGAGCCTGGAAGCTAGTATAGGGAGCTGATGGGTGTAGCCGGGGTGTGTGCACTGGCATGACTGGTCACTGGTGGTAGGAAAGAGGCTAAGCTCCTGCACCTGCAGAGGTACCAGAGCAGAGATTCGATCCTCCGCGATGAATTAGCATTATTAACGATACAAAATGGGAAAAACTGATCTGATCGATACATTAATTCTCCCAACTATATTATTACAATTTAATTACATTTTAGGTGAATGTAAATCGTCACAAAGCAATAAATTGACTCTGCATACCATTCCAGACATTTAAGTATTGACAGAATTTTAATAGCCAGTTTTATGTCTTTTTTTCATGAAAAAGCGGTTGGGAAAATTCAAAAATGGTTGGGAGAATTTACTGTTAATCACTGTTAGAGAGTGTTGACCAGTGACTCCTTCAAAGAAAACCATAGATTTCTCTGTGGTTTGAGAATTTGTTCAGGATTTTTTGCATGTCAGAGGGTTGGTACAGTAGAAGGAATATAATAATACAAAAATTATGCAATTTTTTCATCAACTTTCAACGATGTTACCGAGTCACTTTAAGAATTGCGTTAGTGATTGCAGAGACAAGTCTCGGCTGATCATAGTGACAGTGACAAATTTTGATACTGTTGACAACTTTAAAATATGTTTTGAAACTTTTCATGTTAAAACAATTTCCAATGGATCGTTAACTGCAAATTATGACTTCAGAAGAATACTGAGCATATTTAACTATTTTCTTCATTTTTCTTCTTTTCCCCCCTCTCTCCATAAGCCTACAGCGCATCGGGGACATAGTTATGTTTGGTATGGGCTTTATAAATCGTTATTTAAAACTAGGACTTTATTTTGATTTTATTTGTATTTCATTTTTAACACAACTAAAATGGCTCTTAAAGAGAAGGTTGAGTTCTGGGAGAGGTGAAGATAATTTGTGAGCGTTATCATTGATATTATGCAAGGGTGGAAGAACATCAGATTAAACATGTTCCCTGAAAAGCATGGCTCTTCAAATGCCTTCATATTCTAAATATGACATGAAACATCGTAAAAATCCGGGGTAGGTTTTTTTTTCGCCACGTGTTCGTGTAGTCCCATATCATCATTCTGTGTACAGTGCTCGTAACTATGCCAAGATTTGGCCAAATTTCTAATCATTTTGATGATTTCAGAACCTTGCAATACACACAAATACTTATATACTATATATGATCAACCTTTTCTGATAGATTCCACACCATTTCTTTCACAATGCAATCACATGACCAGAATTCAACTTTATCTTTAAAGATACTATGTCCCTTTTGTAGCCAACATCAAATTCTGTAGAACTTTGCAGGAATTATGAATATGACCATGGCCTATCTGTGAAATTTAAACGTTAGCAGTGTCCTTATATTCAAATTATGCCAGGAAAACTGTTTACTTCGGCTAGACTTCACTGTCAGACACTATTGAGTGACTGACTGGCTTTTTCATCTTTGGTAATAACATACATAAAATGAGTTGTAAAGGGTACATGAGCATTTGCCTACATCAATGACCAACTTCTTGTAATGGCCAAAATTAAACTGATTGAATCTTTGCGCAGCATAAAACGTACGACAATTCGGTACAAAGGTCTGAAAAATCAGACTATTACTTACTGGCTCTATAGCTCCTAAGTGGATTCGACAACTAATAGTCGTTATTTTCCCACTTACAGACATTTTCAAGCCCCCCTTTTTTTAAGGGAAGTTCTAAATTAGTATCATCTTTCAAATGCTGTTGGAATTAACCTTTTCATTTTCGGGGCCTGCAAATGGGACATAGTACCTTTAAATTAGAGCGGTTCAAATCAAATTTTTGTTAATTTTTTACTTTTTCCTCCGAAGGAATGTCCTTTTACAGTGCCCCCTTTTTGAGAGGAGGGACGATCTATACAGCCATTTTCTTCCTTTTCTCCCTATATCCGATACAACCTTTTGAGTCATGAAATAAAATTGAATTATTTGCCAGTGTTCATTTTACGCATCCAGGCAAGAAAATATGGAGCCAATACATTGCCTTCATAATCTGACCATTATAATGCTTGCACATTAGCGGAGTATCAAGTGACAATCCCCAGGCTTCCGAGTGTAATGTGAAACTTGATTGAATCCCACATCCTTCTATGAGCTCATCAATCATCACGTCATGAACGTGTAATCCATGTCACTACCAAGCAGGAACATACTTCATCTTATTGATGAGTGCGCGTCCGGCGTCTCTCTCTCTCTCTCTCTCTCTCTCCCTCCCTTTCTCTCTCTCTCTCCCCCTCTCTCTCTCCCTTTCCCTCTCCTTCTCCCTCTCTCTCTTTCTCTCACTCTCTCTCCCCTCTCTCTCTCTCTCTCTTTCAATCTCTCCCTCTCTCTCTCTCTCTCCCTCTCTCTCCGTCTATCCCTTTCTCTTTCTCTTTCTCTCTCTCCCGCTTAATCTCTCTCCAGCTCAATCTCTCTCCCTCTTTGTTCTACTAAACATCAATCAAGGCGGAAGGGAGGCTCAACTCCTTTTTGTTCCACTACAAAGGGAGACCAAGCACAAGCAGTCACCCTTTCATTTTAACCAATCTATAAATATACTAAATCATGTCGCAAATCCATGTTCAAAATCAAATTTATATGGCCTGCATGGTCTGCTGCACTAAACCTGCATGGTCTGCTGCACTAAACCTGCATCTGTGAAGCACAGTGGTCATGTGGATAAGACATCGCTTCACAATGCAGATGTACTCGGTTCGATTCCCGGCTATGCCTTTCTACCTCGTGTTTTTTTAATCATTTTTTTCTTCATATTGATTCATCCTTCTCTTTTTTGTTTGTTTAGGGGACACCCCCTCTTCCTCAACAAAGGGGTAAAATTAGTTTATCAGCATATTTTTTAAAGTCATTAACATCAGAAAGTGTTAACATCTTAAACCGAACAAGTTAAAATCAGTGAAGCACAGTGGTCATTTGGATAAGACATCGCTTCACAATGAAGATGTACTCGGTTCGATTCCCGGCTATGCCTTTCTACCTCAAGTTTTTTATTTAATCACTTTTTGTTTAGGGGACACCCCCTCCTCCTCAACAAAGGAGATACAAGTAGTTTATCAGCATATTTTTTAAAGTCATTAACATCAGAAAGTGTTAACATCTTGAACCGAACGAGTTAATAGCAGTGAAGCACAGTGGTCATGTGGATAAGACATCGCTTCACAATGCAAATGTACTTGGTTCGATTCCCGGCTACGCCTTTCTACCTCGTTTTTTTTTTCATCATTTTTTTCTTCATATTGATTTGTCCTTCTCTTTTTTTTTGTTTAGGGGACTCCCCCTCTTCCTCAACAAAGGAATACAAGTAGTTTATCAGCATATTTTTAAAAGTTATTAACATCAGAAAGTGTTAAGATCTTGAACCGAACGGGTTAATAACAGTGAAGCACAGTGGTCATTTGGATAAGACATCGCTTCACAATGCAGATGTACTCGGTTCGATTCCCGGCTACGCCTTTCTACCTCACTTATTTTTTTTCATCTTTTTTGTTTGTTTAGGGGACACTTCCTCCTCCTCAACAAAGGAGTACAAGTAGTTTATCAGCATATTTTTTAAAGTTATTAACATCAGAAAGTGTTAACATCTTGAACCGAACGAGTTAATTACAGTGAAGCACGGGGGTCATGTGGATAAGACATCGCTTCACAATGCAGATGTACTCTGTTCGATTCCCGGCTCTGCCTTTCTACCTCGTATTTTTTATTTCATCTCTTTTTTGTTCAGGGAACACCCCCTCCTCCTCAACAAAGGAGTACAAGTAGTTTATCAGCATATTTTTTAAAGTCATTATCATCAGAAAGTGTTAATATCTTGAACCGAACAAGTTAATTGTCATAAGCTTTTGCGCTCTGCCGATAAGCCATAACATTTTCAATTATTTTCATTATTTTCTATTGATGTATATTCAAACAAAATCAACCACACTCACACTATTTTTTGTTTTATTATAAGAATGATTAAAATGTAAACAAAAAATTTAAGGGAGAAAGAAAAAGAGCGAGAAATGGCTACAGAAATATAGTGATACCATGTATATAAAACAATACAGTACAGATATGAATAAATATTGCTATGGCTAAAATATACCCCCCCCCCCCCCGATGTTGGTATGAACTAGCCAACCATGCGGGAGAACACCCCTGCCCCCACACCCCCCCCCCACTCAGTGTTATTCAGGGTACGCGTATGCTTGTTCCCTCTTTTTGAAAGCAACCCCTATCTGAGGACTGCCAACATTTCCGAACCCCCCTTTCGCGGGCTTTTCGCGGGCTTTTCCTGCCTTGGAGACCCCCCCCCCCCCCCCAAATACGGAAAATACTCAATGTACCCCTTAAATTCGGAATAATTTCTCAGGAGTCCAAAGATATAAGAGAATAAAAGAAAAAACACTCCCTTTTTAAAGAAATCTCCTGGTGAAAAGTCAAATACGCCCCTTTTTTTTACAATTCTCGGGCCGGACTTTGTCGCACGAAAAGTACCCTTTTACCGGAAATTTGTGTAACACGCATGCGGTCATTCCGACCCCGGAGTGGGGGGGGGGGGGGTAGAACATCCAACCTAGCCCAAGTATCCGTTGAGGGGGCAGATTCTATTGTAATCATGACGAGTACTGCATGTATACATTCTACTCAATTCCTTGTAAAAAGTGTACAAACTGCAGAAATATGAACCGGACATGGACATTTTGATTCATTTTCTTCTTTAAACTGCAAAATGAAAGTACAAAGTAATGATCACCTCCTCTCCCTCATCCGTCACCTTCATCTCCACTCCCTCATCCGTCACT